TTTCCCGGGAACCTCCCCCCTCAGCGAGCCCTCCCCCCAAGCCCCCGCTTCTTCAGCCGCGTCTTCTTCCTTCGTTCCCGCTCTGAAATAAACAAGAAAAATCAAGAGTTATTAGTACGGTTTGCAACAGGTGGCAAGACAGGCCTCTTGAATTCCATTTAGTCCCTCAATGAAATTCAAAGTTCTCTTCCATTATCATCCATTAATTAGCCTCACGAAATTATGTTAGAAGGAACTATGTGCATGGAATTTGCATGCAAAATAGTTCCTTTTAGCGTAAATTTGTCCAGTTATCTTGTCAAAAGTTTAGTGAAGGCTTTATGCTAAAATTAATCAAATTTAGGTATTATTTTTTCAAATTTTAACTTTAATGCAGTTTTTACTGCTTTCGGAGTAAAACATGCGGCATCTATCACAAGTTTGCATTCATTTGTAGTAACTTAACTGCATGACGCATAAAGGAACTCATTTTTTCTGGCCCTTTAAAAAATCAGCTATTTGTGTAGAAAAATTTGTGGCACTCATGTGTTATCTACTATGACCCGAAAAAAAATAATTTCATTTTGCGTAATGCAGGTAATTACTTTCAGTTGAATGCAATATTTTTTTTTAGCATTTCACGAAATCTCTATAGTATATGCAGAACTGGGAGGAATTGCATATTAGTTCTTCTCAAATATTCTTGAACAACTGAGGGCATTCAAGTTGAGGATACAATAATTCTAAAATATAATTATTTTTTTAAATTTTATGAATAAAATCAATTAAAAATGGATTAAATAAATGTTACTATTGATGATGTCTACTATTTAAATTTTACACAACAAATACACATTTTGAGGGCACTACTTCCGTCCTCAATGATTCATCATGCGGAGCATTTCCTTCGTTTTTTGCAGACCTGAAACATACTAAAAATAAAAAAAAGGAATGATTAGTCCTTAACCTAATTTGAAGATTAACATTTTAGTCCAACATAGTTTTGATCATGTTAAATTAATGTGTCCTGCTTAAATTAATTTGTCCCTGATGCAAAATCCATTACTTATTTGGAACTTAATGCAGTTGCTTTTTTACTTTTGTTTTTTTTCTCTCGCTATTTAGTCTATGAGTACTACTATGAGTCATTTTAATGTGCTAGTTAAGTGCATAATAATTGAACTGTCATGGTATTGTGTGGTAAATTATGCCAAAATCTCAATTAATATTAAACATAATAATTATTGTCGGATTTAGTTTTCAAAATGCAACTTTTTTGTGCTTGCAATGGACTACATTTTGCAATAAGGAACTGCTAATTTTATCTCGTTTTAGAAACAAAAGCAACTAGTATCCTGATGCAGATAGGCGCTTTTATAGGAGAGTCAGAATGAGGAGTTCTCAATTACAAAATGTAGTTCAACTGCAAATAGTGCAGGAAGGGACGCTTATCAAAGATCTAGAAGAACAGATAATGAAGAGAAAATCGGTGAGAGAAAAGTTCATGAAATAAAAGTAAAAAGAGAAAAATGAAAGTAAGTAAAACAGCTTTCACTGCATTCGTTTCTTGTCAATCTGAAAGAAAGAAAAAAAAAGAGAAAATTAGTGCGATGTATACAAAATGTAAAAAGCAAAACGAAATGAAGTATAATTGTTTTTCCAGTGCTCATCCCATACCTTCTGAAAATATGCAACAAGAGGAAAAGTAGTAAGAGGCATACATAATAGGTATAAAACAAGGTGATAGCATTTTCACTGTGTTCCTATCTTGCTGATCTGAAAAGAAAATGAATGAAGGTAGAAAAAACCACACATCGAGAAAAATAAGTATAACCCACCACTCTCCCCCTCTCTTCCTGTCTGACCCTGTATCTCGTTAATTCAGGAAAAATACATAAAGGAGAAAGAAATATGAGGAGTATAGCCTATGCACGAATTGTTTTATTTAAAATTCAATAAGAAGTAGCATTTCAGTAGCTGAAGTATAAGATTACTTACCTTTTATTGTGACGTTGCAAATCGCTGCTCATGTTATATTCCTTTACACCAGAACTTATCAGCAGTTTTTCTTGAAAATTTCTGAGAATTTTCTTCATTCACTCATTATTTAAATATTCATTCAAATACTCACGAAAAATTTGAGGAAGATGCGTCGATTACTTCTTATTTAAAGAAGTAAGATATTGGGAAATGTTCAAATGTTGCGGTGGAGTTACGCATTATTTATCTTCAATAAGTAATTTTTATGCGATTCTCAATCTGTCCCCGAATTTCTCATTCTATGACCTGAAAGAAAAGAATCATTAATTCAAGTCTATAAACGTAAAAATAATGGGACATCAATAAATGTTATAAAATATTATTATTTAATTTTAGTCCAACTAATGAGAACTTTTTTTAGAAATGCTAGGATTTTGATGGTAGATTCTCGTTTAATTTTTCCAGATTAAGCGCTGAAAATTACTCAAGAATTAGCCATGAAAATCCTATCGTTTCCTTGGATCCTGGGATCATCTGTGCGAATAGAAAGAAAACAATAAATATACTTTTGACCTAAAGAAGAAGAAAAAAGTTGAAAAAAATATTATGAAACATTATTTTCATTGACTTCTTCCCCTTTTTTTATTGATACGGAGACCTCTACTAATTACTGAAATTATGAACCTGGCGTGATCGTAATAATAATGAAGTAAAATATAATATACCCAAACTTTAAAAAGTAGAAAAATTACTTTTAAAAGAATTAATTTTTCAAAAATTTTAAAATTAGAAAGCAAAAATTTAAAATTAAAATAAGATAAAAATTTAATTTTACTAGGATAGAAGTATGAATACGCTGTAAGGTATACTCACGTAGAAGCTTAATCAGGGTGTCAAGCATCAGGATTTTCCCGATTTTTCCAGGATTTAATCCCGATTTCATCAGGATTTAAAGAAAAATCGGTCGTAAAATCAGGATTCGAAAAAAGTTGGCCGTCCGCTCATGTTCCGTTAATTATCCGCTATCCGTTCGTTAATTTTTCTCTGCAGAAAGTCAGGATTTGATCAGGATTTGGAAGAAATATGAAATCAGGATTTAGCGGTTAAAAATCAGGAAAAATCAGGATTTCATCAGGAATTCCCAAAATGAAAAAATACTACCTCTACCCTAGGGTAGCGAGGAAGTAAAAACTAGACACTCTGTTAATTCTTGTTGTGTCTCGGCAAATGTTGCAATTCTCGGTGCTAACTGCGCACTGCACCACTGAACCACTACACCACTAAACCACTAAACCACTGAGCCACTGACCCAGTGACCTGTTCACCCTCTGAATGAACCACGTCGCTCTCTGAGCCCACACTGACTGAACTCTAGGGGTGGGGTTTCCCTTTTATAAATTCGTGACCTGTTGGTCCATAACCCCCCCCCCCCCCCCCCCCNCTGATCACTCTTGCAATTAGGATGCAATTTAGAAACTATCTCATTGGATTTTCGAACTTTCCGGAATAAAAGAAGGGAAAGGCATTCCTTCGTAAACATCATTAGCCAGGTGTCCTTTAGGGTCTTTTGTTTTATTGAGCCGGGGACTTCTCGCGTCGAAAACAATGAAAGGGACTTCTGTATTGTTCACAGAATGTGGAAATCCCCGTACCGTTTCCTTAGCGGTCAAGAAACCTCGAGGCTGCCAAACAATAGGAAAGCGGGTAAACTTCGTGAACAGGTAAAAGAATACGGGAAGGAAGTGTTTTGGGGGGAAAGTCCGTGAAAGTTTAAGACAAAAGAAAAAAAAAATCCTTTCAAGGCCGCAGTATTCCTCGGATATAATGCCTAAAACGACATACAAAAAACAAAACAAAAAAACAAAAAGTGTATTTCTTTTGGAAAATACACTATAAATACTGAACTGGAAAAAGGGGGTGAAAAAAATGGAGACAATTTCTAAATGAAGTGCGGTGTTCCGGAAACAAGAGCGCCTATTAATGTGATGAGGAGAGCTTAAAATTAAACAACGGATAGCAGCTTTTGTTCTCAAAACATCGTAGTTCATTTATGATTTTTTCCTCGTTTTTAGTCCCCCCCCCCTCTTTAGTCAAGTATTTTTGTTAGCTCCCGTTAGATTTTGCCCCCTCCCCCCTATCAGAGCTGATCTGTCTTTTTAGGGGTAACACAGTAGCTTGCGGGATTTTTAAATTTGGCAGATTTTTTGGGTTGGGTCCGCTCATAGAGGAGGAGCAGGGGGTCAAAGGCAAAACCCTTGCCATCATTTAGAACAGATCATAATTAAGTTGAATTTTTTTTTTTTTTTTTTTTTTTGTTAATGAAAGATTTTAAAAAGACCTATCTGCACAAGTTATAAAACGTAAATTAAAGTTCTCCCTAGTGCGAAGTGATAGCGATTTTTTATTTTCTAGGGTGCAAAAATTTACATTCTGCAATGTTTAGGCCCTGCGCGATGTCTATAGCTGAACGTAGACCAGTTTTCCTGTCTACCCTCCGCTCCTCTCTGTGGGTCGGGAGGACTGCACTAAAAATTCGCCATTTTTGAATGTATAACATGCTACTGTATCACCAAAAAAAGAATGGATCATATCTGATAGAGGACCAAATCTAACAGAAGATGGAACAACCCTCTAATAATGGATGGAATTACCATCGAAATTCGCAATTTCAGTCGAAAATTTCATGTCCGACTTTTCCTAATATTAGGATAAGTCGATAGCCATATGGCTCGTTCAACTAAGGGACGAATTTCATCCTCATCGCGGTGGTCATATATGTTAAAAATGGTGGTCGTAAATTCGGCCAGAGGAATGATAGCGCCATTTCGGGGCTCTCGCTCAGCAAACAGGGTGTCTACTAGTCTGGATTTTTTAAGGGCGCTCCGGAAGTACTGGAAAAGTGCGGCAATTCTGCAAGAAGGTCTTGAATTTTTTCCTCCATAACATGCGTGATTTTTTTAATAAAGCCTGGAAAGTATGCAATCCTTTGCGCGATAAATCTCAGAGTAGTATTTGCGTACAAGATCTTAATTGTGCAGTCAGTTAATCTTCAAGCCATCATTGAAAAAAAAAACTCCGGCCGTGGAAGTCGTACTTAAGGTCTATGTAGACTTTCTGTACACATTCCGGGCTTAGAGGCTGAAAGTTCCGGGTGTAGCAGTCGAAGCTACGTCTCCAGAACCCGGAACTTTCGGCCTCTGAGCCCAGAACGGACGGCATGTCTATATATCCTGCAACTTTTTTTTCAGTAAGCACTAATGAAATTTTGTGTCACTGAAAAAGTACTGAATTTTTCTGTTGAGGAGGTTCTGAATTTCTTGGGAATGCATTCAAAAAGTACTGTAAAAGTACTGATTTTTGGCCAGCCTATTTTAGTAGACACCCTGATCTAGACTCCAAGGTACATGAAGACATCAAAAAATGTAGAATATGTTTAAATCATGATCAGGTCATAAGCCAAATCATGATCATCAATAAATTGCAGCCTAGAAACGTAAAATAGCATTTACTTAAAAGAAGGTTGAATATTTTAAAGGTGTGGAATCAAATAAAATCCAATAAAAAATTTAACATTATAAGAAGCACTCATTTGAAACCTTTTTCCACAGTTGCTGTTAATGTATCTCTTTTTTACCTTCATAGTCTTGATTAGTTACAAGGTGGATAGACTCTCAAGAGGAGAGAAAAATAAAACATGTATCGTCAGATGATTCAGCATTCCTGCATTCTCCATGACTTACAATTTGTGTTTTTTAACAGCTCATTCATTTTTGTTTTTCTTATGTTCCATTTAGCAAAAAATATTGTCAGACAAGTTGTTGAAGGTCTCATGTATTTACATTCTCACAATATCTTGCACCGTGATATTTCTTTGCCCAATCTACTTCTCACCAAAGATTTACGTGTAGTAAGTTCCTTTCGATTTCATCTAGTTAAGTTATTCTTAAGGCTTAGTCACAAGCAATTTCGAGGGCTGTTTGAAAAGTAAGGACCGTATGGTCACCGATATGACCTCAATGAGGCCATAAATGATTGATGAATGAATGATTGTGAATGATTTTATGAATCTAAACGAAAATGCAGATTAATATGTATCAGCACAAAATTAATTGCCTTTTTTCAACATAATCCTTTGAGGTCAATATAAATTCTCCAACATGGCGCTTGTTTTTGAAATCTGTTCACCGAGAACTAGAAAATTGCATCCTCAGCAAAGCCTTTATGGCTTGCTGGATTTCATTATCAGTTTTGAAGTAATTCCTGTACTGTAATCGCTCGAAATATCGCTAGAAATTGCAGAGAACAAGATCTGGACCCTACCGAGGATAGGAAAAGTTTCAAGCAGTCAAATTTCGATGTGATTTCCCAACTGCAATGAGGTTTTGTGCTGTTTGGATGCAAGAAAAAATTTGATCTCCTGGCTTCAGTACTCCTAATGTTTCTTTCTTTTCCCAGAAAATAGCTGATTTTGGTTTGGCAACCCAACTTTCTCGCCCGGATGAAAAGCACATGACAATGTGCGGTACTCCAAATTATATCTCTCCTGAGGTAAATTCAATTTTGACTTTGAAGTTTCTGTACTTTTAGGTGTATTTTTGTATCGCATAAGAATTGTTTCATACGCTGAGCATTGCTTCTGTTTACAATAAACAGGGAGTTTAAAGTAACAGAAACTTTTAATGAAAATGTCACGTAGACTCACTGTCGCAGACACAGATTCTTCAACATCTCTAAATTAGAAGGTTTTCTCAAAAGGCAAAATGCTTACAGGGTAAAAGTAAAAGTAGTAAGAATTGATAAACTTGTAACGTTCTCGATTTATTTACAATAAATTCAAATCAGAGGGTATCCCTCCACCGAAGAAAGGGTGAAGGAAAGTCTTTGAAATGCGTGCGGGTCTTTTAAAAAAATCAAGTGAATTGTGAGTTTATCAATTATCTCAATACATTCATTGTTAAAAGCCTTAACTGATCGTAAACGACTGTCTGTTATATCAGTATCTACATAGTAATGCTTGTATAATAGCCAGTCTTGAAAAACATTCAAATCAGAGGTAGTCCATGTTCCTAATTCCAAGAAGAGCACTGAGGTGCCCTGGAAACTAAAAATTTGGAGGATTTACCATTTTATCCTCCCTGGTAACTGTCTTAAGACCTTTTGTTACGGTTCCTTTACAGGTTGTCACGAAAAGTGCTCACGGTTTAGAGATTGATGCTTGGAGTGTTGGAATTTTATTGTACACTTTACTTGTTGGGCATCCACCATTTGACACAGACGCAGTCAAAAGTACTCTGACAAGAGTAGCGATGGCACCCCTCGAGGTGAGTGTTCATTTGTGTCTTTGTATCCTGCAAGATGTATTTTGCGGTTTCTTTGTTTTGATTTTTTATTAAGATAATTTTATTTAGTGTATTCACTAAACTCGGTAATTTTTTTAAAACTGCAGCAATATAAGAATTCATCTAACAAGAGTGTTTTACCTGCTAATTTTATAGATTCCGGCTCACTTATCCATGGAGGCAAAAGATTTGATTCAAAGCCTTCTCCAGAAAAATCCTGAAAAGCGAATGCGGTTGCGTGACGTTTTAACTCATCCTCTAATGCTAAAGGAATCGGACTTTCCAGCATTGAATCATAGGGTATGTCCATTCAGTAATAAATTGCATACCTAATCAGATTTTTTAAATCTTTCGTTAGCTTAGTTGTCTGTCTTTTCTGTTTCAAAGCCAACTTCAATGTCTACATTTTCTACCATTACCTATGCGGCAAGTTTGTTTTTAATGCTGATACTCTTTAAAGACATTCAATCTCTTATTCTTGTGCCGAATACCAGGGATGTTATCATTTTTATTAACATACATTTTGTTTGAATCTTTGGTTCCCCTGATAGGGAGAAAGAGTTTATAGCCAAGTCTTATAGTATCTAGGTTTGTTTTCTGAAAAAGCCTCTGTCTCTGTACTTTGAGACTCTCAATTTTTTTTGATAGAATAAAATTGAGAGTCTCAAAGTATACTACATTTGAATGATATTGTATCCAGATCAGAATGGAGTAAGAAGCTTATTATACTACATTTAAATAGAAGCGTTGTCAGATTGCTTGGCAATTTTGCCAATTGTGTTCGGAGTATTCAAAGTCACTGACAAATTTTCCGTCCCCAAATTCTATGCTAATTACATGTTTTACTCACTTGAATTGCAGATTAAAATATGTACAGTTTGTGCTTGTTTGTAACACCAGTTGAAAAGTGTTTGGAAACGTTTGTGTCTTCATTGGGTTTTGATAAATCAAAACTTTTCCAAAATATCATTCTACTTTCGATTTTAAAATGTGAAATTGCAAGTGTCAGATATTTGCAAGGTTTTTTTTTATGGTGGAAGACTTGATTTTATGTATAAATGAAGAGGATATGTTTTTCTTTTCTTTTTCAAATTGATTCCTCAGGGACAGTCGGTTTTTTTACCAGTAAGCATGTAATATCTGAAAAAGGCGTTCGGAGGGAACGTTGCATTGTGCCCATATTTTCCCTCCAGATATATGCCTTTTGGACCGGTTTTTGACAGTTTTGATTTTTGGTACACCTCCTATTAAAAAAGAAAAAATAGGGGATCAATTTTTATACGAAACATCTGATTTCAGGCGTACCTTTCCGGCAGTGGTTCTGATAGTGGAGTCTGCACAATGACAACCTCATCCAACCACACGAATTCGCCTGGTTTTTCACAATCCAATTTCAGAGTGGGCCCATTGCAGAATCCAAATTTTGCCTCTAGTGTATCAGGACCACATCATTGTGCTAGTAACTCTTATTCTTCCTCAACAAAAGTGCCTTCGGGTTTGGACATGAACCGTGCTGAATTCGCTTCTGCTTTAGATTCTCAACCTTTTCATTCTGAAGAACTGTTTTCACAACATCATATTAAAAGGTAAGTAGTTTTTGTCTGAACATTAATAATTCAGTGGGGAAAATTTCATAAAATCAGTGGACAGTAACTTTCCATGTATTTTATTAATCTTTAGCACTAACCCTGATTATTAATGCTCTCTTTTAATTTCAATGTATTTTAGTGATTAGTAGCTACAAGTGTCCATAGTTCTCAATTGTTTTTCCTTTTTTGCTTTCTGATCTGTTGACCTGATTTTCTCGAGAGAAATATATCTGCCGTTACTTTGTTCTTTACTCTTTCTACTCTTTGTACTTTCTTCAGTCCATTTTACTTCAGCCAGATAGATACCAAGGTATATTTTCCTGTAGTAGTTGCAATGGACCACCAGATTTAATACATTATTTTTAGAATTCTGATGCATGTTTCCTCTTCAAAATTTTGGATTGAATACAAGAAGCTGAACAAAAAATTACTGAAATTAACTCTTAATGAAGTTATAAGTGTTTCATGTAGCACTGGTTTTGAAGAAGTTGAATTTCTGATTCACAAGAAAAACCATTGTCTTCAATCGCGGACTGCAACAGTTTTGGCAGGCTTCCTAATCGTGCGGTGTTTTTTCCCCACCCTGTTATGTTCAAAGTGTAAACAATGTGCAACAGCTGAGCCGAAAGTGAGATCAAAGGTGGCATATTTTCGCACTTTTATGTTTAGTGCCAACGTTGGCCAGTGCAGCCCAGGGTTTCTGACAGTCTTAAAAACCTTGAAAGTCAGGGAAATTACCGTGATCTGAAAAACTCAGGAAATTTCCAGAGCAGCATTCAGCAAAAGTCTGTGTAATTAAAGGGAAAATAAATCAAAGTAGAAGTTTTATTTGAAGATCAGAGAATTCAACAATTTTGGAGTCAGGGAAAAGCAAAACAAGTTAGGGAAAGGCAGGTTGTAATCGGAAAATAAAGAACTTATGGAAACCCTATTGTGTAAAATTTTGATTTTAGCTTCTTATCCCTCTCTGAGATTAGGATAATATAATTTGCACAGGAGCTCGAGGCAAGTTTGGAGAAAAACTTTTTCCTAAAACATTTAAAAAAATCAAAGGGAATTATTTTAATTTGGCTGTTTTTGCAATGTTTAACTTTTGCAATTTTGAATTTTTGCAACCCTGCGGATGGAAGATTTTTGAAAAAATATCTTTAACAAGGGAAACAGGACGTTGATGTCAATTTTATAACTACTGATATTTCCACTCTGAATTTTGAGTAAACCTATAAAAATAGCTTTGACGTTTTTATTTTTTTACTGTTTTCAGATCTGATGATGCTTGCTATCAGACAATCAGGGGGACCAAAGTCAAAGAAAAAGAACCAGAGTACCTCCGCTCAAAATTTCCCTCCTACTTAGATGAAAACTCCTCCCAAAACTATATACCATCCCTACCATCTAAGCACGTTTCCGAGACTTCGCGCAACCATACCAACAAGAACGCACCCAATTACGAATCCAGAGGTTGCGGAAGCGAAAACAGCGTTCTGTCCGGCCTCGTACCACCTGACAAGAGTTTCATCTTTCAAAGTGTCCAAAATCTTTCAAACCCCAGCAATGATGAGCGTTTCCACCATCAGCATGGGCCAAATGTACGGAGTGAATCATTTAACCATCAGAATCACACTTCGCTCATGTCAGTGCGGAAATGTTGTAGCGAAGGGCAGGAAACTATGTTGAACAATGAAAAATGTTTCAACTGGTGTCAAAACCTGCAGTTTAGGCCTGGATGTGTTTCAAGTGCCCACAATACGCATTCTACAGAGATGAATCATGCAATGAAAGGTGGAATCGGGGTTCCACCACTGAATTCAACAAGGTTGCAGCCCACCAGACATAGGACAAAAAATGCTGCGCTCAGTATTGTAGAAAATGGAGAAGTAATAGTGGAAATTATCAAACACAAGGGGGCCGAAGAAAAAGTCATTGATGTCTGTCAGATTTCGAGTGATGGTTTGCGGGTAAGCTTTTTATGATGTTTCTCTAAAAAATTTAAATTAACTATGGTATTAAATTTCCATTATCTATTAGTATTTTTCCCCCTGTAAAAGTCAGTCAGAAGAAGACAGCAATGTGGAACATTAAGGTGATTCTAGGGTTTGATTAGGGATAATTCAAGATTGGAGATATCGCCACCAGTCACCACTGAGAATTTCACTTTCCTTCGACAATTACTGAAATAATATTCCTCAAAATACAAAAAGCAGATCCACAAGATATGTATTATTTTTTGCTTGATTTTTGAGTCAAAAATATTTGCAATTACGATTACAAGAGCAGAGAAAGTACGGTTGAAATTTTCAGCTCGGCGGCGGCGGCCGAGCGCGCAACCAAATCCTTCATGTTCTGTCTGTCTCTCTCTCTCTCCCATTGCCGCAATGGGAATTACTTTCCGCCGTAGTTACGACTTTATTTTTGGGAATTTTGAGAAGATATAATGAATTTTTTACTGAGTGTTCCTCAAGTATGTTGCTATATCCCCTGGATCCCCAATCTTGAATAAGTATTACGGTTTTCATTATTTTCGCAAATGTATACGACTATTCTGAGCAGCGCGGCATGGTGGCCAAATCGCAAAGCTCCAAACCTGGATTCACCTTAAGAGGAATAAGTTTCATGTTTTCAAAGATGTTTTCATTGCTATTGACGGTCATCAATTACCGGATAGGAATTGTCTTCCTAAGATAATTTTTTTTATGCTACATTTCCTCTCATGAATAATCAATCAATAATTTGTTTGTTGGAATTTTTACTCCACCTCCTCAAATAATTGGTCCATCACGTTGATTACAAAATTATTTCAATGAATGAATTTTTTCGAGAGGAAGACAATCCTATCAAGATCTGTCCAAATAGCAGGTTTCCTTATTCAGTATTTGTATTTGTTTCCCTCTAAAAAACATGGCAGTTTATGTTATCTCTCATAGTAGTTCCCACCATGATTTTTCTCCCCTTGGTTTCGTCCGCGATGAACGTTGAGCAACCAGTGTAAACCTAGTGTTTGCTTTTTTGATAATGAATTTACGGTGGGAAAAATCATATTTACATTACCGTAGCCAGTGATATCAAGCACTATGTCCCTCAGAGAGCAATATCTTTGTCAATACCGCACATACAAACTTGGCGTTAAGACAGATCTGATTATTTTTAGCAAATTTGAAGTATTTGACCATTGAACCATGATTCTACCACTAGCTCAGCTGATTGATTTAAAAGTTTGCTCTGATTTTCCTCCTTCTACAATAGGCTAATAAACAAGATCAGAATCATAGTACTTTGTAACATGTTCCCTCATAAAAATTTCAATTTAAAAATGGCAAACAATTCAAAATTTATATGCTAAGCTAGATAGCAATCAGACAAAATTTTCCAATATTTCTGGCTCTTCCATGAAAGAACATATCTAGATGAAGAAACTTATGCTTTTTACCCTTCTTTGTGTATTGATTTTACACGAAATTTTGAGGCAGAAATGTGCATGAAATACAGACCAAGTTAACAGTAGCAACCATCCGTGGCCTGAAAAATTCCTCCTACTCATGAAGATTAGCCCATCCGGGACTCCTCTGAATAATCTTAACTTTGAAATCTTCTCTGCAGGTAATCCTTTACCAGCCGAACAAAGGCAAGGGTATTCCACTCAGCAACAAACCTCCTCCGTTACCATCAGAGGGAGCCGACGCTATCTATAGCTATGAATCACTGCCGGAAAAACACTGGAAGAAGTATGTTTATGCATCACGATTCGTCGCTTTGGTGAAAACCAAAACGCCTAAAATAACATACTATAGTCCGCTAGCAAAGTGTCTCCTCATGGAAAATGGACCAGATGCTGACTTTGAAGTTTATTTTTATGATGGTAAGCCTTCTTTACAACCCTCTCTACAATAACTTTTAGCAGATTGTCTGAAATTATTGTTGTCCCAAGGTCATTGTTAACAAAACGCACTGAAAACGCAGTCAATAATGATCAAAGTTGATTCCCAAGAATTTAATGATATTATGCAACCTGTTGAACATACATATGCCACTCACTGTCGCTTAATTTAATGTACATATTATTACACTGAAGACAATTAGCTTTTTGACAAAAAGAACCGGCTTTAAAATTTCCAAAGCTTCATGACATTTTATTAAAATAGACATTGAGGCAACATTCAGGCAGATAAAAATTGGCTAAACTTACCTTGCAAATAATCAACAATTTAGATCGTAGTTCAGTGTTAGTAAAAACTGGGTCAGCGAAAATTGCAGGATCATCATTTTTTGCAAAGGAGTGCATCTGTCTGAACTGAGCCTGAGGCTTCAGACCCTGACCCAGTACCATCAGGACTGAAGACTCCAGAGGCTCCGTTCACCCCATGCCAGCTATCATTAGAGATAAGGAGCTATGACCGTGCCAGTAGCCTTACTCCTGCCATACATACTATGGCATACGTCAAACTGAATGAGATGCTATACAACTGTTTTTCATTTCTTGGTAATCCCCTCTATTGAAGAGGAATGAACATTTTTGAACAGACAGATATCAAAAACATAAGAGAAAAAACGGGAAACAAGACTAAAAATTACTCATAACAAACCCGAGGTGTTTTGGCTCAAAACTGAGCCATTTTCAGTCGGAAGAATAAAAAGAAAATATAAAATATTATCGTATATCTTTGGAATTTTTATATTTTATTTTTATTCTTCCGACTAAATATGGCTCAGTTTTGGGCCGAAACGTCTCGGGTTTGTTATGTGTAATTTTTAGCCTCGTTTCCCGTTTTTTCTCCTATGTTTTTGACATCACCATTGTCACAGGCTGCTGTTTTAGAAATTTTAACCTATGAACAGACAGATCTTTCTACTTCGGAAGTTTTGATAAAAAGATATAATTGCAATAATTTAGAACTGGTAGCATTCATCTGATAGATTCGATAAATAATTGAAAGAGAATGTAAAAATGATGTTCCCTGGTAGAAACAAGTAGCATTTGTAAAGATCACTGGAGGCTCTAACACGACTAATGTATAATGTCGGCCAATCAGGTTTCTCGGTACTTGCTTAAGTACTTACTCGGTAGTTGTGTTGTTTTTTATCTGAACAGAATGTAATTTTGTTTTTGGAGTCCTGGAAATGGGAAAGTGTTCACCTTTTAATATGTAATTTTCATGTATGCATTCGCTCTTTTCTTTACTAGTCACTTTGTTTAAAGGTGGGAAGATAGGGAAAACCGGCAAAAGTGTAAAAATAACTCATTCTTCTGGAGCTAATGTTTTACTGGATGTATCAACGCAAACAGATCATCTGGATTCCTCTGTACAACTCATGTGGAAGTACTATAAACAGGTGAGCTATTTTTGTGATGGTTGAAAAACCAGTAGTGGACAAATATGACAAGTTGCAAGCCTTTATTTTTTTTTATCCTAGTCCTTATCATGTTTCAAATCCCAGCAAATTTATAAAACTAATTTTTTTTTAATTAATCAGACAAATCTTGTGGTGATAAACCACAGTCCAATTATAACATGTAAACCACGAAATTCATTCAAAATAAATAAATTTTTTCCAACTACTCAGTATTAAATCTATTAATGATATTATGTACAAGGGGACTACGCCCCTGGCCGCTACGCGGCCCAACCTCGCGGCGCTTCGTGCTCTCTTTAGTCCGCTTCGACAAAAAAATCACCCTAAAAAATTAAAAGATTTTCATAGCCGACTCTCATTTGTCCCTCCGGCCAGAAGCGACCAGACCAATAAGAATCAAATAAAAAAACCGGCATTTATTTCTAACTTCTGGCCAAGACTGAAACGAAACGGAATGAACGGAACGGAGCGTTTTTTTGGATAGTCTGCAGTCACTTTGGGATAGTCTGTAGTAAAGGAGCACACCTCCGATTCACTTACCTTACCATACTTACAGACCAAGATTCACAATTTTCTGCTTAGTTCAAATTTTGCCCCCCTTTCTAAGCTCCCTGGTATATTCTATTATAAAAATAGTCTGGGTCATATTTCCAAAATCTGATTAAAAGGAGGCGGACCAATAAGAATCAAATAAAAAAACCGGCATTTATTTCTAACTTCTGGCCAAGACTGAAACGAAACGGAATGAACGGAACGGAGCGTTTTTTTGGATAGTCTGCAGTCACTTTGGGATAGTCTGTAGTAAAGGAGCATACCTTCAATTCACTTACCGTACCCTATTAACAGACCAAGATCCACAATTTCCTGCTTAGTTCAATTTTGCCCCCCTCTCTAAGCTCCCCGCCAAAATCATGGAAATCAGCCTGGTAGAATGCTCAAACGAACTGTGACAAAAATTAAAAATTTACATTGTTTAAATGGGAGAATTCGCAACTTTTCTGCGTAATATTAAAAAAGCTGGGTCTTATTCTTAAAATCTGAATAGAGCAGGCTCAAATGCAAGCCTTAGTATTGACAATTGCCTGTCGATTGTCGCAAAAATAATCTAAATCAGCCCGGTAAAATGCTGGAACTAAGCGTTACCAGATATGCAAATATAGGAGGTCTCGGAGCTTACAGTATAGATATTGTATTGCATTGAAATTACTATGTGTATTGCATCAACCTCATTATCAAACTCAAGGTTATGAAAACAAATTTTTCATTTCCTAATTCTTAAATATCGCTTTTCAAGGTTCGGTGAACCCATCCAGGGTAAATTTAGAAGGAAAAACCTTATCAAAAATTGTAAAATAAGACAGGGAAGTAGAGAAAAAAAAGACTGTAAGCATCTACCCCCACCTATTTAACTAAAAGGTGGATGAAGAAGAGAGTTTTAGCTATTATTCAACAAGCAACATTTTTAGTTGTTTTATTTCAGGGGGAAAAATTGACATGTACCGAAAATAAATATACAGATAAGTAAAAGCTCTTGCCCACATACAAATCCGAGGCTTCATGGAGGAGAGGCCTATCGGTATAATTCTTGTCCAAAGACTGTCGGTCTCATGATCTCTGAAGGTAACCGATTTGTTCCAGACTCAAAAAAGATTTTGTGCCAGTTTGTCTGAGAAATTAAAGAGGTAAAGTCAGTCAGAGGGCACCGGTTTGTGCATGGACAGAGCCATCAAGGAAATTGGCTTTAAATTGAAAAATCAAGTAAATAAAGTGGTAATAAAGGTAATAATTATACAAGAAAAAATGCTTTGCATACGGCAATTTTTATGCTTATTACTTTTTGTACAACACACAGATAAATGTTATCCCTTTTGTGAGTTTTTTGCACATTTATTTTTACAGTATTATGATCATTGCCGATCTTTGGAGATGGCATTATCATCCGTAGAAAGTGGAAGCAATGATTGTTTCCCAGCAATCATTGGCCGTAGACCGAATTCCACTTCAGTTCTTTCAAGCAGCGGTAAGGAAAATCAAGCCAATGAACAGTATTTATCTCCACCAGCCCAACAGGTAGTACTATAGTTCTTCAAGAGATAACTTGAAGCATTTTTATCATCCAGTCAAAACTCAAGCTTTAATACTCTCCGCTTTTTTCTTCCATTTTGCAACATCTTCTTGCCTTAATTATCAAACTGATTCTTCTGACTTCTGTAACCAAGAAGATAAAAATTATTTGACTAATGTTTTTCTGAGGTTCTTTAGTTATCTGCAGCTGAAGTGATAACAAATCATGCATTGCAAAATAANGTTATTAAATCTATGAATGATATTATGTACTAGGGGGCTATGCTCCCTGGCCGCTACGCGGCCCAACCCCGTGGCGCTTCGCGCTCCCTTAAGTCCGCTTCGACAAAAGAACGACCCTAAAAAATGAAAAGATTTTCATAGCCGACTCTCATTTGCACAATCTCCCTCTGGCCGGGAGTGATCGGACCATTAAGAATCAAATAAAAAAACCGGCATTTATTTCAAACTTTCGGCCAAGACTGAAACAAAACGGAACAGAGCGTTCTTTTGGATAGTCTGTAGTCACTTTGGGATAGTCTGTAGTGAAGGAGCACACCTCCAATTCACTTACCTTACCCTTCTAACAGATCGAGATTCACAATTCCCTGCTTAGTTAAATTTTTCCCCCTTTTCTAAGCCCCCTGGTATACTCTATTATAAAAAAAAGTCTGTGTCATATCTCCAAAACCTGATTAAAGTGAACTCATCTAAGGACCAATCATATTGATCGAACCAATAAGAATCAATCAAGAAAACCGGCATTTATTTCAAACCTCAGGCCAAGACTGAAACGGAATGAACGGAACTGAGCGTTTTGTCACTTTTGGTTAGTCTGTAGCAAAGGAGCATACCTTCAATTCACTTACCTTACCCTATTAACAGACCAAGATCCAATTTCCTGCTTAGTTCAATTTTGTCCCCTTTCTGAGCTCACTGCTAAAATCATGAAAATCAGCCTGGTAGAATGCTCAAACGAACTGTGACAAACATGAAAAATTTACATTGTTTAAATGGGAGAATTTGCAACTTTCCCGCATAATATTAATAAAGATGGGTCATATTTTTAAAATCTGTATAGAGCGGGCTCATCTAGAGACAATTGCCTGTTGATAGCCGCAAAAATAATTTAAATCAGCCCGGTAGAACGCTGGAACTAAGCATTACCAGATATGCAAATATAGGAGGTCTTGGAGCTTATGGTATAGATATTGTATTGCATTGAAATTATTATGTGTATTGCATCAACTTCATTATCAAACTCAAGGTTATGAAATCAAATTCTTCATTTCCTAATTCTTAAATATTGCTTTTTAAGGTCCAGCAAACCCATCCAGGGAAAATTTAGGGGGAAAAACCTTATCAAAAATTGTAAAATAAGACAGGGAAGTAGAGAGAGAGAGAAAAAAAGACTGTAATCATCTACCCCCACCTAATTAACTAAAAGAGTGGATGAAGAAGAGAGTTTTAGCTACCATTCAACAAGCAACATTTTCAGGTGTTTGATTTCAGGTGGAAAAAATTGACAAGTACCGAAAATAAATATAAAAAAACTCACAAAATGGATAACATTTGTCTGTATGTTGTATGAAAAGTAATAAACATAGAACTTGCCATATGCAAAGCATTTTTTTTTCGTATAATTATCTTTATTACCACTTTATTTACATTTTTTAATTGAATGCCAACTTCCTCAATGGCTTTTCTCCATGCACGAACCGGAGCCCTCTAACTGACTTTAATTCTTTCATTTCCAAGCCTTTGCTCAAAATCTTTTTTGAGTCTGGAATACAGCGGTTACCTTCAGAGATCATGAGACCGACGGTCTTTGGACAGCAATTACGCCGATGGGCCTCTATGAAGCCTTGGATGTGTATTTGGGCAAGAGCTGCTACTTATCCGTTCACATTTATTTTTACAGTATTATGATCATTGCCGATCGTTGGAGATGGCATTATCATCCGTTGAAAGTGGAAGCAATGATTGCTTCCCAGCAATCATTGGCCGCAGACCGAATTCCACTTCAGCTCTTTCAAGCAGCGGTAAGGAAAATCAAGCCAATGAACAGTATTTATCTCCACCAGCCCAACAGGTAGTACTATAGTTCTTCAAGAGATAACTTGAAGCATTTTTATCATCCAGTCAAAACTCAAGCTTTAATACTCTCCGCTTTTTTCTTCCATTTTGCAACATCTTCTTGCCTTAATTATCAAACTGATTCTTCTGACTTCTGTAACCAAGAAGATAAAAATTATTTGACTAATGTTTTTCTGAGGTTCTTTAGTTATCTGCAGCTGAAGTGATAACAAATCATGCATTGCAAAATAAGTCTATAATCAGGTAGTGTCAGGTGTACCCTTAGAATTTTTGATCATCATGCGGAACGTAGAATCAGCCAGTACACTCGTGGCCAATCAAAATTATAGACCGAGTAGTTTAGGGAAAGTACCCCCCCCCCCCCCCNTTCTTGCATTTTTAAAACAGGAAGGGTATGTTTAGACTTCAGATTCGAATTTTATGGCCAATAGTAAGAACTTTTTGTTTTATGTACTTTTTCTCTTAACCTCCATTTTTTGGAGTTGCGGGCCATTTTGGGGCATTTTTGGGGCAAATTTTAATTGGACACTGTTTGCGATAAAACTATCCAATTTTCAAAATCCAAAGAATCTAGTGGGAGGAAAGATCAATATCTTTTTGTTGATGTACCACATGGCCCCTGTTGACCCAAATTTATGGGGTCCACAACCTGCCGAAAATGTTGGGGCTTTTAAGGGCCATAAGCAAAGAATTTCAAATAGCAAGGGTATTTTTTTTATCTCAGATTTTTTTTATCTCAGATCTCCATTCTATGCGAAAAGTTACATAAATTTGCCATGGCATATGGCCTATTTCCCTCTAATTACCTCAGGACCTTTTCTCCTCCAAAAATGCCCAGCTTCTTATTTTAGAACCAGTACATAAAGTGACGAATAGTATTACCTTTTTTTTTCCCTCTGCGTGTCAAGGCTTTCCACTCTTTTTTTAACCAATTTTTAAAACATTTTACTTTTACATTTTTTTTTACATTTTACATTTAAACTTTTACATTTTCACTTCTCAACCTTCCGAGCAGTAATTTCCTCTCTTCACTCAAGCTTCAAAGCACTCAAATTAAGTCTATTTCCGCTTTATTTCTCTTTATCAACGCATATATCAGTAAATGTCTTAATCAACTAGATTAAATGTGCTGAATTTCCAACAATGAATGAGATGCACATGCTCATCACACCATCAGCTACATTGTCACATGTGTTACATTGCCACAAGTGTTCAAGGATAATTAAGCCTTAACTTTTGGTCTTTTCAACATCTTTAACCTGCTTGGACATGTTATGCGCCCCTGCCTTATTTTACGTTTTTATTTTTGCAGGGTCTCTCTTACCGGGAAAATCCAGGGATTAGGACCTTGAGGGAAAAGACAGGGAATAGGATCAGGGGGGAAAATACAGGAAATTTGATGTTGATTCTGTAATTTTTGCTTTTTCAGCTTTTTTAGTTTTGAATATTCCTTTTTATTAATCATATTACCGAATTCTTTCCCCCTCAATTTTTTTTGTAGACTTTGAAACAAAAACTTGAAAAAAATATCTTAAAAGCTACAAATTAATGGATAGATTGATTATCTGATATGTTGTTAGAAGTGCTACAGATCTACTTTTCAAACTTATTATTTATTTACTCTTTTACTCTTTAATTTTGTTTTAGCTCCTGTCTTTTGAAGTGTCAAAATTCAGCTGTTTATCTGGAGTTGATTCTGGGTTTAAACACGGATTCTCAGATGCGCCATGTCGAGTCCTTTCGACCACTCCATTTAAGAAAATTGAAGTGCCCAACATAGGAATCGCCACTGAAGTAAGAAGTTTTTCACAATTATATTTGTTTTAATTTTCTATTCGGCAGTTTTGAGATAATAGATAATTGTAATTCTTTCCAGAAAAATCTCATCCCACTTTAATCCAAAGAGCTTTTTTTGCAGTCTTGTTTCTTTTTTCTTTCTCGCCTTTATAATCAGTTTGCATTCGGTTTGTGTAATGCATTAATGGTTTTTTTTTTTTTTCGCTCATGAATACATGATTATTTTTAGTAATCAAAGACTTTTGGGGTGGCTCTTGTAACTACACTATCCGAAAATCAGGCATGCAAAGTTCGCAGGGCTGTTGGCACTTCCGCCTGATCTCCTCCAGCCAATCCCGAAGCTTGATTGCCTCTGGATTCATGTGAAATTCTAGACGTTATTTGTAGCATCCGTGCATACGGGAGACGAAAATGTTAAAAAAATAATAAAACTTTTGACTTTGTTTGAAGCTTTAGAAGATGATTTTCAGCACAAATATTCCTCAATGATTTATCTATAGATTGAAATTTCGATTTCCCCAAAATATTTCACCCAAAGTTTAAAAGTTGAAATTTATTGATCATACCCAGAATGCATTGCATAAAGCTAAAGATCTACCTTAAGCAATAGTTATGATAAATAAAAGACGAAGACATTTCAGTTTTCGTTTTTGCTCTTCCTTTTCTCCACTTTTTCAATCTTTTTAGAATGGTAAGAAGAAAACCTACTGTCGTTTGCGCGGGTGGTGAATGTTAAAATGAATTTCTTAGATCCTCATCAAATTAATTTTTTATTTATTGTTTCAGACACCCAATGGAGAGATAAAAGTAGAGTACCATGATGGGCGGGAACTCCGAGTGAAACAGAATGGATCGGTACGTTGCGTCGATTTTGATGGTTCTCTCCAGGAATTTGCGCAGGGTTCTTTCGACAAACTGCCCTCGTGGGTTGAATCCCGGTTGCTTAAGATCCCGATAATTGTCCAGCACCTAGCATCCACAAACGCACCCCCCAAAACGAGGCCTTACAGATGATATTCATTCATTCGAGATTAAATTGACATCATCCAGCCATGATTTCTCCTTCAAATCAACAGAAGTCTCTGTGTGGGAGAAGAGGTAGAAATCATAAATTCACATCATGACATCACCTTTCAAAGAGTACTCTTGACTGTGGCAGGAGTACAATTTGTTTTTAAACGATTTCTTCAATTGAAAGGGGGATGAGAATTAATTTTTAGCATCTTTTGTTTTTGGTCGATATTGTATGAGAAAGAAAATCAAGCTTTAACTTGCAGAAAAAGTTAGCATTTTAAAGATTTAAAGTGAGTCGAAATAAGATGCAGTAGTATTTATACTGAGATTTGATGGAAAATTGATAGATAAAGTTTTTATATTTGTGCCACTCTTTAGCTGCTGGTTTGGTCTGTAGCTGATCGTGAATTGTGATTGCTGTAAGTGTCTGTTTTGTTATCTTTAAAATTTATCGAAAGTTAATTTTTTAAAATCTTCTTGTAGAAAAATTATCCAAAATCAATGTATCAATCCAGTGCTTTACTTGCCGTAATGAGGCAAGTAAAACAATACTTCCAGCTCTATTTTTGCAAATAGAATTTTTGCACCTATTCTTTAGAATTTCGTTTTTCATGTCTCCCTAAAAGGTCCTCTTGAGGCTCGACAGTCGATTTGATCAGTAGGATCAGGCAAAATGTAAGGAAATTAATCCTATCAACAGATATTTAGATAAGATTCAAACATTGTCATCCTGAACTTATCACACAAGTTACTGGTTGCATCAACAAAGAACTAAATGAAAATGAAACTAAACATTTCCAATTTTTTATTTTTATTTATGATCAAGATGATTTAAGAAATAGGCAAAGTTGCATCCAGTCTACAAATCTGGTCTGCAACTACGCGTTGGGGAGTCAAAGCTGCAAACTGCAGTAATTGCCACAATTTTTTCACACCGCTTTAATTGGTGAATTGAATTCTCCTAAAAGTTCTCTGAAATCTTTTTATATTATAAAATACTTACTTTCCCAAAAGAGGTCCCAGACCCCATAGGTCTACAACTCCAAAAGTTTATCCTAAAGTTACAGGAAAACTGGAAGATTTGGTCTGTTCTGTTTTAAAACTGGCAGTTTGAGAGATTTTTACTATTTTCTCATGCTGAGCAATGAGGGATTTTTTAATTTGAGAACGATTAAAATCGGGAATAAGGTAAAAAATTATAAAATTTTTGTCATCCCCCCCCCCCCGGTTTTTGTGACCAGTAAGTGAATTCTTGAAGAATTTTCTATATAACTACAAAAGCTGAGATTGTTCCTTCAATATTTTTTCCTTAAGGTTGATTCATTTTTTTTTCTTTCTTTCTTTCTTTCAAGAAGATCCTTTCCACTCAAAATAATTTAGATTTTTTCCAGCTTTTTGGCTCTGAGAGAAGAGAGAACAAAAAACAAACACAGTTAAAGGCAGAAAGCTAGCTGTCACTGATGATTTATTGAGCCTGTGCATCTCATATATAGTCGATTAAGTCATTTACTGATGTATACATTGATAAAGGTAAATCAAACGGAGATAGACTTAATTTGAGTGCTTCGCAGCTTGAGTGGAGAGAGAAAATGAATGTATGGAGGGTTGAGTGGTGAAAAGTAAAGAAGGACGTAAGAGAGAAAAAAAAAAGGGTAATACTATTCATTATTTTCTGTATTGGTTCAAATTTAGATCTGTTTTAAGCATTATGATACATGTTTTCTCATCAAAATTTTAAATAAATTTACTAGGAAAGGAGAACTGTGAATAGGTCTTCTCATTATCTCATTCACTTAAGGCCCCACCCCCACTTGCTTTTTTATGAAGAAAGCAATATTTAACCTGCTATCCCAGGCTACTTTGATCTAAAGGTTTTTTTTACCAACGCTGTTGGTAGGATCCTGAAAGAGTATATATTCCCAATATTGGAATTCTAGCACACCTTGTACTGCACAATGTTTTTTCAAGTTTTTTCTGAAGATACATTTAGCTAAATAAGAAATGGGAGGTGCGCTGACCAAAAAGAAGAATGAGACAGGGTTACCACAGTCAGGGAATACTGGGAAAACCAGGAGATGTCTGGGAATTTTAAAAAGTCGCGGTAAACCTGGAAATGTCAGGGAAATATTGTTCAGTCACCTTCATTTGCTTTCTAGAATAGGTTTGACATTTTGCATGGCAAATTTTACCTGACGACTACCTATTACAAATTGTGCCGTTGAAAACATCTAGCACATCTTCAATTGTAAGAAAATTTCATTTCGTAAATTCTTTGGCAACTCTGTTTACAGCTGCATTGCCCTAAAGATTTTTTAGACTTTGATGGGAATATAATAAAAACCAAGATGAGTGACGCAATAAGGTAATAATATAATTTGGAATATAAAACTTCTAAAGACTGAGGCTACTTAAAAAACATAAAAACTGCAAAATTTCAAAGCAATCAACAAAATTAAAAGAATTTCTATACAACTGTATGATTACGACAGGTAGGAAAAAAGAATCTATGCCCTCTTGCATTCAACCATAGATTAGTGAAAGAGATATAAATAAAATCTTATTTACAAAAAAAGAAGGAAAAACAAAACCAAAAAGAACAGGATTTAAATTACAACAGAGGAAAACTTTAAAAAAGTCAAGCTTTCAAGATGAAACAGATATGAGTTTTGCGCAGATTCCATGACACAACTTTCATGACAATTCGTTTGATTTTGAAAAATGGTCATCAAGATTTAAGTTATTTGATAAGCTCTGATCAACGTTAATTGGAAAACTAAGTTAGACGAAAGTAGATTACAGATACATATTATTGACCAGAATTATGGCAAATTTCAATATGAGAAACTTAAAGGTATCTTCCTAGCAGGCTGCAAGAGAGGGAAATAGAAAAAATAAAAAATTAGTTATTAACAATAATCTCTACAGATATTGGCAAACTATTTGCAACATTAGTTGTTTAAAAATTTATTTTTCTTTCTTTCTTTCAAATCCTATATCATCTAAAAGGAAGTAGCATATTATTAACGAAGAGTTTAAAAAAAAAGAGAGAAATTTTCTTTTTTTTCCACAGGAAAGACGAGGTTCTTCACCGATAACGATGAATTCACAAATTAAGAAAAAATATTAAAACTATTTCAACCCTTAATTATAGAGTCAGCGTTTCACTAGACTACAAAATCACTTGGCCACAGTTTGGCCTGATTCGTATGAACGATTAAGACTTTGGATATTTGATTAAATTTTACAACCATTGGTTAAACAAACAAAAGTACAAACAAGAATTTAAGCAATGACAGACTTTGATCATAATAGACAGCAGGTTCCATTATTCAGCATTTTTCAAGGAAGCATAATCAATTCTCACCTAGAATTCAAATATATGACACAATTATTTCGGACATCACAGCAACCACGATTATACAAGATGACAAATGCTCTTGAAAACGCAGTTAACATTTAAATAAGAAATACTGCTAATTCCTAGCATGCTTAATCAAAAATCTGTGACAGCATTTACTATCAGAGCTACTTGAATCATTAAGAGCTCTATCAGGAGCGGCACTTTCAAGCAATCGGAAATTATCTCAAATTAAAGTATTCGCACATAAATTTGGGTTCTCCGATTGAATTTTTCCGATATTTGACATTTCTGCTCTCCTCTAAAAACGATGAATTTCCTCCAAAATATAAGTGCATTCCACAAAATACTAACACATGACTAGTAAAAATTGTGAAACAGTCTTTAAAACTGGTGAATTCTATAAACACAAAAAATTAAATTCCGGCACAGCTATAGTACGTAAAACAATGAACAAATGTCAAAACAGCTTAAAATTAAAAGCTACCCATTATCGATTAAGGAGCTTCAGCAACTTAATTATTCAATATGTACTCCACAGCAGACATTAATTACTTAATAAAACTGCTCATTATAAATAGAAAAATCAGTTAGTCTAGGGAGAGAATTCATGGTTTCCTTTAATTAGAAATTCAGCTTTAATTGGGGGGCGAAAATGATTTAATCCATGCAATTCAAGTAAAAAATTCGAAAAATACCAAACTATAAGTTGATTCGATTGACAACTTAACAAAAACTTTCTTTCCTGCAAAAGGAAGCCAAACCTCGATTGTTAAAAAAAATTATTAAAAATATAAAATAATTAACTTGACAGCCAAATACAAGAGAGAAAAGAAATGAAACGACTTTCGGACACACCTACGAATATAAAGCTCCAAGAGGGAAAAACACTTCCAAATTCTTCAAGTCCACTTTGTTCGTAAAGACTCAGATGAGCCGTATTGGGTGATCCAAAAACAAGGTACAGATTGAGCTGAATATAGATTCTTCTTCAGAAATTTTACTGACGATCCAATGATGCTCCCTACACATACCTAAAAACGGTTACTCACTAGTGAGAAAACTTCACACTCCACTGATTAGTGAGAAAATTAACTCTATGAAGGGCTTTTCTTTTCATTTGTTGTTTCCTTATCAGCTTCAGCGATCGCATCATCGTTCTCATCAATGTCAACACTGACATCGACTTCTATGTCAACATTCACCTCATCTTCCTCATCGTCATCATTGGATGGGGAGGGAGGATTCTCTGCCTGCTCCGTCAGTTTTTTCTTGTCCTCGAGGATTCGCATTAGGTCGCCAAGAGTTTTCTTCAGCGCTTCCAGGTCCTCATACTTCTTTGCCTCACTTTTGCAATGTTTCAAGGATTTCTTGGTCCCTGTATCCTTTGAGCAGCTTGGCACATCCCTGTCATCTGCATCGTAGATTTCGTGACTTTTGGCAGCATCTTTAGAATCAGACGGAATATCATCTTTGGAGGAGGAGAGTTTTCGCTTCTTCACAGGGCTTTCATCTGCAGAGGCAAAGAGTAAAGATTTTATTAAAGAGATAGAATTCAAAAAGAAGAGCTCTGAAGTTGAAATCGATGACACTTTCGGATTTTTCTGTTAAGAATAAAACGATAATGATCGTAAATCCCGATTCGGGTGGCAAATCACAAATAACACTGATAAGAGCCGAGATTCTTTCAGTCAGAAGTTAAAATAATTCTGAGAGATGCACGAATATCATTGAGAAAATTTTATTTTAAGGTTTGAAAAACCTTCTGAGATTCGGTTTGTCTCTGTTTCAACCTAGATCCATCCGCTAGATTGATAAAATTAAATGATCATCAAGGAATTTTCCCGCCAGGTGGATTAAAAATAGTTAATTAGGAAACAATTTGAAACATCGTGATTTTCGGTCAGCATGGAAGTGGCTCAAAACTCAAATAATATTTGCAGCCAAAAGCTCTGGGTTTAAAAACTAGCTCTAAATCTTACGAGGGGCGTTCAATAAGTAAGTATCCCCCCTCTCTAAAATCAATAGAAATGGACCAATTTTCAAAAACTTGGGCTCAAAATCTTCCTTAGAATATACTGAGTTCAACAAAACAAACCGCAACAAAATCGGACCATGTGCGGCCGAACGCGAGCCGTTTGAACGCGCCGAGGTGCACACCGCTCCCGCCAAATCTGCGGAAATTTGAAGTCCGCGACAAGAGAAGAGCTTCTCATGCCAACGCTTCAGTCGTTCATCACTGACGAAAAATCAAAGAATAGTTTTTGTAGAATAAAGGGCTTACCTCACCTCTCCACATAACCACCTCGATCCAAGCAGGTCTGATACTGATTGTGAGACTTTAAGAGAACAGCTTTTGGATACCACGCGTGTAGAGGTCTTTCAACTGGCTGGGGATGAAAGTGTTGACGGCTTGTTTGACCTCTTCCACTGATTCAAAATGAACTCCCCCGAGTTCAGATTTCAGAAAGGAGAATAAATAGTGGTCGGTTATGCCATTTATTACCGTATAAAAAATCTGAACTCGGGGGAGTTCATTTTGAATCAGTGGAAGAGGTCGAACAAGCCGCCGTCAACACTTTCATCCCCAGCCAGTTAAAAGACCTCTACACGCGTGGTGTCCAAAAGCTGTTCTCTTAAAGTTTCACAATTAGTATCAGACCTGCTTGGATCAAGGTGGTTATGTGGAGAGGTGAGGTAAGCCCTTTATTCTACAAAAACTTCTTTGATTTTTCGTCAGTGATGAACGACTGAAGCGTTGAAATGAGAAGCTCTTCTCTTGTCGCGGACTTCAAATTTCCGCAGATTTGGCGGGAGCGGTGTGCACCTCGGCGCGTTCAAACGGCTCGCGTTCGGCCGCACATGGTCCGATTTTGTTGCGGTTTGTTTTGTTGAACTCAGTATATCCTAAGGAAGATTTTGATCCCAAGTTTTTGAAAATTTGTCCATTTCTATTGATTTTAGAGAGGGGGGATACTTACTTATTGAACGCCCCTCGTAAATTAAAATAAGCCTCTTGCTGAGAAGACTTCATTAGGTACTGTGAGAGGGGTGCCAAATAGAAAACGAAGAAATTTCTATTACAATTTTTCTTGATGGCTCTTGCTAAGATAGGTCTCCTGAAAGTGTGCACATCTTAAAAATTCAGGGGAAAAAGTAGACATTTTCTGTTTCTCTATTGTGCAATATCCTCACTGGCAAAAACTTTTTCTTGATTAGAACAAAAATTCTGAAATTTTAAGCTTAATTCCTCACTGGCAAAAACTTTTTCTTGATTAGAACAAAAATTCTGAAATTTTAAGCTTAATTCCCACAGTTTAACCTATCATTAAACTTTTCTTCCGCTTTTGCCGATTGAAAAGTTTCATTGTGAGATACTGAAACCAGGAAACAACAATCTTACGAAAAGTTGAATGGAATCTTGAATGTGACATCACCCTTAACTTTCCAATTGACATTAGCCAAACCTGTGTCTTTGCGAGTCAGCAGCTGACGGAGATACCCAAATAATCTTTTATGGTATCACACTGCAATGGCAACCAAATCGAATTAGGCTGCGTTCAACATTCCATTCGACTTTTTGTTTACTTGTGTCCGATGAAAAGTTGAACCGTGTAAATTTACTTCAAAATTTGCGTCTTTCTCTCAAACAAAATGCTCCATTACACAAACATTTTTTCAGTTTGAATTCCCAATCGAATGCACCAGTAATTCAAACAACATGGACGATGAATGTTTACAGAGTTCTATGTGATGGCACAATTCGTCGGAGAGAAATTGAACAAAGCCCATATGAAATTACAACAGTCTTGTTCTGGATAAAATATTTTTGTATCTACAAAAACTTCTTAATTATCATTGAAAGTAAAATTTTAACACAAAGATTGTTTTTCTTGAGAGTAACTATGGAGTTCTGCCAACCATTTCCGATGAGCAGATCACATCTTTCCCCCAAAAAATTAGATTTCCTTTCACCTCCTGAATGGACGCCATTTTTTGTGTCAGAGCAACGTTCGATACATCACATAGATTCATTCCATAATTTCAGCTGCTTGTCATTTTTTTCGAATTTTGAGATCGCACTTCTGTTGTCATGAGACTAAAGAATTCATGCACCAAATTTGACGAAGAAATTCGATGTAATAAAGGCAGGGTTTTTCTAGAGGAAAAATATTGCATCGATATTGATATCAAAACTGCACTCGTATGCGATATTTTTCCTATAGAAAAACCCTGCCTTCATTACACTGAATTTCTTCGTCAGATTTGGTACATGAATTCTTTAGTTTCATGACAACAGGATTGCGATCTCAAAATTCGAAAAAAATGAAAAGGAGCTGAAATTATGGGACAAATCGATGCAATATATCGCACGCCGCTCTGACACAAAAAATGGCATCTGTCGAATCACCGTAACACCGCCCATATGATGCTGCAATATAACAGCGTAAACTCACCAGTCGATTCATTCGGCGATGAGGGCATGGCCGTCTCGAGCTTTACTATTTTCAGCAACATCTGCTGTAAAAACTGCGCAAAATTGGGAGGAGGCGTGAGAACAAACGACTTGGTGCTTGGTTCTTCACTGTCGTCCGAGTATCCTGTGGAACGCGAACTGTTGAGCACCGACTGCAGCTGAAGCGCCAAATTATGCGAATAGATGATAGCCAGGGCTCGGAGGTCTCCATTGAGTTTGTACCCAACATCCAAGATATTAAGGTTGGCCCGGTTGGCCATTAGAGAGAGGCACAGTTTTTCGACCATTTGGACTGTTTGGTCGGTTAAAACTTGTTGCGCTACCTGTCAAAAAAAAAAAATTTAAAGAAGGTGAGTCATTGGTTAGAAAAGCAGGCAATTGATAACATATACATTGAAGAGTTATACAGTTCAAGGATTAGGTTGCACTTTAGTCATTGCTGAGATTTACAAACATTAGGATTTCCAAAACCAAAATACTTGAGCACAGCAATCTGTTAAATTCCCGGAGGTTTAGTTCACTTTGCACGTTTAGCAAATGGAATTTATAAAATGAGTGCCACTGATCAATTTATGATAAAAAAGTAACAGGTCTCCTAGAAAAAAAATCCATGTAAATACAGGAGTAAATAGTGAGGATACTAACCTTAGGGAAGAACCTCGTCAAAAATTGATAAATGAGATCATGATTTAAAGATGTTCGCTCATCAAGGAGGACGGTTTCGACATAGTCTACGAAGAAATTGCAATTCGTCAGCATATTCAGGTACTTCGGATCTAGATCCTATTTCAAACAAAAAAACATTTTTAAGAGAGGTTGAAAGAATTAGAGTAAAAATCTCTTTAAGCAATCACTTTTGCAGGAGGGCGAATGAAAGTGCCAAAAGGTCTACAAGTTAAAATATTAGAATAAAATTTATACATGGCAGAGTATTGAAAATAAAACGAAATCAGATTTGAATGTCTAATTAGTTTAATAGGTCGATCTAAATGACATTATGACCACGTCATCAAATTGTGGAGGCCGAGTAAACATGAGAGAGAATGAGACCAAAAAATTAATATAAATTCAGGTGTGACCGACTACATGCACCAAAGTCGTTAAAGGAATACAGTAATTAGACATTCAACAGGGTTGCCACAGAATTTACAAAATGAATTTCCCTACAGCCTGATTGTTGAAATTTCTTGTTTTTCGGGTGGAAATGGATGACATAGGTCGCTGCTTTGCCGGGTGGAATGGACAACATACTGTCGGATACTCAAGAGGTGCCTTTGGTTTGTCGTCCGATAAAGCACAACAAAGCAGCGATAAGACATAGCCGACCAATCAAGCTTTGCCATTTAACCTACGTCATCCATTTCCACCCAACAAACACAAAATTTCAACAATCAGGCTGCTGACATCCATGACACAATCTAAAAAATTTCCCTGACAATTTTAAGATATGCCAGATGGTTAAGAGGACACAATGTAAAATAGTTTTCATGCAAAACTTCTTGTTCAAAACGCCAAAAGCAAATAACAGTGACCTAACAATTTTTTCCTGGCACTTTCATCATATTCTCAGACATTTCCAGGTTTTATAGACTTTTTTAGATTCCCTGACATTTCCCAGTGTTCTCGAACTGTGACAACTCTGCTTTAAGTCTACATTACTGACACAACGACTATGACAACATTTTCAGAGCTAAATGAACATGAGAAAGACTAGAATCCTGAGACTGACCTGGGATTGTCGCTGGTAGACCTCTAACCATAGCTGCGGGAAGTAGCAGAGATGGAGGGGTACACCCTCGAATCCTACCATACAACTTAAGTTTATTAAGGATTGACTAATGAACTTGTGTTTGATGGCGATACGAGTCAAACAGTCCACAAATTCATGATAAGGAGCATAGAATTCCAGTAATGCTTCGTCGTATTCAGGATCACAGCCCTGGAGGCAAGAAAAAAAACAAAAACCAAATATTATCTACATACTAGAATCGTGTAATAAAGGAGCTTTATTTGTAACTGGTAACATCTCTATCAAAGGAGTAGGACAATGGTAAAATATTCAAATGAATAGATCACAAAACAAGGTAAAAATTAGAGCAATAAAGGAGTTGTTTTTTCAGTAAAATTTCAACCAGAACACATTGAGCACATCAACAGTGAAACTACCAAACCATATATCGCGGTTTGCGGCGTTGCAGACTTCCTGTCATACTTTATTTTTAAAATGAAAAAGTACTTGACATCAATTCTTGAAAACTTCCGTAATTTTTCCTCTCAAAGCTAAGAAAACTCTGTGTGAACTTCAAGGAATGATATTAGTTTGTTCTCTTTCAAAAAAAATAAAATGGAAGCGGAGATTTTTAAACACTGCTAACGAGATACTTAGTTTGGTAGTTTCACCATCGACATGTAAAAAACTTCCAAAAGTAACTCATGGGTGAGAAATGGATACTCTGAGTTAACATTAAAAACACTAAATACAGGAAATGTGGTAGTACGAGTAGCAAGTTTGATATTTTAAAATTCTCTGATTTTTTTTCTACTTTGCTTTTCTCTCATGAGAAGCATGGTATGGTTTTGCACCAGCAACTCTGTGAGACGTTATGAGGTAATGACACAATTTTTCATCACAGCTTATTTTATAAAAAAGATCCTAACAAAAATTTGAAAGAGAGGAACTTACTTTTGGACAATCGATCAAGTTATGTGGCAGAGATAATTGGATCATTGGTCGCACTGGTTTCTTGGGAAGTCCATGGTGGTAAGGATGGTGAGGTGACACCATTTTGCAGCTTCGGCGTGGGAAATACGGTCCCATTGTTTGCAAGAGATTTGTCGCAGATTGGTTCTCTTGATACTGGAGGTGACAATTGGTGAGCAGAGATATTATGACGGGCAATAAATCTTGCGGGTAGATCCTTAAAAATTCTTTCAAAATTTTAAAAACTAAATTTCTCAGGCTATTGTTATTAAAGGTATTCAGAAGAAGCAAAAGTTTTTTTACGACTTCACAAAAATTTTTGTATTGAGAAATAACACTTCGCACTTTATTTACATTATTTTTCGTGAACCCATTCAACAATTGAATGAATTCCAGGATATATGATAGCACATGATGTAAGTCAATGTAGACACTTTGAAAGTTTGCAGCAGAGTCATGATAAATACTGAAGATTGTTTGGAATGAATCGAAAAGCAGCATGAAGCCATTGTTTTGGATACAGATGATTTTGTCGAAGTCGCTTTCGAGTAGGATATTAAAAATGTTGATTATTGTAGAATAAGAATGATGTCCGTCTAAAACAGTCATGAGTAGTTTCAATGTTGACAGTTTAAAGCTGTCTGTCTCTGCACTTTCCTCTGCCGCGGCTACTCGCTTCAACATTTTCAGGCCTTCATTTTTACCACCCTTCTCATCTTCTGTGCGCGACTTAACTTCTACAGTCTTACTTTCTTCAGAGCTTTTCTCTTCTTGCGCAGGTTCCGTAGAGGAGCTCCCTTCATCTTTTGTTTTATCGATTTCTACACTCTCTACGTTGGGTTCACTACTTTTTTCCCCACTGTTACTACTTTTGGATTTCTCTCCTTCTGCTGGAGACTCTTCACTATCGCTACTCCTGTTTGCTTCGCTTAGATCCGGGTACTTCTTGACGAAGATCTTCATTATGTTCAGTAGCTCTTCACAGGCTAAAGGATACTGCTGAGGATATGGAAGTATATTCTTGAATGCCCAGATTATATTTTGGTGATGCAAGAGCTGTTTCGTGAATTGTTTTGAATACATGCAGCATAACTTTAAGATGCCATAGTACGCTGGCAACATTATGCGGTTGAAGAGAAGGATTTCCTGATCTTCGTGATCGGCTAGGATGTAGTTGAAAGCGATATTTTTCACGACATTTTGGTTTTGCAGAATAAGCTGAACATTCTCAGGGCAGTCTTGCAATACATGATACCAGTAGTTCAGTAAGATTTGCTTGTTGTGTAGAATTGGGATGGCTGGCTCGGAAAGTTTAGGGTGGAAAACATTCCATAGGTCCAGAAAATAGGGTCCAAACTGGAAAAAAAAAAGAAGGTTCATGAAAGCTGCCAGTGAAAAATCTTGAGGGCAGAACAGCAAGTATCATAAATTGGATGCAAAAACACTCACAAAAATACCTTCTTGCATGAAAAAATCAATTGCAGATATCAATAGACAAAGTGTATCTCCACTTGCGACGTTACAGACTTCCTATCATACTATATTTTTTCTTTGGAAAACTAGTAGACGTAATTTTTGTAAAGTTCCTTAATTTTTCTTCTTTTTTAGCAGAATATTCTATATAGATTTCAAGATTTAAAGTTGGCTTGCTTCTATTTGGAAAAAAAAATAAGAGCGGAAATTTTTAAACACCACAATGAAGATATGTGGTTTTGCATGTTGGCCAGAAGTCCAGTACTGCCTCATGTTACACTTCATGAGAAAATCCCCACTTTTTCAAACTTTCTTGCTGATTTTCAATTTTTCATGGCTTGTCATTGCTGCTTAATGAAACAATTAAATTGATTTTACAACACCATTGTTTTTCTTTTCTTTTTCCCTGACATTATTTCATTAGATTACACGATCATATTATTAGCAATACTTCATTTTTCAGGCTCTTCTTTACATCTATGTCTCTCTATCTTTTTACATTGCAGCATTTTCCACAGGAGCAACCAATCTCTGTGACAAATTTTTTTAAACCTTTTCTACTTTTAAACTAAGACTGTTCAAAGAAAGTATGACAAAATTTTATATGGTGGCAAGCATGAAAAGAAGAAAGGGGGAAGGGAGGTTTAAATCTCAATTTCCAATATGACGTGATTTACAGACAGCCCAGAATGAATATTTTCATGTTCTTCTCTCTACTTTGGTTTCCACATTCCTATTTTCTTTCTGTGACAATTTGTATTTCATTCATAATTAATTAATTTCATTAATGAGATCTCCCTGCGTATCATAATACAACAATAGAGACTTACCATCAGTTTCTCAGTTTGAGAGATAGTGAAATACTGTAGCAAACTGAAATAAGCGACCAGTTTTGATGGGCCGTGCATGGATATGTTCGAGTAAATGCGAGCTTGTTTCATCAGTCGGAGCAAGTAGTTGAGTATTTGATGGAGGATGAGAAGCGCATCTTGCGACAAAGATTGGAACTGCATCTGCTGCTTGTGGTGCACTCCAAGGAGAGAGGGCGATCGGAGGGCTGCGTTTGAAGCTACTGATCGTTGGTACAGCTGCCGGAACAACTGGTTCGGAACCAGACACACGAGAAGATATGCAGCGGCTGAAAGGGAACCAAACACATAAGTTGCCTCCTACTTGGTCCAGTTTTAAAATTTGAGGTGTAATTTCTGGAAGTAAATTCTATGATACCTATTTCTTAGAGTAAATTTTATGATATCGATTTCAGGGAGTAAACTGTACAATATCTATTTCTTGGGAGTAAATTTTATGATATCTATTTCTGGGAGTATATTTTATAATATCTATTCCTGCCCTGGGAGGCCATCATTTTGGGGCTTCAGCCAAGTATCAGTCAAAGGGTGAAAAAATAATCTTAAAAAACAGCCTGTCGAGTACGAATTAAAAGTGGACTGTCCTTAGGATAAAGGACTTAGCACGTGCAGGAAAATTTATAAGAGGAGCGATTCCTGCCCAGTTTGGTAAAGAAATCTGAACTTGCTTCCGCAATGGAAAAAATTCTTTAGAATCTTTAAGAATAAGTTGCCAGCGAGTCAGTTCATTTCAGTGCAAATAGGGATAAGAAATAAAAATAATAAAACTTCATTTAAATTTGCTAATTTTTCACCACCAAATATAGCAGATAAAACTCTGAATTGCACTGCAAACTATCCAAATTTTTAGTTAGCTCAACATTTTTGGGTGGTTTTTGCTGCAGAGAATTTGTGAAATTATCAACCAAATGGTGGTATAGATACATTTAAATTATGAGTTTTTTGGTAATAAGGTCCCATTCTGCATGCCTAGTCACAAATGGGATCTAGGAAAAAGAAGATTTAGAACTGATGACTATGGTAATGGCTGTCTCATTAAAGAGAGAAAAATTAAACAAGACTTGTTTCAAAGAATATAGGATATATTCCTCTTCAACTTATTCATACAAATGTGAGAAACTTACCTGCTCGAACCCGTTGATTATTATGCGCCATAAGATACCGCTCAGTGAAAGTGTAAACAGACTGCAAAACCCAACAGTGGATTATTTTATTACAGGTAACATGAAATGTGAACCAATCCAGCACAGACTGTGGACAAACGTCGGCAATTTCCCACATGCGCGGTAGGATCAGCTGCGTGAAACATGGTAGGCCTTGCTGATGAGGCGAGCCAACAGGAGTTTCTACCAAGGTTGATAGGATTTTGAAAAAAGGTTGGCACATCTGTAGGAGAAAACAAAGGAAAAGTTTGATTTTAGGTCGAAACTGATGAATTGAGAGATAAATATGCATGGTTAAGGCGGAATCAAAGTTGATGATGTACATTTTTCATTAACTGAAATGATTAGATAGTAATGCGACCAAAAACAAGCTCTGTTCTTACAAAAATAAGCCCTGATCATGACTAAAAACTGAAATTTTAAGATGCATTGATTAAGAAACGCTAAGCAGCTTTTTTAATACCTACAGAAAGTGAAAACTCACTGAAGTAGGTTCTTCGGAAGTCAAAAATAAAACAGGTTTAATGGGTCAGTGGTACCTACTTTTTTAATTTCATTTTCTGAGAGAAAATAGTGAACTGAACTCCTAAAAAAATTTTTAAACCCTAAACAGAAAAGAAACCCCGTTTTTAAAATGCCAACGATAGGACACGTTTGAAACAATATTTTTGGCGAGCCAATGAAGTAGCCAAACGGGGGAAACAGCGTTTGCTGATCATAACTGAACTTATATTCAGGCATCGCCTTGCAGTGTGACTTCCACTGTCGACTTTTCATTGATTGGATTTAGATTAGCTTTCAACCCCCTTGGAAATGATTTTTAGAACTTTTTAATTAACAATTTGGTTTTTTCACGAGGTTTTACATTAAAAAAAAAGTAAACTACAACCCTGCAAAAATTCGTTGCCACTACTGACTAATTGAGTGTCTAGGTAATGAGTTTTGTTGTTGTTGAGTGCCTTCAGATTGAACAAAAAAAAATTACACCGAGGATACAATTTTTCCAGTAAATCAACTTGATACTATACAAAACTCAGAAAAGTCTGTAAACGGATTTACTGAAGCATAGGCTAAGGATATCAGCTTCCTGCAAATGGAAAAACTAACAGGTAAGGTTAGACTGCACAAGACGAAGTGCAAAGATAACTGAATCAGTACTTACATCCATATTACACGAGTATTTCTGAATACAATTAAATATGACATTAATAATTTGGGTGGCTAGGTTGTCATTCCATCGGGTCAAAGAAAATATTAAATTTCGAGTCTGATGAGGGTTGATTGACTCCTTGATTTGCTGACATAAGAAAGGAAAACCCTGAAAAATTAAGAAGCATTGATAAAACTATAGGCATTATAATTGGGTTAATTCAAGATAGTGTGAAATTGAAATGCATTAATTCAGTGATGCTAAAATGACCCATGAATCTACAGACTATGGCAATGGGCATAATACTAAAATCTTCAAGAGGCAGACAACTAAGGTTGTTATTAATCATGCACAGTAAGATCTCAATTTATCAGATTACGAATTAATGGATTTTGCGATTCAATGGATCGATGTTCCGGTCCCTCCAACTGCTTCAAGCTAATTCGAAATGATGGAGTCGGCGATTTAACGGTATTGTAATCACTAGGGCTTGAATTTCAAAACGCTCCATCAACATTCCACCTAAAAATCTCTTTGAGTACTGGAATTCATGCACTCAACTTTTTTTCAGAACTACTTGAGTCAAAAGGGTTTCAAGACATACCTTAAATTTTGCCATAAAGTAAAAGACCTTATGAAAAATACTTGAACTTAAATTACGAAAGAAAAGGAAGAAAAATGGTACTCACTTTGCCTCCTACTAAAGCTGCATAATCTTCTGGGGAAAGATGAAGCCTCTGATCAGGACCGTAAGACTTCTCGACTAACGATGCTACCAGCGTAACCATCTTATCCAAAGATGTTGGCCTGTACTTGTCGCTCGTTGTCGCCAACATATCATCATCATCATCGTCATCTTCATCGCTAACAACCTCAACAGGGTCACCCCTCGTTACACCGGATGGCGTCGGGACACTTTTATTGTTGAACTTAGACAGTAATAAGTGGAAATTGAGCACTACGACAGATATCGTATTCAGCTGGAGCAGGTAGGACGAAAAAGCTGGCTCCTGCTTGCTGATATCGTACAACAAAGAATAGAATTCGGTGACGTTGTTAGCGGTGGGAAGCTGATTCAAGATGTGGGGCATGGCCGGTGGGGGTGGCTGCTGTTGTTTACTTGAGTCGCCTTTATCATTGGCCATGGAAAGCGACGAGAGTTTAGTCATCGAGTCTTTTTCAATCAGCGATACAAGCGAAGCTATGAATTTTTTGATACAGAGAAGGTAATCTTCCTCTTCGTTTTCTTCACTACCTTGCTCAGACTTTTTATCCTGCTCTGCTGCTCTATCACTAGCCAGTAAAAGTCGTGATTTGTAATTTGAAGTGGACTGCCTGGAAAAAATGAAGATGGAAAGGTGTTAATATTATCAAAGAAGAAAACTTTAATTTTCAACTAAACAACAGTAACTTTCGAAACATTTCATTCTGATGACTAATGTTCTTCTTCTCTCCCCTCTTTCTCTTTGAGTTCAGGTAAGATAAGGGAACACTTACTTCAGCCTATTGATGACATGAATGCACAGCCTCTGGAACATTTGTCGCACCATCTGATTGTTACATTTGATCAGTATTTGTATCGGCCACCATTTGGTTTCTGACATGTACGTCAAGAACCACTGACATGCTTTCGAAGAAGTATCAAACTGTTTCGTGAGCAACTCCACCCATTGGACCATGGTTGGCTGTAAAAATAGAGAGAGAGAGAGAGAATAATAAAACTGCTTGTTCTTCAGGGTTCCTACAAAATTTAAAAAATAAAATTTCCTGGCATTTCTCTGATTTCCCTGACACAGTTTGGTAAAACTTCCTGATTTTAGAGGGTATGCCGGACGGTTCAAGTACGTCATTTGAACTAAATTCCTTCAAAAATTTGTTGGTAGAAACTTCAAACTCATTCTAGAAAGCGAATATAGATGATTTAAAAAAATTTTCCTGACAATTTTGTCATTTTCTCTGAGATTGCCAGATTTTTCACTGATTTTCAAAATTCCCTAAATCTTTCCAGTTTTCCCAGTATTCCCTGACAGTGGCGACCCTGGTTCTTCCTTCCCTCTCGAACACATTACAATTTGCACTCATTGGTTGAATTTGAGCGATTATGGACTATAGTGCTGTGCTGAGGAAAAACTGCGTACAAGCCTTCAGACGTTGCAAAATGTTCTTGGATACAATACAAATTTTCAGGAAAAACTATGAATATTTTTCCTTAAAATTTTCAGAGAATTTTATTTGTAACAGGATCTAAAATATCTGAAAATGTCAACAGGAAATATTCATAATCTCCTCAAAAATAAAAATTCAATTGGAGGAAATTTGGCAACTCTTGAGTGTTCATACAGCGCTTTTTCTCGGCACGGCGGTATTAAAATTTGCAAGAAGTTTTTCTTTCAAGTTATGACAGGTCCTCAATGATAAAAACTAAATGCGTGATGATTCTTAAAAATTTCACCAAAAAGTCTAGCTCAGATTGAAACTAGTCAGGGGAGTGTCTGGTGTCTTTGATATTTCTTTTCCATTCATTACTTCCAGAAAACAAAAATATTATCTTTTTCCTAGTTTCTGGACTCCCTCAACATTGCAAGTGAGATACGCAGTTTCGCATTTGGCCATCACCACACAGCTTTAACTATGTTTGAAAAGTTTTCAGATTTAAAAGAGAATAGGGAGGACGCCACACAGCTTTAACTATGTTTGAAAAGTTTTCAGATTTAAAAGAGAATAGGGAGGACGTACCTTTTCTTTCGCATGAATGAATGTTTCTAGAATGAAAGATGTTGAGAGTTGCGTGGCAATTTCAGTCAGTTCCTGAGGATTCTCCATGGTTTGCGGTATGTACCCACAGATTTGCCACATAAATCTGGTGGAGGAAAGTTAAAACAAAAAATATAATTCTTAATATCTAAAGAGAGAAAAAAAATCGATAATGGGTCTACTGATTTTTTGTTCTTTTTTACTCTTATAAAGCTTTAGTTCAACTGCAAGTATAGTTAAGATGACCAGAGTAACATTCGAATGTAGAACTGAATGACTAAAAACTAATATTATACTATATTTGCACATATGAATAATAATTTAAGTGTCAATATTATTGAAGAAAATTGTTATTATTTTGACGAAAGCTGTTGGACCGAGGGATCTCATATCGAGGTTTTACTTCATCATTAAAATATAAAGAGGTATCTCCCGATAAACTCTTGATATTATGGCGGAAAAAAGTTGATGATGCATGATTTTGATGCGGCATTTTAAAACCGATGACTTTTATTCGATTCTTTCTTTTCTCCCTTAGTTTTCTGACAAAACAAAATTATTGACATTTTTTAGTTTTTCTGAATGCTTGCTTCTCTAAACTATTCACACCTGAGTTTTCAAAACTCGAGTCGTTTCAAATTTTAATTTTGAATTTCTTACTAGCTAGCAGTGGCTTGGCGTGAATAATCGATTATCGATATCTCGCCATTTGAAGCTATGGTAAAGAATCGATTATTAAGGTGTTCACTGCGAACACCCTGATAATCAATCTTTTTTCATAGGTTTAAATGGCATAACAATCAATACATCGCAATTCTTGCCACGCCACTGCTAGCTACCACTAGATTTTAGATACTTCAAATAGAAATAATCTAGAGCAAGACCCGATAAAAGAGTTCTTTTCTGGGAAACTTACTGGAAGTAGGTGTGCTCAAAAATATTCTTGTCATGCAAGAATTTGCGGTTGTCTTCCCAGATCCAGTTCTCAAGATCTGCGCTCAGCTTTATGTTTGATACATGGGAATCAATTGGTTTTGGTGACTCTGACACATGTGCTGATGAATTCGGTGACGCATCTATCTCTTTTGAATTCCCTTCCAGGCCATCTTTTTCATTCTTTTCTCTCTCCTCTAACGTTTCTTCTGAGGTAAGCTCATAGAACAGCATGTAAGCTGAATTAGTTTTCTCAAAACTAAGGTCCATGAATTTGTCTGTGACTGTGTCGTATGTTTTGCTCTGGAATGAAGAAAAATAGACATATGGTAACTTGTAGCTATTGGTAGACTGAAGGATAGTAATATCAAGAGAGAAGAGAAAATTAGATTAGGCAACGTTAATGTAAATCTGATCAGAATGATACTTTGAACAAATTTTCGCATCAATACGATTCTTACTTAAGCTTCTGCCACCACATTTAACTTGATAATGAGCCAATGTAAATAAATGAGCTCATTTGGAATATATGAAAAGTTTCTACAGGGCGGGATTCTGATCCTTTACTAACTAGGTTAATGGCAGCGTATTCTGCTAAAACAATCAGAATACAAAAACTTCCATTATTGGAACACTCAAAAAAGCTAGGTTTATAAAATTTGGCTCTAATCAAAAATTTTATCATCTTCCATGCACCTTTAAGATGGCTTTGTAAGACTGCAGTAGTGAAAAACTCAAAAAATGAATTTTGGCTTGCTGGATGGAAGCTCTTGTACCATAAAATCATTCATTAAGGTTAGATTTCACTGGATTATTATGTAATAAGTTATTGGTCTGGATAGTAAAAATAACAACAATATTATAATATTAGGAATTGAAGGAATTTTACCATCATTTCACCACCAAAACATTCAGCTGCTATTTGATTAGGGTTGAAATGCTTGACTTCCGCATCATTGAATAGGTACCATTTGTCACTACTCCCAGAGTTCCTATCACTTTTGCTAGGTGAAGAGAATTGCGACGAGGATTTGTTTTCTCGATCACGAATGAAGCAGTAGTAATGACCGCTATCTGCTGAGCCTGTATGTACTGTTATTCCTATTAGCTCATATTCGTAGTTTTCTTTCTTCTTGCTTGATTCATTATCTTCTTCTCCATCTTTTTGTTTGTGTTCTTCTGCAAAAGACCATAAAGGAGAAAATTAAATGAGTGAAGGTATGACTTTTTCAGAAATGCTTCAAACGATATGTATAAAAAAAAAAAATAACACTTTAAAAGAATTCAGTTTTAATAACTGATGAGAATTTAGGAAGCAAAAAGAAAATGTAGCTTGGTTTTTTTCCCCTGTTAAATTATTAGAACTTGGATCAGAGATCTTACCATGCTTGCCACACATACTCACTCATGATAAGACGTAACGTTAAACTATGACACTATTGACAATTTTTGAAATCAAAGACATTGGGCAAAGTTGTATGGTGTAAAAACCATGACTGTTCCGCACAATGCAGAACTTTTCTCTTTTATTGCAAAGTACCGACAGTTAGAATGAATTATACGGCTAGAATAAATACAGTTAGAATATATTTCCTGGTCTTACCTTGATACTGTTGAGGCATGAGATACTTTTCCACATACCCTGACATGTCTAGCCGCATTGGGAATGAAAAATGGGTATTTACTTTTTCTTTCAACATGGTCACCATGTTGAAAGTGTATCGCATGGTGTTGAAGCATAAAATTTGGGGTAGTTTTTTGAAGCAGGCTCTGAAAAATGGATTAAAAAGGGAGGCATTAGGAACTATGCGAAAACTAAATTCAGATTTTGTATCGTGCACTGCTGCTGCTACAGTAAAAATATTGATGAAAATACAATAATGGTAAATGTTCAATAGTTAACTCATGCTCACTATACTTTTCTTTTTCTTTTTTTTTCTTCATCAAACTTCTTCTTTCAGCATCGATCATGATGTTGCGTTTCTATGGGTTCACTTTTGCTACAAAATTTCCCAGGACAGACACAATTTTTATTCCAGAGGCTAGTTTGATTTTTGAGAGTCAAGTTATCTTTACTTGCCAACCAATTTTCACACTGCATTGCAGAAATACAGCAGAATGAATCTTCTTAGAAGTTGTCGCTTCACACGTTTTTAGAGAGCTACAATCGTATTATCTTACACTTGAGAATTGGTTTTAGACCAAAGTTTAAATGCTGGGTTCATCGAAGATCTTCTTTTCGTTTGGCACAAAACCCGAATTTGTAGGCGCATTCACAAGAGGTCCTCAGTGGAGAAAGAAAATAGGTAAATTGCAGTAGCTTTTGGTTTAGGCACTCATAAATCCGTAAAAAATACAACACTGTTGGGTCAAATAAAGCCAAGGAAATGACTATTGGGATGAAAAAAATTTTCCATCTTAAAAAAACCAAAAGAAGAAGTTTTAATTTCCATTTTGTTCCCATAATTCATAGAAAAAATTACCGTTTTTCAGCTCTAACTTTTCTTCCGCATTGAGAACATGTGTACATGTTGTCACCCTCTAGAGTATCTTTGAGCGTAACTTCATCGAGACTAGCGTACAAGTTCCTCATATCGGCCACTTGACAACGCACCGTGTAGAATTCTTCTAACGTGCAACTTACATGCTCGCAATCCTGTTGAAGCAAATATATAAGTAATTAATACAGCAGATTCTGAATGGTAGATACTGAATTATCTTGAAGATACTTGGAAAGCACCGATTAGATGATAAACTCAACAAACAATCAAAACAAACAAACGTAAAACTAACAAATTAGATGATCTCAAAACTCTGATCGTTAATTGATAAATCACTTACAAAGGGCTGTTCATTTTACAACTGTTCTAGAAACAAACACCAGTAGGAATGGGTCATTCCTGATCAAGTCAGGCCACCATGACCAAGAAATATCAAAATGATATTGAGGAAAAGATCTACGTTGATGAACAAAAGTTAACAACTCACCAAGGAAACAACATTGTTACTGATGACACCACCGAACAGAGTTTTCACCATGGATTTTAAGTCTGAATCCATCTCCTCCAGTTTTGAGACCAGGTCAATGAAAAACTCGGCCATATCCTTTTGTTCACCTGTATTTAACGGCTGATGGTACATAGTGTACACTCGGCAAAAGCTTCGTGGATCGTACGATTTCCTCTCACTTTCCTGTAATCACAGAAAGAAAACGTTAAAGAGATTATTAGTGCAAAATGCAACTTACAATGCAGGGAACTTCGACGGTATAAGTCGGCAATCACATATCTCGTTTGAGGTGTCTGAAAGTCTCCGCCTCTATGTTATTTTTTTAAAGGAGAGCAAATTGAGATCGTTCCTTGAAGTTTTTGCAGAATTTTTTTCGCACAGAGAAGACAAATCACGGCAGTTTTAAAAAATTTCCGTTGAGTAGTTTTCCGTTCAAAAAATAAGGTGTGACAGGAAGTCTGCGACGTTATGTGATTGCCGACTTACACCACCGACTTACTATCTAACTTGCAGATAAAATTAAATAAGAGTCCAAAAATTTGATCAGGAATCGAGTTCTTTAAATATTACAAATGATAATAAGGTTAGTTTTTTTGTTATTTTTCATTAAGTATTTAAAAACAAATGTTTTTTCATATAACAACCATTATTTGCTTATAATATTGGATTTACGAAGGAAAGGAGTTACAGACAGCACAATACTGCTCTTGATGCTGCAAAATTTTTGAATTCGAAAAATGTCAAAAAAGAATTGGTTAATATTTTTTCGTCCTTTATTTTTGTGATACAAAACTTTTAAAATCGAATGATGCCTTCAATGCAGTTATTCTATGGAGGACCGATTCTGACAAAATTCCAAAGAATTTGTGGTGCCATTACTCAACATGAAAACTCTTGATGGAACACAAGATGAGGTGATCCTTACAGACTCAAGCAGAGAAAATGGATTACTTTAAGATTTAGTTCCTTACCAATAGATATGCAAACATACGCTGAAGTTCATACAACGTCTGCGAGTGTTTGGTTTCATCAGTTATATTGACGCTCAAAATTGATTCTCTAGCTTGCGGAATCATGAATAAATGCTGAATACAGGATGCTAAATAACACGTTGCACCTAAATTCGTCAGACCCACATACCCGCATTCTGATCTTGATTCCTCGTGCGGCCAATAATCCCAAGGATATGGAGAATGAGGACCTGGAAAATATACACCTTACAGTAATTAGGATTGAACTTGAATTTAAAACAATTAGGGCCTAAAAATATCCACTTGATATCATAAGTTGAGGTGATAAATTATGGAGGTAACAACAGAAGTATAAAAATTATTATATCATCCTTTTATAGGGTGAAGAGTTTTCTTTGCTTTCAAATTTCCTGACTTTTCCATGACTTTTCTAGGGTTATCAACGGAATATTCTCTTATTGTATCATGATTTTTCATTATTTTCTTCTTTCTTTATTCTTTCTGGCATACTTATTGATGAAAATGCTTTTCACAAAAAATGTTTGGCATGTGTGGATACTTTAGAAATTGAAAAATCTGAAATTTAGAAAATCAAGGCTGATGTTCTAATTTTTGCTTACAGAGCGTATAAAAGATGATAGAACATATTAAAATTTTTCGGACAATACAAAGGAATTTAAAGGTTTTGCGGCAAAATTCTCTGACTTTTCTTTAATTATTCGGGGTTGGACATTAGAGCAGTTTACGTCCTAAACTATTCAAGGAATACTTCTCCAGACTCTGATGACAATGCCTCTATTTTTCGTTTTCGTAGACTTGGATCTCTTTTCCTGTGGATGTCCTTCCACGATTATAAAATTTGTTTGCGTTCGATAGAAAAGAGTTGAAAATTTACCTGGCTGATGATGAACGAGAAGTTTTGAGTGTAAGTGTTTGTAGTTACTAGGCGAGGATTTAACCATTTCTACGAGACAATCAAAGGCACATGATCTGGTATGCTGCATTTTGCACTTTGGAACATGCCGATTTTTGGCATCCGGAAGCGCAAATAAGAAATCAAAGAGCTGAAACAATAAACAAAGTTGAAAAAATCAAGCTTTAATGCATCAACTCCACATGTTACACATGTAACCATCCTAATCTTCCATCATGCATGCAAGACGGGTGTCATAATTTGGCATCATATTTGAATATTAGAAAAAGTTGACTTTAATTTAGGAGTATCCCATTATGGTGTTTCTTGAAAAAATGTTTTCCTGGAAACAACATGCATTTTTTATGTTTTTACCATAGATCATTCAAAAAGTGCTAAATCTGAGGGGAACTCAACTTTCGATGGCGAAGTTCTTTATATTTATTATGAATATAAGGTGGTTTAGTGATGGTGATAAACATTTAAAACTTTATTTTCCTTGAATTTAAGTTGTCGTTCCAGGTCTACGGTGGGAATAAAAAAAAGTCCAAAAAACGTTGAAAGTTATTTGAACAAAACCTATTAGGGCTCATAATTCTTTCAATGTTGAAATATTTTAGACTTACCTGGTCAATAAGACCCAAGCCATTAGCAGAAGTTTTGAATGGAGGATCATGTTTCAGAATGTGAGACATCAGATTCAATAGACCTATGAGACAATCATCTTCAAAGTTTTCGTGTCTTTGTTCGAAGAATTCTCTTGAGTATAACAATTTAGCCACTTTCTCTGCTAGATCAGCAAAACTGTGCTGTCCATCTTTGGTGCTCTCTGAAAGATGAGGCAGAGCCATAAGAAGAAATTTTAGTTTGAAAGAGATAATGGGTTAGTATAATTATTTGCTGTAGGGAATGTGCAGATGCATGATTGACTATGCAAGAATAAAAGCAACAAAACAAAGAAATTAATTCAATCTCTTTATTTTTGCACTGTCTAGCTGACTCCTTCTGTATGCAGGTGCAAAAACACAGTGACAATGTAATATCCAGGAACAATAGTTCCAGTTTTCTAGTATTTGTACACAAAATTTGACCACCAAAAAACAATTTGTGGTAGCTTTAAACTTATATCCTGGGTGAATATTGAAAATCTAAAAGCAATGATTTGCATTTTTCGCTCAGGACATACTTTCAGAGTTATTTAAAAGTGTTGCTTGATCCAATTTTGTGTGCTACTAATTTATGTACTACAGCGTAAGTGCAATGTGATGTTTAGAAATGTTAAAATAATGTCCTAAAATATAGAGATTATCAACTGATCGATCGACTAAAGAAACGTTTTAGTGACCTTCATGAGTTTATTGCCACTCAATTTTGATAAATAAAAAGATACTGCCTCCCAACAGGCTCTTCTATTATAATTGAATATTACCTTCTTTGATAACGTCTGCAGGTAGACTATCAACAAGACGGCATAATAACCAAAAGTAATCTCTACATGATGATCCATAGGGTTCTTTGTTGCTTTCTTCCACCATTGGAGAGTGGATACCCTGGAAAAAAAAACATTGATTGAGCACCAAAAAGCTTAAGGTAAAAGAATAAAGGAAGACGATAAAAAAAGATCACCTAATATAACTGTCATTTCTGACACCACATACACATAACTTATAACTGTCTGTTTTTATTTTGTGATTAAGCATGCTCATCTACAAATTAAATTAAATCAGTGAACTTGTCAGTGAACAGTGAAGATGGAAATCATTACAGTGAAATCTCACTCACTCGAAAAGTCGAGAAAACTAAAGAATTTTTTACTTAAGCGGCTTTTCTTCTGATTTGGTTTATGGCTTAGGTCGAAATGAGCACAGAAATTCGAGCTGAGCAATTTCAAGTAACTTGCAGGTGATTTTTTCAGTAACTTCTTCAAGTTTTTCAATAATCGATTTTAAATTTTAAATTTTTTAAGTGAATCTCAAATTTTACTCCTTTACCCACTTTCAACGAATCATCAAAGAACATAAAAAGTCACAGATTTTGAAACTCTAACGCCTGTACTTTCTTCAAAAGTACTAAAATATGTCAGTGTAAACCTTCTACTGAAATGTTTCTTTCTTTAAAAATTGCTTTATTCTCTTGGTTTTTCAAGAGCAAAATCGAATTTTTCTTGGATTTTCTGCAAAACTTTTTGGACTTAAGCGGCTTTTTCTCCTTGACTAGTGAGAATTGTAACTTTTGGAGATAAAAATTGTAACCTTTCGAAAAGTAAAAATTGTTACGTTTCAAAGTGAAAATAGTAACTTTCCAAAGTGAAAATTGTAACTTTTAAAGTTTTCAAAAATTGATAAGGTTGCAATTGCATTTTCCAATATTAGGGATACCCAAATTTTTATTTCTATTGAAGTTGGCTGGACTGTTGAAGTTAATAAGCTTTCCAGTTTGAGCAAGAAGATCCGGCAACAACACGTAAAAACGCATAATACTCCCCCCCCCCCCCCNTTACATATTTTATGAGAGAATTTTACTTGACTTTGGGCAAGTGCATCTTACATACCTCATGTCTATAGCCACGTGGTGGACATAGAGTCATGGCGTTATCCAAATGACACAGCAACAAAGTCAAAATTTCTGATGGTAAATTCAAGTGGTAAAGGGTCGTACAAATTTCCCGCCTAACATCAGGCTCTGGTTCTTCAAGGACTAGACGTTGGATTAAGGCATCAAAACTTTCCGTCTGCAAAAGAGCAGTCTTAACGAATGGCACGCTATGAGACCAGGACACCAATAGAGCCATAGCATAGTGAATAACCTGAAAAAAACACACTGAAGTGAGAAAATGTTCATCATGAAGGAAAAGAAAAATAATTCTGCAGATTACAGCCCACAGGAATATTTTCAACAGAAAGCTTTGAAAATTTGTCACAGTTGCTTTAACAGGGCTCTTGAAATCATTTAGAACAATGGACCACTAGACAAGGTACGAATTTCAGCATTCTGATACATGATTCTTAACTAAAATTTCACGTAGAACACGACGCGCACAACAAAAATTACCGAAATTAACTCCTTGCGAAGATATTTAATGATTCTTGATGCGTGAATTCAAACCACCCGCTCATGAAAACTCAATACTCTACGTGATTCACATCGCGCGCTCAACGTGTATCATGACAGTCTCTGCGATATAAAAATCTGGCAACCTTAATTTTGACGCTTTGGCTCAGCTATAGCAAATTGCTTATAGTTTGAAAAACACATGGTGGGAAATGAACATTGCTCGATTGAGAAGATTGCTGAAACCGTTGTAATGCGCGGTTTGACTCACGTAGAGCTTTGAGTTTCTTGTGAGCGGGCAGTTCAAATTCCTTGTAACCAATGTGAAATAAAAGCTTTGATATCCTCATTAGGAGTTGGTTTCAGTCATTTTTGTCGCGCGAATAGTGTTCTGCGTGAAATTTTGGTTAAGAAACATGTATCAGAATCCTTTAATTCGTACCTTGTCTAGTGGTCCATTCTGTGTATTTGATAAGAATCATTTTTCAGAAAAATTTGCCTTGGAGCGTTTTCATCTAATGGCTGGAAATTTTGCTGATTTGGAAGAGCTGAGCTAGATTTTGTGACTAAGTGATAGGAAGATTTCCCTTTGAAGGATTTCAGGGGAAAATTATGAAATATAACTGCACTGGAGAGAACAGAGCTTGGTCCATGGAGGCAAAATTTTCAGCAGGGCTGTTGTTGAATTTGGTTGAAAAGCCAGATTTTGAAATTTTTGTGAAAAATGCTCCGTTTCATGAGAAAATTAGTCAAGAGCAGTTTTTTCCATTCATGTAGGTACCAATTAAAGTTTTAAAATTCCATCATAATCCAGAAATTTTGAACCGTGAAGACGGTAGATTAAAATTTGAAACGGATTTTTTTTGAAACTACATTTTTGAGCTTTAAGTGGACGTATTTTTGCTAAAAGGAACTATAATACATGCAAACTCCATGCATGAAGTTCCTTTCAGCATAAACACGTCCAATTTTGATACAGCTATAGCTCTAGTTTGGTTTGATATTTTTGGATATTATTTGTCCCAAAATGTTTACGATAATAAGAGAAGTGTGTTAATGTATAAGAGAGTGCTCTTATGCTATGGTATCAAAAACTGAATTCTGAGTTGTGGTGGACCATGGTTCCTTTATTCATGGACCTCTCGGGTAAAAATAAACATTTAAGGATGACGAAAATAGAACAGACCAATACATGGGTCAGTGGATCAAATGTCCATGACCAAATCCTGAAGCAAGAAGAAAAACTTAATTACCTGAGCTCTTCCCCAGAACCCCGTCCTGTAATAGTTGGGGTCTCTTGGTGAGGACACCTGGTACAAAATTTTGATCAGATACGGCATCACAGTTTCCACGTTCATCATGGACAACATTTCATCGTTCAACTTGGGAATGACTACTTTCTCCATGTTTTTGTTGCACCGTTTCCGTCGATGCCGCAAAATGTTTGGAGTGTTCTCCTGCGATAAAGATGGTATGTTGTAGTGACCTTCGTCACTGTCAGCCATGCTCAACTGACAGATCAGCTTGAGTAACTGGGCTAGACAGTCTTGTTGCCACTCGTTGCATTTTTCATCCAATAGCACACCTAGAAAAAAAATGTGATTAACATGAAGTAAGACTTAGTAGGTGTTCATTAATTACTTCAGGAACAAGGTTTACTTTGCAACATATGCTTTACAAAGGCCAACTTGAACCCAACTTCGAGGTTGCAGGTACCTGCAAGTTGTTGCAGTTGTAATTTTTTGAAGGATTTTGCTTGATTTTGTAGACAATCGCATGACCCTGTATAGTAGAGTCAGAACCAAAACATGTTGAGAGCAACTGAAATAGGTTAGGTGAAATGGTGTTTATCAAGAATTTAGGATTATTTATTTGAGGGTTTTCACGAAAATATGTAATCAAAATAATCATTAAACCTCAATTTATTTTAGTCAAAAATAACAGATTGTTTTAATTCATGGCACACCTTTTCTCCTCTTAAAATCCAATAAACCAAGTTTTCCTTGTGCCAAAGTTTTTTTTAACAAAGAATGATGGGGGGGGGGGATATTCATTGAAGGGAGAAGAAAGTAATTATTACTAGGAATTACGTTTGTTATCAAGTCTTTAGACAAAACCACAACAACCCAGATGAAAAAGAAATAATATAGATCAAGTCGGACATTCGGTTCATTTTTGCTGGGTTGATCTAGTATAATCCCAAAATCCTCCATTAATTTAGATCAGCCATGCATGTCTGCAGGTGTTTAAATAAATTCCAAGGTATTTGGTGAGGTTGCTCATATTCAGAGGCCAATTAAAAGTTCCAATTCTTACCTGACATGAAAATATCAAATAATTGTCGCAATCCCCCAGAACGGACAAAAATGCCACTCCAATTGACTGAGCTATTCTGATTCTCATCTTCATTGTGAGTCTAAAATAAACATGACAAATCAAATTTAATGTTAAAGATTGAGGAAAAACTGCATCATAGAACTGATGAACAGATTATTCATATTCATATGAGCTAAGTCTACAAATACAGTGAAAGTTCAATTTGTTGCCACTTATATCAGCCGACTTTTTTTAACTGTTATAGTTTTTTCCTTATAAAAGCATTGTCAAAATTTCTCCTCAGATGTTTCAATAAACTGTCAATCCGCTTGAGTCAAATAGAATTTTCAACCCCAGCCACAAGTATCTGCTTCGTAAGCCAATATTTTTTTAGTTCCAAAGTAATTGCATTTCCATGTTTGGTCTCTTTAATTTGGCGCACTGATTTCAGACATGGATAAGTGTCTCTGTGGCCATAGCGTTGTCCTAGAGTTTTCAGCAAAAGAATGATGATAGGAGGTGCAACCAAAACTAGAACTAAAAAATCTTTACAATGCATAGAAAAACTATTGAAGCGACTCCATAGCAATGATAGGAGGTCTAGAAATTCATGAGAATTGAATTTTTGAATGATTTTTTTTTATTAGTATTTATTTGTGAGTGAAAATTCTAAATACAGACATTTCTCAGGTTTGCCAACGCTGTACTTCAGTGAAATTGAAAAAAACCCAAGAGGCATGCTTGGTTAATTGACTGTTCTTTGGTCTCCCATCACCTTCTAGCCTCACTTCTACACCTTGCGTAGTTTCATCTTAAGGCTAAAGCTTGATCTCAGTGGACAAAAAATTTATTTTTCTCTATAAAACCATTATTAGACAAACACGATTTAAGTAAGATGAAATTGGTGCATTGAACAGCAATGATGATGTTCATGAGCTTTGAATACAGAGGTTCACGCAATAACTTCACAAAAAATGAGAATTTATGGACCGGTAGGTGACATTATTAGTATCATTGAGACAGTTCACCAGTAAGAAATTCAACTGTAAAACATTGCTGCACAAATTGAAATTTCAAAATACAGGGTGAACCTATAAAAATGTTTTTCCACGCCCAGTCCAATGAGGAAAGAAACTTATCCCTTTTCAAATGAAATTAATTTCAAGAAAAATCGAGGTAAAAGAGATTGATGACACTCACATGATGTTTGGTGTTGATGAGCTGAGGATGACAAAGAGATTCGACGATCCGAAGTGAATACATAAGCTTATGGGGACTAGCTGGGTCGAGAAGTTGGGTCAGACGGATATCATTTGATGTAGTATCATCCGCAGACCTTGATTCAAGGTTTTGGAAACCTGATAAAAGAGTTGGGTTGGTTGGGATAAGCATCAATATATCCCAAACTCTCCGTGATAATACTTGAGCTTTCGTGTGAGGCATATGGTGCTGAGGACAAAACAGAGAACTTAAGATTATTTTCCATTGAATTAATGAAAGGATTGCATAAATAGTTGAGGATTTGAATCAATTGGGCAGAATTTGCCACTTAACTTTGACCGACAGGATATTTTGAGAATTTGTTGACTGCCAAGCGAAAACGCATTGTCGTTGTGCCGGTAGCATTTCCCATTTAAACACGAGTATTTCCGCAGTTTAGGCCATTTGGTCATATCCCCTCCCATGATTTTTCAAAACCAATAATATCCTCCTGCTAAGTTCACTCATTGGCTTCTACTAAAAAATGAAATTCATCAAATTTCGGATTCTTGCAAATTTTCCATCCCGAACTCTTCTGCATTCTCCAATTTTACTGTGTTTGACAAAATTCATACTTACACCGCCTTTGACAGTTGTTTTCATTCGACTTAGAGTCTCCATCAGTTGAAACAGTTGTTCGAAATTATGCGGCAAAAGAAGTAACAGTGTAGGAAGACAATCTTTGGGCGGAGGGGGTAAATTCGATGATGCTGTAAGAAAAGTGTTTCCGTCAACATCCGACCTTTTCTTACATCGGCTGTTTCCAAGAGAGATGAAGAGCATCTGAGGACGAAAAAAATAATACGACTTAAAAATTGTATCAATGCAAAAAACAGCAGCTTAAATTTGAAATCTCTCGACAGCAATGAGTTAAGGGGATATTAAAGGTAATAATTGCTGATTTTTATCAATATTGATTAACAAGATAAGTTTATTTTTCACCCATCGCCATTCTTTGCAATTCGCATGGGCAACACAGTGTAGACGAGCAGGCTGGTCCAACCAGTTTTAAATTCATCCTTTTTCGACTCTACAATTACTGACAGATGGCGCTACATGCATACGGCAACCGACATTTCCTTGACAACCGGTGCTACTCTACGGGTGACGGCAGAGGCAGAATTTACGAGCTGGTTCATCCATGTATTACATGATTATTTGATGGAAAGGCTGATTTTACCTGATTTAAATGGCATTTCAAGATCAGAGAAATGAAAAAAAAAACGACATGGTCAAGGGATACAAAATTTAATTATGAAATTTAGAACTGATACTCTTTAAATCTGTGAATATATTCTTGATCAATGAACCATGACTATTGGAATCTTAGTGACTTATGCTAAAAAAGAAAGAGAAGAAAAACCTAGCCCCTGGACCTAGCTCATTTTACAGGGGCCCTAGTGCTGTCATGTAAAATAAGCTACCAGAGTAACTTGACCCACAATTTCAACGACCTAAATTATTAACTTGAATTTTATTGCTAGTTGATATGAAGTTCTTCCTCTGCGCCGAACGATCTCACCAAACAAGCATTTCAAAGGCAATATGTAAATTTTTAAAAGTTTGTTCCTCACATAAACAGCTGAATGGAGCTTTTTTGATGTCAATTTTGTCCTGAAATTCTGGGAGGATAGCAACCGTGACTATCTTCATTCGTACAAAAATATTTTTTCAGTGGGACTACGGTTCAAAAGTTACAGGTAACATGGGAAAAACGAAAGTACTTACTTGACCATCTTTAAAGCCAACATCTTGCAAGGTTTTCTCATCAAAATCAGTGGTAAGTTCTTGACCTTGGGTAATCATTCGAATCAAACCATCTATATTTGATGAGCTCTGTCAACGAATAAAAAGTTGTCATCAGAAGAAGCAATTAAAGCAGAGAAGGATTTCACAGGAAAAAAGTCAAACCTGTTAGGGTGGTCACAGGATGTAGAAAATAAATTTCCCTGACACATTTTGGTAAAATTACATGACATTTGAAGTTACGCCAGATGGTTAAAAAGAAATAATTTGAAACAGTTTTGGGGCGAAATTTATTGTTTGAAACGTGAAACTTATTCTAAGAAGCAAATAAAGGTGACTTGAAAATGTTTTCCCTGACACTTTTGTAATTTTCCCTGACACTTCCGATATTCCCTGAATGTGGCGACCCTGACTTGTAGAATATAATCATCATGTACGACACAGATAAAGATTGGACAAGACTTGAAAAAATTAATTTGAAATAATTCAGAATTTTTCGCACAAAAAAAGTAAGATAGTTAAAAATATTTCTCAAATATGTGAGAATACTTACATTTTTATCACTATTGTCATTTGATGACATCACACACTGCCAAATCTTCCCTATTTCTGCCCTAAGTTCTGCAACGTAGTCGGTTGAGAATAGGTGAAGAGTGATTTTCTCTGTGCTCCCAGCACATTGAACAACAATTTTTAACGGCATCGAATCCTTGCCGATAATTTGGTTACTCACATTACAACCTTCTAGATACCATCTTCTTAGATGATACGCATATCTGCAAAGACACATGCACAAAAATATGACATTAAAATCTGAACGATTTTGCAAGAACACAGAGGATTAAGAAAACAGATAGTTTTTTGTAATGATCAAAAATTGCAAATTTTCGTCATGGCTTCTTGTAGAGTGGCCTCTTTCTTATTTTGATTTCAAAACCTGGAGGATTTTACTTAACCTACTACTAGGAAAAATTTAAATTCTTCATAATTGACATTCTCTTTTAATATGTTAAAGTAAATCCAAGCATGGGTAAAAAATTTAGACTTTCGATTATTATTCCTTGAATTCTTCTAACAATCTACTTGAAAATTAAGCAGTGATGCTGCTCCAATTTTGGAAAAATAGAAATGATCAAGCTCAATGATCGAATGATTAAACATGGAAGCTCTAAGCAAAGAAACTTATAACTAGTAGCTTCTCTGACAAAAGGGCGTATCACAATTCTATGTGAGCCCTCATCTCTCAATAACTCTATGCTTTCTGCGGCTCAAGTGGAAATGAAGATATGACATAGCGTCAGAGGAGCTACCATCTCACAAACAAAACCTTCCATTAATGAGTAAAAACAGGGACTTTCAAGAGAAAACAGATGACATGAATGGTATTTTGAACTCAAAACTTGAACTCATTTTTGCAATTTAGGTCATCGAGTAAGGTGGTTTTTTTTAGCGCTTTGGAGATTTTGTAATCGTTCGATCAATTAATGATTTCTGGATTTTAGGAAATTTCTTAAAATTTTCGAGCAGCACATCTCACTGTAGTACTTCAGGCATTACAGCACAAAATGTGACTGAGGAAACTTAGAAATCACTCTAAAATCACAGTTCAGGTGAATATCACAAATCGAAGAGCGATTAGCAACTTTCACTCGGACCAGTTATTTCAAAGTGTTTCCTGGTCAAATTTTGTGCACCAATATCTGACGCAGTACAGTCAGATGTTTTGTTCTTGGATTCTCAAGAAATGCCATAGAATCCATAGATTAAATTTAGACATTATCCATTGACCTATTGACTATTGAATTATTCTTTAAAGTATTGAAGAGCCACCATAATCTGTTATCTATCAATCGAACTCAAAACATAGTGCATTGAAAAAAAAAAATATATTGGTGCCCAAACCTTTTTCTGAAAGTTCCGAGATGAGTCATTAATAGAAGCAATGCACGCTGGATGCATTGCAGACTAGATTCTTCATTACTCCTTAAATCTGAAGTTGCCTCACTCAAATGAGACATGCAGTTATTGATAAATTCCTCTTCTCTAGAGAGTTGTCTGCTCACCATGTAGTAATTATTCAAATACTGAATGGCTGCCATGCTTACATCTGAAAATTTGACAAACAACATTCTTCATTGAGTAAACAGCCTATAAGAAGGCAAAATTTGTGGAAAACAATATTTCAAGTGGAATCTACAGAACGCACTTTAGTAAATACTTGCAAAATTACCAAAGAAGTTTGCGCTAGGATGGATGAGATGAACAGAACTATTTATGACTGTTCCTGCATCATTTTTATCACTTACTATGAGTATTGATATTTTTAAAATTCATTATTCTTTTTTCATTAAAAAATCTTTAATATTCAGGAAGATCTTCAACGAGTTACTCCTCAATTTATTAGTCGTCTTTTTTTATGCCATCGGTCGCCATCAGTCGCCGTCACTGCGCAATCATTCGTGTTTTGTTTCGTTGATGCCATTAGAAATGGGCGGAGCTTAGTTTGTCAAACTGAGCTAGACCATCAGTCACTTGACGCTTTGACGCCATCAGCCGCAATCACTCGTCATCCCAGTCCAGAGTGTGTCTGTGGAGCACCATCAGTGAAACCTAACCTCCAACTATTTTTTAGCAGCGTGACCGTGACTCGTTATTTCCGTGATTTCTTGTGACTCGTCAAGTTGTCTGTGATTGGATAGAGAAAAATGAGCATGGCCATCAGTCGCAATGACAGCGATGCCATCCATAAGCAACCGACAGCATAAAAAAAGATGACTATTGTTCTGCATGCACTGATTGTTCTGTGACAGCAAGCTCACACAGCATCGCAACAAGCAAACATGCTAAAGTGAATTTAGAGTGAGCGATTGCATTTCGCCTGCAGCTCCAAAAACCAATTATTGCCCCCTCAAGGATGAAGGGTTTGATTTCTCATTGAAATACATGAGTTCTCTCTTTAAAAACTTCATTTCACCAAAATCTTCCAGAAACACCTCAGTCTAATGATCAGCTGGGGGTATCGCAAAACATACTACGCATGCACCACTGAATAATGGGGGCATTCAGAAGGGTTCACTCAAAAGGAGGCTATTCCTGTCTTTCCGACTAACTTACAAGAAAAAACACTGTCACATTTGCAAAATTATGGCCTAACCCCGACCGTCAAATTGTACAGTTGAGCAATTCCAGCACCCTGACATTTGTGTCATTTCATTCTTGAAAGAGGAAAAATGCAAATAAAATTTGATTGTTACCTGTATTATAAGCTCTTAGAGCAATTTTCCAAATGTGGGTTAAGGCAACAGCATCACTGCTTTTAGTACTTGTTGAGCCTTCTTGCTTATCACTGAATGCCTGTAAAAAATAAAGCTCCAACTAAGTGATTGGTTGCTATCAAATTAAACGTTAATAAATTCTATACTTGGTAAAAGAACAACTTAATTTGGCATAAAGGCTGCAAAAAAAGAACAAAGGATAAACATAACCCGGAACGTTTCAAAATAGTTACAATTTCATTTTCAACCGGAAAATAAATTAAAAATAAAAAAGAGCCGTTGCTACGCTGTTATTGTGAGAGCGAGACTGAGTGTCTCGGTCTCGGTCGAAGTTGAAAATGAAATTATAACTATTTTGAAACGTTCCGGGTTTTGTTTATCCTTTGTTCTTCTTTTGAAGCCTTTTCCCCAAATTAAGTTGTTCTTTCATTATGTGTATTTTGGCTGATTAAGTTGTTTTTCATTCTATACTTAGTTGTTAATCTCAACAGATTTACTTTCGACTACTTTAAAGCAGGTGTGCAGGATCCTTCAAGTTTCCACATTTTCATGCACTTGCCCGTTAACCATACTTATTTTTCTTACCCGCTTTACACAAAATTTCAAAAGTTCTTCTCTTGTCCTTTGACTTTTGACTGTTGAACCTTGAAAAAAATGGTTTAGTGAACTTTGTCCACCACTTCATTATTATTACAATTATTGTTTTTCTGCAACTTAATGATGAAAAAAAATGGGTTAATTTATGCAATTTTTAGACTGACTTTTTTGGTTCAAAGTGTTAGGTCAGCATGCCTCAGCCGAGTTTGACTAAGTTGTTATAATCTCACACTGAAACTTAACGCTGGTACAGTAAGACCTCGATTTATTGGATTTCACGGGACCGGAGGCCAAATCCGTTAAATCGCGCTAGTCGGTCCCGCTGAAGAGACCGGAGGATCAATCCGTTAAATTGCGATCCAATAATTCGAGGTCTTACTGTAGTTGTGCACACTACGAGTTTACGGTTTAGTTCAGTGTACTGATCCGATGACAATTAAAAAGTATTGAAAAAGTACACAAAAATGACTGGTGTGTTAACAAGAGAAAACTTACTCTGTCTGGGTGGTTTGGTGAAGTCATTAGATCGCACAAATGCTGGTATAGCCTCAATGCAGTCATCGATATAGTGTACGGACTTAAAGTTGGCAACTTATTTGTGTAGAGATGGAGGAGTGTTTCGTAAGACAAAGCGTGGGAATCCGCAGGATCTTTCATTCGGAACTGCTTCAGTAACCAGTTGAAAAGTTCATCGGAGCACTCTTCATCTGTTGCTAGCCAATTCCAAAGAATATCTATTTGTTCTATACTTAATCTGTAATTACAGACAAAAAAATAAAATGTTCGCTGCGAAGTCAAGAATTTTATCTCTCACACATTCAAGTCATCATTCACCAAAAATTTTCAACGAAATTAATTATCACACTTACATTGCTTTAATTCTGTGTCTTGTTTTCATTCATATAGACATATTTCATTTTTATAATATATTGTGATGATATTTTTATTTATTTTCTGAAGGAAATACGCTGTTGCGTTCTCCTCCGATGTCAAACCTGGATCAGAAACCGTGTAATGAGGATCAATCGGACGTAGATTACGAATATGCATGCTGCTCAAATTTATGTTTATACATATATTTTTATTCATAATATTATTTGACTCTGATGATGGGCGCACCTTTAAATTTATCCAGTTCAGTTTGAATAAATGAATTCCTTGCTAAAACATACATATTGCATAGGGTGTCAACTAAAATTTTATTTTGAATTTTCTTGATAATTTAAATGAAATATCCTGCTTTTTTGTACAAATAAATTGAAACTTGCTTGATTTTACAAAACAGCATATTTAATGAATTAAGTCAAAAGTTTCAATTTTGTAATTACTACACTACAACTACATGTGGTATAAAAATGCTTTTGCATTCAGAATTCCCTGATATTTCCTTGGTTTTTCCTAATGACATCTTTCCTAGCATTTTCTGGTTTCAATAGTTTTTACTGACTGTAAACATCCTGTTGCAATGTGTGTTATGCTAACTCTTTCATTAATGTTATCAAACTAGTGCGTCTCGTAAATTTTGAAAAGTAAATAATAATTTAGAAACACAATTAATAACTGATCACTAAACACAGTGATTGCTGATGGTAAAGGTTTCCCTGTGCATAGCACGGGTTTCCTGCTAGTGATTGATATACCTCAATTAATTGTGGCTGAAATCATGACTAATTTCATTATTTTGATCATGAGTGAATTCAAGAGAAAACGAATGAAAATGTGTGGTTTTAAAAATCATCAATATTACACTAAAACAGAGGACTAAAAAAATGAGATGAATAATTAGGGACTCAGAATATCTTACCTGATAAATCGCGGTAGACACAATGAGGAAAATGCATGAGTGAGGAACTGTAGTCGAACTTGGACATGGACAGTGTGAGAGTAGAAAGGAGGAGGGTCTGGCTGAGTTGCTTGCTGTTCTTTTTGTTTTTTGCGTGCTTGTGTGTATGTGATCAGATTATTGAAGAACTTATCAAATAGAGCATGGTTGCGCAGAGCCCACAAAACTATTGTGTTGGAGGATAAGGGGTTTGCACCTCTCGAGTGGGTGAAAGATGCAAATAACTTTGGTAATAAGCGTAGAGATATCACAACCGACCTAAAACAAGAAACTCAAGAATTAGACGCCTACAGTCTCATTATGAACAGACGTATTTTATTCGCCACAAAATTGCAGTCAGTCAAAGATTTTGTATTATTTGCCTCGCTTTTTCTTGACCAATGAGAGCAGAGAAGCTAGAAACGAGGTTAGAAATTCTGTTAACTAGTGTTACACTTTCCCTGTAACATGCTCCAAGAGCAGTATGATTTTCCCGTAAATTAATGATAACATTGCCAGATTTTACAGAAAATAAAACACATAGAAGAAATAAGCCTTGCTTGCTTAACAGAACTGAATCTGAACAAAATGCGATTATTACAAGGTGTTCCGAGTTGTTGTGGCGAACAAAATTAGTCTAATTTTTCTCACTAATGACTATCCACAGGAAAAGGGACATTAATGCCGAGAGGGCTAAATTGATTGATTAAAACCACTGCGTAGAGATTTTTTACCTGCAGAGGTTAGAGTTAAATGTTTTAGGGAGGCGACATGAGATGCCAGCCAGCCACCTGGGAGCTCTTGCATGCTGAATTTGGAATCTACAGGATGAAGGCAAGGGGTGCAGCAAATTATAATTTAGGAGCACTGTTCACTAAAATTTCTCAATCCTACAACAATACGACTTGAGAAAAATCTCTCTCATGTGAAGTTAGCCTTCGCAGACTACGGTTTCTTTTCCTGTGGGCGGTCATATTTTAAATTATCATAAACTCGTTTTTCCAAAATACTAAGGAAAATCAAATCTGATAATAAAAAGTTATTCACTCTTTTAAACCAATCAAAATGCAAAGTCGGCAGATATTTTCGTCAAACGAGAATATTTAGCATTTAAAGGTTTTATTTTCGATGACTGAAATTGGAGTAATTAGTTACATATGGATCAAATTCCACAACGGTTGAGTTAGAGAAGATAATATTTGTCTTCAATCACCACTTTGATAGCGCACTGGATAAGTGGATAATCTTATGATTTCATATTGAATCTTCTAAAAACTTTTGCTTCAGTATAAAAAATATGTAATGTGAATCAAAGTGCAGCAAGAATAAAACTATCAGTTTTTGGATCAAGAACTTCAACTTTTGTTAATTTTGGCAACAGTTATTGAAACAACTAATGATATCACTATATTTTGTTATGGTCCAAATTATTAGAAAAGGGCAACGGAATTACCTGTTGGCTTCTAGATTTTCTAGACAGCCTTCAATGAATTTCATTCGAATTAACTTTTCAGTATTGTAACAAACTAGGTTGCATAGTGCCTTCTCAGCTTCTAAAGCTAGGCCTTCACCCAGATGGACCTGTAACAAAATTAATTGAAGGCGATGAGCAAGGAAAAAATAATATTAACACTAATCCAAACCAGCAGAAATTAGGCGAGGTTCTAACCTTGCCATATTTCTTTGCATTGCTTGGTCTTTTGGTCTGGAATATAGAAACATGGATCTTTCATATAATTTCAAAAAAAAAATTTTTGTAAAAAAGAGATGATTAAGAGTGCATGTAAAGCTATAAATCAATTTGATTTAAATACATCGACTTTCATGATAGGCCTATCAAAACCATAAGTTCTTGATTACTGTAAAAAATGGCTTAGCTGATAAGTTTCTTAGTTATTTTTTTTGGACAACTTAGCGCTTTGGTACCCTCTTAACCTCTCTTAAAATGGTTCTTACTCAAAGACATAAAGACGGAGGGCTAAAAGCAAAAAATGAAGCTTCTTTTCAACCACCTCTACTATTGGCTAGAGGATTGGCGGGGAAATCGGGACAAGTTTGAAATTCAAATGTAGGGCGGGAACTAAATAAAATTGCGGAAACAAAGTATTCTAGGTTGATTTTTGCCCAAATTCACTTACCCACTCATATTTTTTTAACTATAGGTTAGTTTTGGTCCGTCGTCGACCGATTAATTTCATTTGGGAGTAACGGTCATCTAGCACTGTAACGGCCTGTTTGAACCTGCAGAACCACCATGAGCAGAAGAAAAACTAACTTTATCTGAGATTACTGCCTGTTACTGAGCAAAAGTAGGTGTATTATAGTAGGACGCAGACCGAACTTTCTTAATATAATCGTTTTAGGCATTTAAAACACGTTTAGAAGAAGAAATAAGGAAAAATTAAGAGGACAAGTCCAAATCAAATTTTCGTTTGCCACCATGGATTCCCGCGCTCATTTACACACTCACACAAGCACCCAGCGCCAAACCAGGCTTCACTTTTTTCCCGTGCTTTTAGATACGAGCACTCCGTCTTTATGTCTTTGTTCTTACTGCAAACAAAGCTCAGAAAAGGTTAGGTCTTAATCCTAACCAACAAAGGAGACAAATACAAGGATAATTTGAGCTGGGTGAAAATTACCAGTCAGTGATACATATTTTTTTGTTATTTTTCCCCAGATTCTATGATAGAAATTTGACTTCATACTAAGTGCCATCCTACGCAAAACTGGGAGGACCCTCACAAAATTAAGACTTATTACAAAAAAAAATTATGTTTTAACAGGAATATTAAGGTGTAAAAACTTGGAATCAATTATCAACAGTGAAACTCCCAAACCACGTATCTTGTTAGCAGTGTTCAAAACTTTCCGCTCCAATTTAATTTTTTTGATGGAGACTGAATCAACTTCATTCCTTGAAGTTATTTTAGAATAAACTTCCAATGGAGAAGAGACATCACTGAAGTTTTTAAGAATTGACATTGAGTGGTTCTCCGTCTAAAAAATATAAGGAGGCAGGAGATCTGCAATGTTGCGAACCGGAATTTAAGGTTTTGGAGTTTCACCATTGTTATGCTATTAGTGAGTGTGCGAGAGGACTTACAATTTTATCGTCTTGCAGTAGATCCCACAGCAAAGTGCTCCCTGGCTTACACACATCCTCTAAATGGAACTTGACGGAGTCATCCCTCGGTAGGATGATTTTGTTGTTCGGGTTGCCATGGAGGAATGACATTGCGTCAGGCCTGTTGGGTAGCTGCTGATGAGGATAAACCATCTGGTCCAGGACATTGTGCCTCCGCAGTGCTTGCTCACAAATCTAGTAAGAACAGTATTCAAAGAGTTAATATCCTGAGTCCACCATCCCGAATGATATCAATTCAAAGCTTTCGTTCCGAACGGATCCATTGAGAGCGTTACTTGACAAATGGATTGCGTTTTTCAGTAAAAAGACAGCATTTCTGCCTGATAAAAAAAAACACTTACCTAGGCAGGGAAACAAAACAATCGCTAAGGAACAAAACCGCTCAACTGCAAACTGACGATTTTAAGAGAAAAAGAAAAAACTTCGCCATTTTTGTATTTTGAGGTTAGATTTGCGGTGCTGTTTTATACGTTACAACGCCATTACAGCGCTGATGTCAATTAAGTCATTGTTGAATAGTTCATGTCCTCCATTTTTGATCAATTCAACCATAGTTTTTACATTAATTGTTCATCAACTGGGTGTCGTTCAGTATGTGTTTTCATTTTCCGATTTATTCATACGTATTACATCCATAGGTTAAATCTGAATCGATTGAATTGGTGTTGATTGAACCACAGTCTATCAGTTCACATTTTCAAGTAGGATTGATTTGTGTCTATGGCAGAGGCACTCTTCGTACTCTGCTACGGAATTTTAGCTGTAAAAATCAAAACTTTCAACTCCAGGCACAGAGTGTGGTGAAATAAAATGATTAATAGCATGATTAACAATGCGAATAGGAGGCTGGGTAGTCTCACCTGTGCTCGGGTCGTGAAGTCAATTTCATCATCACAAACCGAGTCATCATCACCATCAAAATCACCCATATTCTTTTCAGACTTGTTGCTGACTTGTGAAGATAAGCTTCCGTTTTCGTCACCACTCAGTGTTTCTTCTACAAGTTCCCTGAATACAAAAAAATACACAGCAAATAAATAATATTTCTCATTTTCTTAGATGCATGCAAGTATGCAGTAAACAAAATTCAACATTAAAACCATTCTGTAGGTCAAAACTTTGCATTTTCATCTATTTAAAGTAGGTTTTGTCCACACAAGCGTAGTTTGGACGATTAGGTTCCAACTTAGGGAGGTTTAACAGCATTTTCTTCGACTTTTTCTAATTTTTTTGTGATGAACAGAATTTTATATTACATTTATAACAAAGACCTGTTATCAGCCTGTTATTTTTTTACTATAACGATCATTTGATTTTTCATTTTAAAGGACGAGATCTCACAGCTACACATTTTAATGGAGGGTTGGAACTGTACCTCGGTGGGAAATCAGCAGGATCCAAACTCCGCCCTTCGGATAGTGAAAAGGGCAGGAGAGGAGGTCCTTGGACTAAGCTTGCCAGCTCTGACATCACATTCAGGTTCCTCTCTGGTGAATTTGCAAGGGATTTCTGTTGAGGAAACTTCTTTTTCTGTTGAGACAGCCGCACTCCTGACGAGACCAACTCTAGAATTTCAGCCGAGTTTCCTTGCCTGTGAGGACAGTCAATGAATAATTCATTTTGCACTCAGAAAACAAAAGACGCAAATTAAACTCTGACCAAGAAGGAAAAATTGCAAATCCTATAATTATTTTTTGTTCCCACACTAGAGCGTTCAGCAATTATATTTTACTTTTGCTATAAGTATGGGAAATGTTTGTGAAAGTTGAAACCAATCAAAATATTTATGACTCAATTGTGCGATCATACAAGTAGTTACAACTAAAGACATAATTTTGGGCCACATGTACTAAGATTATTTTGTTAATTTTCATTTTTTTCTTTTTTCACTTTTGAACTTGGTTAGCTTGACATATTTCTCGAGTGTTTATGTAAAGATTCTTGTTTTTTTTTTCCTCATTTTGCATTGGCAGTACTCTTCAAAAATTTTAGGCCACAATTCAACCATCTACTCAGAAGGAAATATAACACGCCTATCAAAACACAATTCAACCATTTCATCAACAGACAATTCAACTCCTTGATCCAGAGACCATTTTTCCAGGCTGCCGATTTGACTAATCTACCTATAAACCTGCAAATGGCCAGTTAAATCATGTGTCAATCAACCAATCAAATCATTTGTTAATTGCTGTATCCAATCATCAACGATTAACAATGTCAATTTGTCTGCCAATCAACCGGTCGAAACCAGTTGAAGTGTCTATTTATCGACCAATCAATACAGGAATCAACCAGTTAATTGACGGATGATCTTATTGTTTTATCAACAGAGGATTCAACAGATCAAATCATTTCTGGATTGACTATATTAGTTATCTCCCTATCCAGGGATCCGATCATCTCTTGATCCATGGATCAAATTAACTCTGGATGGGCCAATCGAATCATCTATCGATCATATAGTCTCTCGATCGAAAGACTGCATCTTCCTTCTATTTATCAAAAATCATTCCTCTATCAACCGATCAAATCGTCTCTATAAATCTCCCCTTCGTATTTGATTCAACTGGCCCAACAACAAGTAGGATTATCTGTTGATCGACTGGTCAATTCATCTGTCGATTGGCCAGCCACCGCGTCTGTCCATCGACCAGTCAAATCATCTGACAATCAACCCTCAACCAGGTAAATCTTCTATTGATCGACCAATCGAATTTTATGTTGATCCAACAGTTAACTTTTAGGTCGATCAACCAGTCCAGTTCTCTGTCAATTGCCCCCAGCTAAACGGCAAAATATAGTCCAACTTACCGCAACATAATGTCCGGGACTTGGTGATCGGACAATGGGCTACCCTCCTTCATAGGAACAGGATTGTAGTGCTCCATCTCATCGCTACTCTCATCGTCATCATCATCGTCATCCTCATCAGAGTCGCTATCTTCTTCATCTTCCTGCTCCACTTCCTCGGACTCATCTGACTCCTCGCCCTCGCCCTCCGTCACTCTCTGCTTCACTGGTTTCTTTTGCTTCATACGCGGCTGCAGCTTCGTGCTCATTCTATCGCAGTCATCATCACTCATCCCTACCACCTCCACGACGCTTTCACGGTGCTTGGATTTCAACAAATTCCTGTAATTCACAAATAAACAAATGAGACAGTTTTATCAACAGAGAGTGTAAATAGTAATATTAATAAAATTGAATCTTGAAGAGGCTAGGATTTCGATACAACTACCACATTTGTCCACCGATAACCCGCACTTTTTATTCAAATTTTAAACCCTGAAACTGGACTATGGGTTATCTGAGAAACGCTAAGAATTCATAAAACTTCATTTGAGACCGAATATGAGGCAATTATTAATTCACTACAAGAAACTGTTCTCAAACTTTAGGGAATTGTGGAGAAACAATCTGTTCAGATTACTGGTATGCAGTCTGAAAAGATAATGTTGAGTAAGTAGAAGTTTCAGACTTACTTTTTCGGGAGGAGTTTAGCTGCTTCTAAAAATGGCCGCGGTAGTTTTTTCACATTTTCCACTTCGCTTTTGTCAAATTCTTCCAGTTTGACACTTTCTGCAAAAGAGAACATTGGTATGAAGATTTTTTTTCCACTTATATTGAGATGCTTCAATAGATTTTTTTGGCCGAAAATGATAGTCCACCTTTCTGCTACAGTATTACAAGCAGCATTCACGCTTTGAAGCTATGTTGCCAGTCATCTCAATATTATTTCAATTTTTTGTTCAAAACTTTTGCAAAAACTTTCACGAAAATTTCAGGAATCAATCTTGATGACAAACGGAATATTAGGTAAAATTTTCAAAAGATTCTGGTGATTGGCTTTCCCGTAAGAAGTTGGACAAGTTTGAGAAATTGAATGTTGTAAATCTCACTTACGGTACGCCCACACACTTAGAAAACTGTAGTAAAATGGAATTTTTAATTGAACTTACCATCACTCGAATCATTTCCAGCATTTTCTATCATTGACCGCTGCCGAGAGTTCGACTTAGGCTTGACAGCTTTGCGCCTTTTACACGGTTTAGGCCTCAAGTTGTTTGGTGGGCCCAAATGCGCATCAGAGATTGTAACTGGTTCATCGTCTGACTGAGTGTGGCAAGGGCTGTGATCTGGACTGCTCAGATCATGCGCACGTTTTTGGATCACAGACAGATGCTTCCAGATGGGACCGATATTCGCCGAATAAACACCACAGTTTGTCCAGATGAATTTAATGATACCTAGAAATCAGAATTGGACTAATTTAAAACATGTCTCCGTAAGTTACTACAAATACTCTTAGCTATAAACTTTTCAACTCTTTTTGTAATTTTGTTTCCTTTTAATAACGTATTCTTTGCCAAACCAGCCATGAAAAATGTGTCAATGGTCAAGGTGCAAAACCTCTGATCTGCATTGCAGTGTTTCTAAATCTCTGCTCTTACTTTATTTTTATGAAGAAAAACAAGCCAACTTTATGGCAAGAACATTGTGTTCAATGCTCCATTCGATAACAAACTGGAAAAAAGTATATGGTAAGTAACAAATTGAGAGAAAGAACGAGGCAACTGGAATGAGACAATACAACGAAACTAAATTCAAAGAATGACAAGAATGAACAAATTGAAGGAAACATACCAGAGGCTAGGTAGAGTGTTTGTTCAGTATGATTTTTGGGCGACAGTTGACAGAGGAGGTTGTAAAGATGGAGAACTGGCGTTACTTCCATGTTGTTGATCAGTGGAGGAAGAAGGTCGAGCACTTGCTTTGAGCAGTGCTTTAATTGCGCAGCTTGCCATATTATATCGATGTGATCATTTGTTAGTTTACACTCCATAGCGAGGAAGTTTAGGATTATGTGACTTTGCTTGATTACCTGAGAAAAGACAATTTTACTGTTGATACTGCACAAAACACAAGATAAACTATTCACTCCAGGGGAAAAGGCACTGGAAGATGGGCATTTTGTCACTTTCCAGCCAAAATATCACAAGCACCATTTACACTTGGACGCTATATTGCTGGACATCTCAATGTTGTTTTAATACTTCCTTTAAGACTTTCGCACATTCTCTCACGAAGGAATAATTTTTACTGATCCATTGATTTGGATAACATCTTATAAATTTCTATTTATTATGTCTGACTAGGTCCTGGAAGGTCTGCGAGCTGAAAAGGTTCAGAATCATGCTAACATGATCAGTTGTGCGAATGATGTCACTTAATTTTCATACACTTAATGAGTGTGACACACTCAAATGGTCTTATCATTCCCTTTAGTTTCTTCATTTTTCTTCTAGTTTTGAAGAAACAAAAATATCTCTTTAAAATAAATTTTGAACATATAACAACCCAACTAAAACACCAACATAAACCACTAAAAATGAATGACTTCTACATCCATGTCTAGAGCAGGGAGATTGAGTGGTAGAGTTCAGACTGGGATTCATGAGTCTATTATGCTCCCTTACCTCTACATGTAAATTCGGTCCGAAAATATGCGAGACGATATCATTTTCGATGAGCCATACTGCCAAACTGTGACCAATATCATTGTAGCTGCTATTGTTATTGTTGCCGCAGGTGCTCTGGCGACACGAGGATGAGTTCATAAGCTCCGTGTACATGTTTATGTGGGTGTTGATCTGAGCGATTCCTGCCAGCCTCATAGTCAATGTTGACGATGTGAAATACTTGAATGCCAAATCAAGACCCTCTCTGTCAAAAGTGAGCGGCGTGTCCATAGGATCCTTCACTGCAGTCCACATAAAATCTAATGCAACAAGCAAATCAAGTCGATGTAATATTTGTTTAAAGGAATAATAAAATGCTACTTCTTCTGTACTAAGCTTGGACAAAAATAAAAACATTCTATCTGACGAAGACCTTGGTCTTGGTTATGGAATGCTTTACCTTTGATCTGAGTCAGGATTTGGGCATAGAATAACCGCTGACCTAGCCAACATATGATTGAATTAAAACCAAATCTATCCTTAAAACAGATATATTTTTTTTACTTAAGGCCTGAAGTAGGTAAATCCATAAGGTTTACTGACATCCAGTTAAAAACAGAAAATAAGTAATAATAATTTCTCACCTGCCATTGACTTAATTCCGGGTGTTCGCAACTGCTTGTCTGACATACTCAGACACATATACCGTAGGACGCTTGCACGTAGTGGAACAAACAACTGAACGATTGTGCGATAATTCAGCCACAGCTTCAGATTGCAGACAACCGATATCATGGCATGAGCGACAGGAATGGGCAAGGACTGGTAGCCAAAACAGTACGTCATTGCTTGAACACCTCCCGCTCTGAAATGCGACAAAAATTCATGAATTATTGCTTATTTGCATTACTCCTGAAAAAAACTTTAGGATTAAACTAGAACATTGAGCTCTTTATTGGGCAAATAACAGCATAACTTTCTTTTTCTTTGGTCCTGATCTTCTGGAAAACTTGTCAAATCACTTCTTTGCGGTTCCCCTATAGGGCATTCTAATGTCCATCCTCAGGTCGTACTTCATGGTACTTAGTCCACAGGTTGCAAAATAATGATTAAATCATTCCAATTTTCGGATTAGATATTCTTTATCATTTATTCTTACGATAGAATCATAAGGTGAAAAATTTCATTGAATAATACAAATTGCTGCATTTTGATGTTTTTGATAAAAAATGTAATACATTTTCTCTGGCTTTTAAAGGATGTTGAGCATCAAAGTGCTTGTCAAAAAACACACTTCAAAGCGAAGTTCAAGTTTATTCCAACATTGTAGCAGAGATCAGAACAGCGTATCAAACAAACACACATCAAAAAGCCCAATACAACGGAGTTGTACAATTAAAGCCATTCAGAAGTTTTTAAAAACCAAGGAAATAAAAATTTGATGAAAAAATTACTTGAAAAATTACCCTACACCTCAGCTCTTTGAGGTTCAGTAAAATTATCTTTCGTTTTCAGAGTTTCACTAACTTTTCAATAACTTGTTTCCATGTATAACTGATTGAAATCTTAATGGTCAACACATAGGAGAATGGTAATCGTAATAATTTTCCTTTTATTGTAAATTTGCATAGAGGCTAACGAAGCGTCGACTTAGAAAATGGTGGAAAATTAGAAAAAAAAAAAACTTTGGTACAAAAACTAGAGACAAGTGCTGTTCAAATATGCAAAATAATGGTGGCAATAATTTATGAAACGGACAAAAACATGCAAAATATGGGTGGCCAAGGCTAAAAATTAAATCCTTTGAAAGGCTGGGGTGTTTTGGGGTCATAACAACCCCGAAAAGTCTCAGCCTTTTCAAATATTTAATTTTTAGCCTTGGTTTTCAATAATTTGTGGGTTTTTATCCTGATCATATTTCAGGTCATTGCGTTTTCATTTCTACTTTTTACACATTTATTGTTGTCTTCGAGTTACACCTACTCATTTTTTATTACTATATTATTAGATTTTGTTCTTCCTCTTTTGTAGATCTCCTTTTTTGGCATTATTTTAATCATTTTCGCGATTCCTTTGTGAGAAGAAAGTTTCTCCTTTGAAAAAATAACAAAAAAAAAGAATTAAAAAATAAAATATGACAGAACTTTTGTGGATACCTGGAGAATAAAGACACATTTCGCAAAAGGTAGACTGGAACTTCAAGATCATGGAGATCGCAAAACGTGCTGAGGTTGTTGGCCTCATCGGATGTTATGATATCACCCTTGGAGTGGACATTCTCTTGCTTGCAGGCCATATAGAGAGGAAAATTCAGCAGGAACACTTTGGTTAGGAAATGCAAAAGCTTCTCGAGATCTGCTATGGTCCATTCATCTAGTTTTTTATCTGCTGGCTCATCTAAAGGCAAGAAAACATCATGCAATAACATTATGAGAAATACGAGTTTGTCACATTATTACAAAAAATATACATGATTTCATTGTGTCCTGTTATTTATTTTCACATCACTGGCAGTGAACAAGCCACAGAAAAACCAATAGTGCTTTCACTGGATATTTTGAGCCAATACTTCCTCCAGCATAGTAGAGTGATTTAGTGGCTTCTCGATGATCCACCAGACAAGGTGCCAATCTAAGTATTATGATACATTCTTCACCATCTAAATTTTATGTAGAATACAATTTGTAGAACGAAAATTATTGAAAGTAACTCCTAAACAAGATATTAACATTTCTTGATGCATCAATTCAAACTTCCAGCTTATAGAAAAAACAAGAATCTATTTTCATTCAATCGGAAACTACTTGTTACTCTGACTGCCTCTGCAGTATCACAATGTGACAATCTCTATCTTGATGCTTCCGCTCAGTTATTGCGTGTTGTTTACACTTTGAATAACACAGAATGGAGAAGAACACTGCACGATCCATGGCAACTAGCCATGATCCATTACAAGTCTGCTAGAACCGTTGCAGTGAGCGATTTTATTCAAGTAGACTCTGGTCATTCATGTGAGCGGTAAATTCAAATTTGTCAAAACCGATGCAAAATAAAAACGTTAAAATTTTGGTTGGGAGTTGGTTTCCATAATTTTTGTTGAGCAAATCGAGTTATATGTGGAATTTTAAGGCAGAAACATATATTAAAATGCTTGAATTTGCACCTTGTCTGGTGGTCCATTGTGACTAAATCTGGGCAAATAGTGATGAACTCCAGATTGCAGGTCTATAAAATAAAGGAAAAAGGAAAAATCCATTCAAACCTTTTTTGCTGGTGGTATCTTCTTCAGTGTCCTTTTGATCCTCCATATCAATGTCTTCAAAAACTTTGCTTTCATAGCCTTCTTTCTCGACATTCTTGCTAATTTTAATCACCTCATCGCCCGAATAACATTTCATCAAATTAATGGTTAATAGTACTATGCTTTGAGTTAGCGAATGAAAAATATCGTAATGTTTTGGATCGCGAAAACAGCATATACACTGCCTGAAAAATGAGTGAGAAGGACTGTTGTTAGCATATAACGTATGAACAAGCTGAGCGTAAAAAAATTGAGAAAGAACAGAAATGCGTAGAATGTAAGATCAATGGGCCATAAATCATTCATTTTGAAGTTGGCACTAACCATCATTGGATAGAGAAGGCAATAAGTTCGGTGGGCCTGCCCAAAATCAAGGGAAGTATGTTTCTATAAATAAGAGGGCAATGCAGATTACTCATCTCCAAAAGAGAAGGTCTTGCTTTTTAAGGGTGCGACTAAAGCTTTCTCATTTATTAAATTAAATTGTTATTGATGTGACAGCGAAGCTTGGAAAGGCTGGTTTTTACTTCATTCCTTCCGCTCAAGAAAGAAAATGAGCACAATGAAAATGCTTCATTGGGTAAGAACTACGGCACAAGGTAAAATGACTCTTTTTTCACTATATACAAGGGTTGTGTCTTCTAAAATTCAGATGTAAATACACATGAAAAAAGTAAGGAATAAAAAGGAATTTGAGGTATATTTACCTTTGCATCCATTGTTGAATAAAGTTGATGACAACCTGTACATCCTGCTTACTTAGAGCTAGGGTTTCGTTTGGATGAACATTCTTTTCTTTGACTGAAAAGAAAGAATTCAAGCATTTAAGGTGAGACTGAGGACAGTTTTTTTTTTACAAAATGAACATAGGTACAAAGTTCTATCATCTTATCATTAGGTACAAAAGAGGATAAATAATTTTGAGCACTGATGAACCTGAGAAAAAAGTGACTTAGGGTGAGTTGCCACACATATCATGCGACGAGCAATGAAACGCTGTTTTGGTCACAATTATTGATTTTGAATATTTGATGCTAATCCATTTCTTCCTACCTCAAGAATGTGCAGTGAAACTTTTTAGTTATAATACATATTTCCAACAATATTAAAATGGTTTTAAATGAGAGTAGTCAATTTAAAAACTCTAGATAGATCTTGAATTCTTTTCATATTCAGCATATTAATGGTGAAAATACAAAGACATATACTTAAATCACAGACTCTAAAAAGTTCCCTTCTTCCTTCATTTTGTTTAGAAGAGTATCACTTGAAATTTTGGTTCGACACATTCGAACAAATTTAGAAAAATGCAAAGAAAAAACACACAACATTTTGGGAAAGTACAATGATACGCAAGTCATTCTTAAAAAGAACAAGAAATGTAAAACACCACAAACAGAAATAAATAGTTTTACAGTTTCATAATAGATATGGACTTAAAGAGAAATTTTCAAGGACAAATTCACAAATGGTGGTAAGTCCTGCGAGCAGAAAAAACTTGACAGCTTGACATAGTAACTATTTTCAAGGCTGAGTCAAATTGTTGCTTTTCATCAGTGGGGTTAGTAGAATTGAACTTACTGTCCTTTCCAAAGTTAAAAGTTATTTAAGGGAAGAAGAGAAAAATGGAATAGGTGAAATAGAAAGAAAGGTGGGATGATGAAAACGAAGACTATCTCCTATTAAGATTCGCATAGGGAAAATGAGGATACATACCTACAATGTTTAGAGCCAAAATTGGTGGTACACCTCATTGGAAAATGCAGTCCAATTTAGCTTAGACCTTGCGGTTAAAAAACCTCGCATTTGGTACAGAAATCGATAGCTGAATCGAATGCGAGGTTTTTCCCCTAACACTCTGCTTTCATTTCTCTAAACTTTGCCAATTTTTGGGTTTAGAGTGATTCTTTAGGCTCATGCACAGGGGCTATCCTCCTTTTTCTGGCTAAAAATTCAAAATCTGCCAAGAGTTTTTACCTAATCCATGCGATACATCGCATGTAGGTTTGACCACATCACTTAAGCTTCACAAATCACCTTAAGACGATTTGTACCAGTATCTGGAATGGTCAAACTGGCATGCAATACTTTGCGTTGTATAGGTAAAAATCCAGGTAGATTTTGAATTTTTAGCCAAAAACAGCTCAAGCCTCAAAAAGAGCATCATGCACTTAAGCCATGACTCAACCAAACAAAATTAAGGTGACGATGAGGGGGGTGCTGTCACTAATAGCAGGACACCCTGGTTGAATTCTCATTATTGCCATTCACCCACATAATTTCAACTCTACTTACATCTAATTTTCAGGTGCTCCTAATACCTTTCACCACTGGCCTTAATCCTATATTATCTGAACTTATCTATCTTATCTATTATATTATCCCTCAATTGTGGGAAACTGCCAATCTCAAGAAGGGGGGCTGAAAAGAGTACTACTGCTTTTCATGCAGCTTTCATACTGCTCCATTTCAAATTGCAAATACACTAAACTTTAGATTGCCAAGCTTATATTTTCTTAGTCAAATTCTGGATTACCTATTTAAAATCCTGAAAATCAAAACTCGTTTCAAAGAGAACTAGTGGATGAAATGTTGATACCAAAAAGCTCCCAGCAATTGCAAAAGCACTAGGGTACCTCCAAAGGCATAAAGAGACTAAATGTCTGGATATCCTCCGCTTCCATGGATGGCAAGCACTAGCCCTCAGAGAACTGCTTGAAGTGAACATTTCTGCAGAATTTATTCACATCTTGGGCAGACGGTAGGGGGCATTTATCCTAACTTTGAAGTTGTCTTAGGATCTTCGATTATGCATGTTTTAGGAAGCAAACTCATGGAAGGGTTCCAAATAAAAATGGTCTGAAAATTTACTACAGATTTCGTTAGATTTAGTGCCTTAAGCCAACCAAGAACTTTGACACAGAAGACAATGGACAAACCACTGACTTTCATATGAAGGTGGGATGAAAAAACGCTATGCTGAAATTTAACAACCTATTTCTACTCTAGTTGCAAGTCTTCATTATATATAAACAAATTTTCTTTTATCTTATCATTTTCATTTTTAGGTACCTAAGTATGCGTATAATAGGAACTGAAACAGGGGGGTTAGAGAAACTGATAACAAGATTCAATAAAACACTGCTTTCTCTGAAAATGGACGCAAAAATTGCTTAAAGATATGCCGGTGGAGAAAACTTATGGTACGATCAAATCATGCTGACTCTAAACTGAAGCCGATTTATTAGCTGCAGAGACTCGAATGTATGGCACTGTCACTGAAGAATTGGTCTGATTACAGGGTGATCGACGATTTTAAGAGGTTGCATGCTCCTAATACACAGCAAAAGTATGTGCTTAAACATACTTAGTGGAAAACAAAGCTTACAGAGGGTATGAAGGATTTGAGAACTGGCAACCATTTCAACAATAAAGTCAGACCACATCATGACCACATCTTCAGTTTACTGGGTCATAACATTATGTGTCCTGGGGTGTCAAAGTTAAATTTAATCAACATCAATCTAAAGTGATAAGAGAAGCTAAATCCAGGAGCGATAAGAAACACTCATGAGTTTCAATTGTAGGGCAGTGAGGGGGCAAACCGAAAAGGAGCCTCGTGTTCAGTGCGACAAAGAATCCTTGTGGTGTAGTTGAGGAATTGTCATGACTATCATGGTCAACAGTTTCGTTGAGTAACAGTGAAAAGTAGGAGACTTCAGATGGGAAAGGAAAAGAACATACAGCTTACAGCAGGACTTGGAGGTGGTAAGACACTGAGCAACAAAAATACTTACGAGAACTCAGAAGTTGTGAAAAGTCAGAGCACACTTCACACATTGTTGTGGCTAGACATAGTGACTGTAAAAAACTGAATTAAACTCTGCGATAAAATGTACGTATACGCTTAAAACAACAAGATATGCAGTTTATTCACCCATTATGAACTTTTTACTTCACACACAAACCACAAACCCCTTTTGCATTTGGCAAATATAATGGACACCTTCGATGTCTACAACAAAAATGTCATCACGATTATCAAATTTCGCGAGAGGAGAACCGGATTGGAAGTTGGCTTTTGTGCCTCGAGATCTTATGTCTGCGAATAAATGACACTGGTAAATGGCGGACGCCAGCGTTTTAGAGCAATTAGTGAAAACATCAAAACGCACACTTGAAAAATACTATTTTGACGAGAAAAGTAAAAGCGAATTGATCGAACTTCGGGTAATAACCATCATCATTGTAAACAATGAACATAGTTGCCAAAATTCAAAGTTATCCCTCATCTTTAAGAAGAGAAAGAAATTGAATCCGCTACTTCGGCAATAAAAACTTGTTTTTGAGTAAATATTAATGTCAATTTATCAATGGTTACCTAAAAGTATAATTTCCCAAGGTTTGAAGGAGAGAAATGAAAGAATAATTAATGAAAAAATTTGTAAATAAAGAGTGACTTGGCAGCAGTGTTAAAAAGTTCGGTGCACTCTCGATAAAGATGGCGGGATTTTTGAAAAGTCATAAGCTGTGCAAGAGGATTCCTCTTATGAGTCATGAGGGGGAGTAGCATTTCATATGGAGATTTATCAATTTATCGGCAGATTAACATTAATTTCCTCCAATTATTTGACTTAGTTTTTCGGATGTTTAACAAATCGGATGAAGTTGATGCTAGGAAAATTTACTTTTACTCCTCGACGATTATTTTATGACTATCATCCTAATAATCTATTTAGGGTGTTAACTTCCTTGGTAACACTTCGAGAAATTCTAAAATTTTGCCAAAGAATTAGAAGCATTTTGATGGCTAAAGTCAAATGATGCATACCTCAAAATGCGTAATTTTAGGTCTTCACTTGTGTTTTATTTTAGTAAAGGAAAAATAACCAGCAGTTTAGATGGAACTTTTCTTCCCTCATTTAAAAAAGAAAGAAAGCAAAAAATCAAATGAAATTTCAAGAAACAATTTCGTTTAGTTTTCTTTGAAAAACAGTGAACATAATCAGAGATACTTAGAAATTGCAGTTGAGATGCGCATTTTTCACATTTAGCCATCATTCTTCTGCATTTTAGTGAAGTCTTTAAAATAGGTGATTCCTGATAAGAGTTTGAGGATAGAAAAGGAAACAACTCTGATTAAAACAAGTGTAATTTGCAGAGTAGATAGGAATTAGGAAGTATTCACAGCTATACGTCTACACTTCATAGGTTTTTAGTGCACTCACAGGTTTATACTTAGGCTTAACCCATTACTTAAGTTTACTGTTTATACATTAATCCAAAATCTCGAATTAAGTTTACTGTTTATACATTAATCCAAAATCTCGAATATTCAAGTTCGAATATTTTTTCTTGGCGTTCCATTCAAACTCGAACTTGAAGGGGAAAAAAATGTTTGAGACTTAAAAAACATGAATGTAAGAATATGAATTAAAAAAGGGAGTTAAAAAAAGGTCTAGGTTAAAAAAGGGAGAAAGGATCCACTTGGACTCTACTAGTGGTCTAACATCAGAGGTTTTACAGATCAATTCGATTTCAAATTTTTCTGTAATATCTAAATCTAAAATTGTAAAATTTCTAAATTCTATTGATATCTAAAATTTTCAAAAAATAACAATTGATTAATTTGTGATTGATAATTTGGATGAGCTTTTCAGTCTATAGACTGAAAAAATATGCTTGACAATGTAAATTACTGACAGTGTAAATTATGCTTGATAGTTATGGGCGGATGTTTCTATGACTGAGCAGTGAGCACCCTGAGGTCTTACTAAAAAAGATGAATGAAAGAGTATGAATCTAAGTTAAAACAGGGAGAAAGGATCCACTTGGACTATACTAGTGGTCCAATATCAGAGGTTTTACAGATCTATTTGATTTAAAATTTTTCTGTAATATCTAAATCTAAAATTGTAAAATTTCTAAATTCTATTGATATCTAAAATTTTCAAAAATAACAATTGATTAATTTGTGATTGATATTTTTGATGAGCTTTTCAGTCTGTGGACTGGAAAACTACAGACAATGTAAATTATGCTTGATAGTTATGGGCGGATGCTTCTTCGAATGAGCACCCTGAGGGCTTACTTGACTTTTTGAGGCCATCAGTGCTAGAAAATTCAAGTGGGTAATACTGATGCAGGATAGGAAACTGGCGAGAGTAAAGGGTCTCTGTGGGCCAAAAGTTAGATGTCACACTCTGAGTAGAAGAGGGAACGGTCCTTGGATTTGGCGTATTGAAAACAGAGACTTGCTGTCTTTGTACCTGCGGAGTTGCATGGGGAAAAATTGGTCGATAATGTGGCATTTCTTCCTGAGGATAGCAAATCTGATTCCTAGAGAAGGTATGAGGATTTTGAGACTTAGGATAGTGAGATACCGGTCTTTCTTGCAAATATTCCGGTTGCCAATATGGAGTTCCAACAATTCTAGACGAGTGAGAATCTGCCTGGAAGGCATTTGGGAACAGAGACGACTTTGATCCTAACTGACTGAAATTGTTAATTTGGTAAGAGAATTGATTTTGTTCATCGTTTTTCATGAAGAGACTATGTTGTGGCATGTGGTCTTGCGACTGAATATTAGCTGGATGATTACTCAAGTTCAAGGCTCTATTTTGTGCGAGGCTTGATGATGGTGGGATAAATTTCTGACGGCGATCTTCTACGAAGTGAGTCGTTTCATTCGGGGTGGTTTCATGAAACTGATTTATTTCTTGGGGGAGTTGTTTTGATATGATGCGACTTCTTTGCCAAGAATTGTTATTTTCTTGGTGGTTTTGGGTAAAATACAAAGTTTGCTGCGGTGCGAAGTCTATCGCACAGCTTGAAGCGAAGTGGTTTGCTTGGTTTGAAACACTTTCTTGAGTGCTACTTCCAGTCTCAAAATCATGATCTATTGGCTGACTTGGCATTTCTGGGGAATACTGCAAGAAAGAAGCCTCAAAGAAAGACTTTTCTGACTCTTGTCTTGGCGGACTAGAGATTTCGGCCGGATCTGAGATTGGTGGATATTTTGTGCTGTGACACTCTCCAAAATCATGATGATTACCCTTTTCTGACCGGTCTACTTCAAAGGATTCCATTGAAGTTACATTGTGGTCAGCTTCACCGCGAGGGGAAGTTCGGTAAATAGCAGTATCTGAAGCACCCAGTATTTCTGTGCAGACAAGACCTTCTCCCACAGGAATGGGTGTGAAGTTTTCGTCTTGCTGACAGACAGGCTTCACCATTTTCATGAATGCTTTCTTTTGACGTTCCTCATTTTTACGGTCAAATCGCGATGGACTACTCTGTAGTGACTTGGGTAAAGTCGATCCAAAGTTGACTTTGCGCGTCTTGTTTTTATTTGTTGTAGAACTGACACTCGATGTTAGAATGCTCCTCAGTGCCTTCGGTTTCTCCTCATTTTTTTGCGGGGTCAAAAGTTTGTTTTCTTTATCGGAGCTTGTCCTGGGTGTAACGGTGTTTTTCTTTTGGCAACCAAATTTCAAAGAGAAAGCCTTCAATTTTGGAGGTCTGGTGATGAATTGCTTCTTTTCATCAGTATCGTCATTTGAATGGTTTTCTTTCTCAACCCTTGAAGCTTGCCCTAAAGTGACACAGTTATTTTTACCAGAGCAAGATGGAAACTGATCAGGAAGGGTTCCATTCTCATTTTGACCGATATTTGCAAAAGGGGAGCTATGCTTGTATGGTGCAACCAAGGAACTAGGTACTTTTGATTGCGGTGTAATAGCTTTTTGGATTTTATCCTCAGATTTGGCATTCACGGTATCAGCATTATTATTCGTGACTTTACCAATACCTAACATTCTTTTTGTCTGAACAGGCCCACTTACAATTTTTGAGCTGGGATGAATTGAGGTTTCCATAGCTAACCAAGGGGTTCTTAATTTGAACGTAGATTTTCCAGTCATAGTGCTACATGGAGTGTCAATTGAATTTTTTGATGATTGTTTGCATTCATTTATCTTTGCTTCCATCTGTTCCAATACATTGCCTGATTCAACTGTATGGTTGGATCTTTTGTTTTCTCTTGAAGCGGAGCTCTCTTGTGGCCTGGGATCCATCGATGGAACTGACACTTCAGAACGAAAGGTGGTTTCCACATGGGGCAATAACCTGCAAAATAAATAAATAAAAATTGATCGTTACAGTTAGTTGAGCAGAAAAATTTGTCTTGGACAAATCTTGCCCAAAAAAGCAATTTATTGGACGTTTCAAAATATAGGATACAATCCACATCAACACTGATTTGAGTCTCAGAGTCCACGTTAAATAAGTTTACGCATTTTCAGACTGCAACAGAAGATCCGCCATCTTGATTGATCCATTCACTTTAAATGTTAAAGTAACGTCAGACGATGTTCTGTCACAGTCTAGAAATGCATAAACTTATTTGGCATGAACTCTAGCTATTTCTATTTTTAAATCCTCTTCCAAAAGAGGCAGAGTTTAAAAAATATGTTTCTTTCATGAGAAGGAAGTTTGAATCTATGCATGGAAAAAGGTTGATATCTTAGTTAGAAGCTACTTTCAATAGTTTTTGTTGTACAAATCGTGCTCTGTGTGAAATTTTAATGAGAGAGCATACACCATACTGCTTAAATTCACACCTTGTCTGGTGGTCCACTTAAGTGTATCTAATAATTTCCGAATATTTTCAACCATTAAAATATGCAACTGATAAAGTGTTTAGTTTTTAGTGAAACCGTTTTGCCTCCACTACAAATTCAAGTATTTTTCCCGCGGAATTGAGGCACATAAAAAAGGGACAAACACTGAGTGTTGAAGAACGCCCCTATTTCAACTTTTTTACAAAATCTACGATTGAAGACAGGCAGAATTTGGATTTTGAATTATTCACTACTTACATATTGCCATTGTTTCTTGATGCTGATTTCTGAGGTTCTGATGATTGCCCTTTGACATCTGAAAGAATGGAGAAAATAAAAATCTCAAAAACAAGAAACCATCAAGAAATTTGAGTTTATACATTCAGAAGATACCATGGCATAAAAAAATAGAAAGAGAAAAATGAGTAATTCAAATTCTCATAAGTTGGAAAAAAAAGAAGAAAATATAAAAGAAGATAACATTTCCAAATAAAAACTCAAAAAATTGGGACGTTTCTTTTCAACAGCCTTTTTGTAAACTGTCATTAAAGGTCTTGAAAAGATTTGATAAAAAATTATGAGGATATTTCGCATCAGTTAAATTTTGTTGGTTTTCTCATACAATGTCTTTCATTGCCTTTTTGACATAATTTGCTTTGAAATTGAAATTTTATAAGTGCAAATGGACCACAAGACAAGGTGCAAACTTGAGTATTCTGCTCAGTTTCGTCTTAAAAATTTCAAGTAGAATAGGATTCCCGCTACGAAAATAACTGATATTAACTCCAAATCTAGATAATGTTGTTTTTATTCAGCATTGGCTTCGGGAAATTGGAGTTTCCCACTGACAGGAAAAACAAGAGTCTACTCAAATCAAATCGCAAACTCAATTAGGCTTCTCAATGACCAGTGTTCCTCCTCCATCCTATGTCATTCTAAGTGTAAATAACTTGCAATAGCTGAATCGAAACATCGATATTGAGATTGTCATACTTTCATACTGCAAAGACTGTCACAGTTACGTTAAACATGCAGTTTAACTCACGGAGATTATTGTTCTTTCTGCGAGCGGTAAGTTTGAATCTATGCATCAAAAAACGTTATCTAGGTAGGGAGATACTATTAATCAGTTTTGTTGCGCAGATCGTTTTCAATGTAAAAATTTGATTAGAAAACATACATAATAGAGCATAAAGTTGCACTTCGTCTAGTGGTCCATTGCAAGGCAAAATTTTTTTATAAAACATGTCAATAAATATTTTTATTGTATTAGTGAGGACTGTTCATAAACAATTCACGAGAAAAAAGAAACTAATTCTAAACTAATGTGTATTGATTACCTTCAGGGGAATTAAGGTCCATGACGTAATCAGAAGTACTACAAGTTTTGACAAATGTTTTAGCAGCTTCCTCTGGATCATTTATCACAGATTCTGTGGAAGGATTACGGACTTGCTTCTCAGTGTTGAGCGACGAAGAGTGTCCATGTCCAATATCAGTGCTGTTTTGCATCTCTAGATAATTTATTTGATTCTTGTTATCAGTAGGTAGAGCATCTTGCTGTTTTTCCACGAACGGATATTCACATTGCTTTTCCCGGGTCAAACTCAAGGATTCTCTTTCCATTGGATCAGCAATCACCTCACAAGATTGACCCTGCGGATTATGCCCCATGGAGGGCAAAATTTGCTGAGTTTGTGAACGCTGAGCAGGTTGTGACTCAATTTTGTTCTCTGGGGGACATGAACGAATGGTCGTTGTGGTGGATGTTGGTCCGTTTTGACACGAAGTAGGAAATACTGGTTTTGACTTCCAAGTTTGATTGGATTGATTATGCCTAACATTAGAAGGAGACGATAGTTCCTCCAATCTATCATTTGAATTTAACCGATGTGGAGTAAATAGGGCTTTGTCCTGAAAGTTTTTGGACAGCGCTAGACGGTTCGATAGCTCACATCTTGAGTTATCTGGAGCATTTGCATTTCTCCTCATCATATGATTGTCGTTAGGAATTGAAGACTGAATAAAATTAGATCTTTGATCTTGGATAAAACTGTTTGAGTGCATTCTCAAAAAAGAGGGATTGCAGTTTTGAGAAACTAGACGATCTTCTGGGTCAAAGTACTGATTTTGATTGCTGATATTGTCAAGATAATTCAAATGGGTGGACATGCAATGTCGGCGAGTGTCCTGCCAGCTACTGGAGGAATTAATTCTAGGTGGCAACAGGTTTTGACCATTTTCTATACCAAAAGGAGACAAATTCTGATTGTTTGAGTCTACGAGAACGAGATGACTCAAACTTGGATTATTAAAATAATTGGAGGGATGCATTTCAGTGGTTGAATAGTTCTGAGTTATGCTGAATGGATTATTTTCTTCACTGAGATTACGGCCATCAATCCTGAAATTTTGATTCGTAGACATGGGTTGGGATGGTCTTAAATCGTCTAAACCAGCATTAGCACCATTCCAATTCCAGCTGGCTTGACAATTAGTAACACCAAAATTATCATGTTCATAAAATGTAGCACTCACATCTGAAGCAGGATGAGAATGGAATTTTGGGCCTTCAAAAAAACTAGTTGGGTACGGCTCAGTGCGCGGATGAATCATATTTGAACAGTTTTCTGCAGCTGGATGAGAAAAGTATTGGCTAACTTCATTATTTGAGCTCACAAAAGCGGGAGGATTCAACTGTCCCTCTGCACAAAAGCTGTTGGAATTCGGCTCACCGAGTGAAGAGTTTTGTCTTGAAGAGATCATATTGTTTTCTGCACTAAAATTAGGCACAAGTCTGCCACTTGGGTTATTGAAATTCTCTTGGTTAGATCTTTGTTTATCACAAAAACTATTGGAATACATTGTGACAGCTGGATAATTAGAATCCTGCTTGGTTTGATTCTTGTCGACTTCTGCAACAAAACTGGGCTTCTTTTGATTTGTATTGAGATTGACCGGAGCACTCAATTTTCCCTCCTTCACCACAGGATAATATTTTTTAATCCCATAGCTTTGACTTGCTTTAAGCTTGCTATCAGACGAAGGACTTGAATGCTGTTTGGCACTGGAGTCACGTACACATTTTTCTTCCTTTGAATGGTTAGCTGTAGATCTAGAGACCAGTCCCGTTTGAAAATCTGATTTCCTGACATGGCGATCTGTGTATTTGCTGATTTTGGATTGGCTGATCGATCTTCGTTCTACACAAGGCGACACTTGAGGAGACTGCGTTGATTTCGAAGCATCTTCATGTAACGCCTGCATGAATTCTTCCATTTCTTCATCATCCACAGCATATTTACTTAAATCTGCTGTTGACTTTGTAGGAAATAGATTGCTTTCTTGGTGGGAAACTTTTTTCGCTAAGGGCGTTGCCTGATGTTCAGTTTGATTTGCGTTGACTGATGAGGTGTGAGGAAAAACAGAGCCTTGACATTGTTTTGCAAGATTGGTGTGGCCAGGATTTTTATTATCTGGGTTGTCTATGGTTATACCATCACAGACTCTTTTAGTTAGAGGGGTTGCTTTCACAGCAGGGGCAATTCTGTGGTTTTCAGAATTTTCAACGCTTGGTTTTGCACTTTTGCATTCTTCAGGACTTCTTAGGTTCAGTAGCGGGTGGTTTCGCCATGAGGTAGCAGCCTTTGCAATTGCCGCGTCCACTATATCTTTAACTTCTGAACTCCCACTATCACCAAAGTTCTGCCACAGTTCACTGGACTGTTTTCCTCTGAGGGGCTCGAAGATGTTGAATGAAAATCTCTCTGCATCGTTAACGATATTTGACTTCGAACGAGTGCTGGAGTTGGATTCTGGCCGCTGGTTGAAAATTGATAGAAGGTTGTCATTGTGTGTACTATTGGATGGGAATCTGACGGCAGTGGAGCTTTGAGAAAGAGGAAAGGCATCACTTGAAGAATTTATTTTTGGATTTTGACTGGGTTCCACTGTGCTTTGGGAAAGGGAGCAACTTTCGATACGGTTGATGTTGATGTTCATGTCTTGAAAGGCTTGGCTTTCACGATGGTGTAAATTATTATCCTCTGCAGAATCACTGATAGACATTGCGCTCAAATTCTGAGATAGTTCTTTTTCTTGACTATTGGCGGCAAAATTTTCTTGACTGTTGGCGGCAAAATTTTCTTGACTGTTGGTGGCAAAATTTTCTTGACTGTTGGCGGCAAAATTTTTTTGACTGTTGGCGGCAACGTTTTCTCGATGAGATTTATCGATACTTTCGATCTTCTCTTGGAATGTTGCTTTGCTCAACTTTGACACAGGAGTAAAAGAGAAGTCACTTAAAGTTTTTTGGCCTGGCGTAGAAGGAAATTTGTCCTTGATTTTCTTCACCTGAAAAATAGAGAAATTAAATGGTTTGAAATTATAACGTTTTAGAGGATGGTCGAGGGAAATTTTTAATACATTCAGGTAATTTTTTTGTTTGACTTTTCTTTTCTTTTTTCTAGGGCCTGTGCGAGCCTGGATTTTTGGGTTTGAGCAAAGTTCGAGTATTTTTTCACTATTTTGAGCGGAGTTCGAGCTTTGAAAATGACCCTCAAGCTGAGTTGAGCTCGAGCCAAGTCGAGTTTGAATAATTTTGAGTTTCAACATGTGATTTTACAGTAAAAACTGATGGCAAAACTAAAAATAATGATAGAATGATTAAAAAATTTAGGAGCTGGACTCTTCTGGTGTTTCCGGCTCAGAAAAGCTCGAAATACTCGAAAAACTCGTGTTATATCGGCACTCGAGCTGAGTTTGTGTACTCGCTCGAATCTAACCTAACTTTCAAGCCGAGTCAAGAGCTTGATACTTGGCTCGACTCAAATTCGAGCAAGCCCTACTTTTTCTATTAAAATTTTCCATCAGAAAATATGTTAAGTTTGTTTGAGGGTGTATTAGGTGAAAAAATAAAACAATTTAAAGAAACTTCATGAGCTTTTAAGCATCTTTTAAAGTGTTAATGTAAATTTGAGGGCAATTTTTCTTCAGATGAACGCGTTTGTTTCTTTTTTCTCTCTTTTTTCCCCCTCTTGCCTAATATTACTGAAACAAGCAGAAAAAGTGGATTGCATGCTTCAAAAAGTAACCAAAAGCATGCCAATGTTCCTAGGATTGTGCAATTTACATTATAGGCGATGAAATTACTGGCATCACGCAAAAGATTAAACTTACAAAGGTGATTTTCGTATTGAATTTATAGTTTATTGCGAGTAAAGATAAAACTTGTTTCGATGATCTGTCTATATTTGCAAGGTAAAAAAAGTTGCACGATCTTAGCGACATTGGAATGCTCTCGGTTCCTTTTTGCAAAATACAATCCAAGTATTCCATTACTTGTGTTGTTCTAAACACGTAAAATTATTCACTTTTCTCGGGAAAATTCTTTGAAAAAAACATCTACCATTTTGAGTCCCACAGAGGTCAACATATTTTGATACAATCAATACTTTTTCGTTTGTAAGCTAAATCCACAGACTTTTGTGATTCGGAAGATCGACTTTTCTGCTTCTTGCTATAATTTTTTAATTTGGTTGAAAAATTTCCCATTGTTCCAGTGAAACATGTCAGTTGGCATGCCCAAAAGATATGACGATGGATGAATATTAAATCTCATCAATCATTAGAGAGACATGAGACATGGGCTATAAAGAGGAAAGTCCACTTATTTTTTGGAAACATTACGCTTTTTTCAATTCTTAGCAGTTTCATGCTAAAAACTTGCACGAAAAATTGAAACTGCAATTTTCTATTGCAAAATTCTACTGCATCAATGATGATGAGAAGATAAAGTAATCCAAGAAAATTAAACATACCGCTGGTGTTGGACAGTTTGATTTGGCTGCCTGAGCAACTTTTTTATTGCAAGAGCTGCTCTGGGACTGGTTTTTCCTTTTCGAACCACTCGGTTTTTCTGAACTCTTTGGTTTTGTCTTGGGTTCAAAAATAGCAGCATAATCCGATTCAGGTGAGATTGATCTATCATCACCCAAAGTTTTATTGACATCAAGACCAACTGGGGAGGAAAAAAAATAAAAAAAATACTGTAAAAATTGAAATTAACACCAGAGGATTCTCTGCAAAAGGAGAGTATGAGAGATGTGCACATTAAATTTGTGAGAAACTGACTCGACTATGCGGTTTATGAAACTCAAGTGAAGATGAATCAGCAATATATGTGTGTTTCTAGATCCATAGTCAAATTCCATTCAAGATTGAGGAGTTCAATTGAGAGATACAAAGGAAAATTAGAAATACTAAGACACCGATCAAATCAATATCTCTAGCTACTTATGTAAAATGGCAACATTATTTTTCACCATTTAAATCAACATCGTAAACGTAAATGATTGATTCAAAGTGAGGTAGCCAGCCTCGACAAATGTTGATTGCTTTTCATGCATTTAAACAGACAAAATACAATATTGTCTTGAGAAAATCAGCGCTATCAATTTGACTACATTTTGCAATTTGGACCTATAGATTCTAGCCCGGTTTAAAAACAATGTATGTGCCATAAGTTTCCCTATGCACATAAGTGTTTTTCAGAGGAGCCAGACTTTATAGTTCCAAACTGCAAAATGCAGTCCAATTGTGGCTAGCAGCGCAAAGAAAACAAAAATCAAATTAATTAAGTTTTAAACAACTAACTAATTTTTAGTGGTCGAGGAAATAAATACAAGTAATGGACTTAGATCCTATTCAGAATATCGACGGTGAAACTACCAAACCACATATCTCGGTTTGCGACGTTGCAGACTTCCTGTCATACTTTATTTTTTAAATGAAAAACTACTTAACATCCAGTCTTAAAAATTTCTGTGATTTTTCCTCTTTGTGCGGAGAAAATTCCGTGAAAATTTCAAGGAATGATATTGATTTGGTCTACTTCAAAAAAATAAAATGTGAGCGTAGATTTTTAAACACCGCAAACGACATACAAGTTTTGTTAGTTTCACCGTCGATATTAAATTTTTTTAGTTGTTTCCCACTCAGAGTAGGTCTTTCCGACATGAGTTAAAGCGATCTCGAGCGCAAAGCCGAGCGTCTGTTGCAACTTGCGAGTCGTACCAGGACACCCTCCACAAAACGAGCTGAATGTTTTGAGTTCGAATCTCCTATCCAGGTGCTGTTTTGTAGGAAGAAGAAGAAGAGGAGCAGCGTTTTCCAGTGTTTTTCTTCACTAAGCGAACATTCGCTGTTTCCCATCAGAAATTCGATACTTGCCAAGTGACGAGCCGAATACAACTTTTATGAGTAGTGTGGAGGTGTACACTCATCACTTGCAGAACCCTGAATACTCGTCACTCGGCGAATGCCACACAGTGTGGAGCCGGCTTGAGAGAGAGCAATTGGACCGCGTTAAACAGAAAGGAACCAAGCCACATCAGCTATTGCCAAATTTAATTGGGCAATTTAATTTTTTACATGAAAACAGTGTGCAGATTTTCGTGCAAATTTCAGTAAATTTTTTGCACAGTAGGAGGCAAATTCTTTCAAATTTTCGAAGGAATCCGCAAAAACGTTCTCTCGTAAAAAATCAAATTGCCCATTTAAATTTGGCAATAGCTGATGTGGCTTGGTTCCTTTCTGTTAAACTCGGTCCAATTAAATTTTCATATCTTTACTAATTTGACATATTACTCAGTATTAATGCTGCTACACGTTATGGATCATAATTGATGTTTAAGAGTTCATTAGCCATCCCGTTAATAAATTGGTTTTCCTTGTGTACTTTCGAGGGAAAGATATGTTGCTTGTTGCTTTAATTTATAACTTATTGAGTGGTCTATTGATTAGAGATTGATGCAACAAAAAAAAGGCAGTAAAAACAAGCCACCGATGAGAACATGAATTAAGGCTACTAACCCCAATTTTTACTCAGCAGATTGACGTGAATGGTTTGAGATGGACCGTCCGGGACACACAAATTGATCTTGTAAAGGCCACCTCTTTTCATTAGGCTGTCCAAACTGTAATTAGAGAGTACAAATTAGAACAGCTTACCTAAAAAAAGATTACAGAAACATTTCCTATCCCATGGAGCTTTATTCTCTACGTAATTTCAAAATTTATCTCAAAATACAATATATATTCAAATGTGTGGTTGGCATTTTATCAACATGAGAACTCTGTCCACCCAACTCATTACCATATCAAAAATAGTCTCTCCTTACTATCAAAATATTTTGGGACATTTTCTCATTCGGGCTTTTGGCTTCATACAATTATTAATAATTTTTAAAAACACACAACACATACAGAGCTAACAATAATCAATTTTGTTTTTAAAAACAGTTTTTTCATTATTATTCTACAAATTTGGCATTGAAACATGAATGGAAACGCCGTAAATATTGATTAATTGCTTTGTCTGGCCATTTGATTAATTGATTAATTTCGTTATGTTGAGGGCATATTTATCAAAATATTTTTTTTGGTCTGCACTTTCTTTTGGATATTCTGCTGAGAAAATGGCATGGATTTGAGTTATACAACAGGACCACGGTTTACAATAGCTGGGTGATTTTTGAATGACTATAATAAAAAAACTCGAGGGAGGGGGGAGGGATGGGGTCAAGAGGATGTTCGGATGTTAACGAAATACCGCATATTTGTAAAATGTGATAATTTTTTTATTACTTTTGTGCATATCTCTTGTCTTGATATGTTTGAGTTCATTTTGTGATTGTATGCAACACATTTAAATTTTGCAACAATTGTACACTTACATTTGGGTGAGCCTATGCACTGGGAAATAGATTTTATTTTAAGATGAAAATTTCAATGGTAAGAGCTTACGAGAATCTTGATTTGTGAATGATGTTATTATTTGAATTCCCGACGAGGAGATAGAACATTTCTTGGAGATTTTTAGACTTCAAAACATCGGGGTAGTTACTAATTCTGACTTCCACTAAAATCTCTCCTGTGGTGTCAGACATTTGGATCTCAAGCTCAAACTGGGGCAAAACTTTGACAGAGTCGATGAGATTGTTCCCGAAGGGAGGAAGACGGTTCAAAACCTGAAACGGATCAAGTATGGCAAAAATGCTACAGGGAAAAAGATAAAAATAAATCTCAGAAACCATGTATTTTGGATGATTTGTTTAAATTTCTGACACACTAACTTGCTTAAATTTCCGTCTATTCTTTTACGTTTTACGAATTTTCATAGAAAATCACAGCATATAATTTGCTCTGTGGTTTCAGACAGTATTATGATGACAAAATTTTAATGTTCTCAAAAACATATTTAATTTCTGAATCTGAAGTAAAAAGTTTCAGTGTCTCTTTTGATGTACCTAAATTTCAACAATTAAAAATAGTTCAGGATCTCAATCTATTTGACAATTTAGAATGCGTTGGACAGCAAAAGAGGGCTATCAATAATTTAAGGACTCTTTTTGGGCTCATTCTAGCTGAATCCGTTCAACTCTACGATTTTTTGCTCATTGGAGGTCTACATTTTACCAAATGCATCATGATTTGGTCTCTTCCGGGATGGATCTAATACTGGTCTAAGCATGGGTCTGAAGACAGATTTTGGAAAAAATTGGCATTCGACTACAAACCCTGCAGTTTCCGCCAAAATTGGCTTTCAAACCCATGTTTAGGCCAGTATTAGACACAAAAAGAGACTGAAAATGACCAAATTATGATACATTCCGAAAAAAATAGACCTTCAAATCGGCTTTCAAACCCATGTTTAGACCGGTGTTGGACCCAAAAAGAGACTGAATATGACCAAATCATGACGCATTCCGAAAAAAATTGACCTTCAATGAGCAAGAAATCGCAGAGTTAAGGAAATACAGGGTGGGCCCAAAAATGGCCTTTATCAATACCCCTCCTTCCTTGGAATCTTGAAATCTTTAGGATAGGTTTTTCAGGGTGTCTATTAAAATAGGCTGGCCAAAAATCAGTACCTTTACAGTACTCATCAGTACAGTCCCAAGAATCTCTGTACCTCCTTAACAAAAAAATTCAGTACTTTTTCAAAACCTCCATTTCATGATATTCAGAAAATTTCAACAATTTTCATTTCTTGCTCAAATTGCGACAAAAATGACCAAAAAATTAAAAAATTCCGGACCTTTATGTGGAATTTCCGCACTTTTTCAGTACTTCCGGACCACCCTTAAAAAATCAGTACCACTTCTGGACTTTCCGGAAATTACGGACTTGTAAACACCCTGTTTTTAACCGACACAACCTCTACATTTCTGGCATGAAGAAAAGCAAAAATTGAATTACTTACCACTTCTAGGTCTCTGGGATTGGAATCGAGAATGTCCTGGAGAGTGACTTTCCTTGCTGCAACCAAGTGAGATGACAAGACTGGTCCGATCCCCGGTAACTGACGGCTGACATGCTCTGAGTTTTCCCATAACTGACTGATGAAACACTTTGCCAGGAGGATAGCAGATAAGAGAGTTTTGTAGCAATTGTCTCGCAACCAAATGAGCTGTACCAATCCTTCAAATAGAAAAAAAAAAAAAAATTGAATGAGGAGTTTAATTGCAACTTCTCAATCAACTGATTTGAAATGAAACCTAAGATGGGCATGTCTTCAGTTGGACTTCAGCCGATCAGGAAAGGCGGAATCCTTCGACTACTTATGTCATGACAGACATGTCAAAAATATGGCTGCTTGAAGAAATAGGTAGTCTTCCCTACATTACGTAACCCACTTTTTCGGCATTTTTGACCCCCCCCCCCTTGATACGCTTTTAAGGCATAGGTCTCTATCCTTTAGGACATAAAAGCAAAGTGGCCTAATGCTCTCTCCTACCCCCTTCCCCCTAGAGCGTTACATAATTTAGGGACAACTCCTAGAGAGGAAAAAACCTTCATTAGAATTGTTTAGGAATCTGTAATGTGCAGCAAAAGAAATTCGTTTGAATGAAGGATAATGAGGTAAGTAACTTTACCTTGAGTGAGTCGCTTCCCAATCCGGAAGATTTTTGCGCGCTCCTGTATCAAAGCTGCATCGAATACTTGTAGACAGCCGAGGGTGGCTTGAATCAAGCTATAGAATAGAAAAAAAATTGGTGAAAAGTTTAATCCAAATAATGTATTGGGGGATGGAAGTTTTACAAAGTGAAATTTTGTAAGATAAGAACCGATGGACTATTAGACGGGGTGCAAAAATTATGTAGCACCATAGCATAGTAGACATAGACTGACAAAAGTATCATATATGATACAGTCAAAGGGATAAAATTTCATGAAATTTACTTGCAAACTTTTCACGCAGGAAAATTCATTAAATTTAGCAAAATTTCATGAAGTGTTCCAAAAATTTTGGGTATGCATTCAGGGGGCGAAGGAACGCCTAGAAACAGTGATTCTCAATTTTGACATTTTTCACCCCAAGCCAGCCATGTTTTAAAACATTCACATGTTGCGAATATTTTCGTTTTGTTGGAAGATTAGGTTGGGGCTGAATTCCTCTCTAAACTCCTTTTTGTGCCCCCTTTTGTGTATAACACCTCATTAGGGTAGCGTATACTGCCGCATCAACAGGAAGGCCATCTGAAACGCTTTCCAAACTTCCCAAGGTTTACTTAATAATTTTGAGAAAAATTAACTGATTTCAAATTTTGTGAAAGTTCGAGCCTTTTTAAATTTTACTTCCTATCACAGGAGAGAGTAAACACATTAAATTTTCGATTTTTAACTTAGCGATGAGGAATTCCCATTTTGTGTATTCTTACATTCAAACCATCCGGTCAACAAACAAGTCTCTCTGTGTTGAGTCAGTTAAAAAATTAAATTCATTATTTTTTGCAGTCAAATATTTTTTACGGTGAGCTGAATTTTCCTCAGTGGTCTTAAAAGAAAAGGGAAGATCAGAAGAGCATCAAAGGAGGGAGACTTTTAGGGTACCGACCTCTAATTTTTTGCCAGTTGTAAGAGTTGGATTTTAATGGTCTAATTGACGCAGGTTGATTTTGTTTTTTTTTTTGCAAGTGAGAAGTTTAAAGTCTCTATTTCTGATGTAAACTATGAATGCTAGTTTCTCGCTTAAAAGTTGATTTTTGATTTTGAACATGCTTTACATGTTTGACATTCTACACATACTTTGAATTTAGAAAAAGATGGAACTGAAATTCAACATACCAATTGATTTTCAGTGGCTGAGAATTCACTTTACCCTTGATGGGAAATCTGAGTTGGTTTACACCTGTTTTCTGGTTCAAAGAATTTAAAGTCTTCCGATCACTCATTCTAAGTTTGATATCCTTATATTCTTGTGCGTCAATAAGTACGTCTAGCAAACTATTCAATGATTCACAACTTTTTATCTGGGAAAAAAAATAAAAAATTATGAAAAAAAGCTGCTGGGAGTTACTTTTAGAGAATATTTTCACAACTTGATCCAAGGGATCAAAAAATTCTAAGGATAAATATTCACAAATTTTCTTAAAAATAAAGATTAATTCGGGAGAAATTTGGCAACATTTGAATGTTAATACGGCATTTTTCCTCAGCAGTATGCCAGCATTCTCGCTCAGGTGTACATGGTCTTTCGCGCAAAAATTTTCCTTGAAAGTTTTTTTTTCTCGGAGAAGTTACATGACGGTAAAACTTTTGACGACACCAAAATCAAAATGCATGTGCTAAATGTTTTAAGATCGAAGTATCCTTGACCACCTATCCTTTGAAACTGAAGACCTAGTCGACTAGAAGGACAAATTCTCATGTACTCACATCCATAAATAATTTCATTGTCTCAAAACTAATGCAAAATTGAGCCATGATCGTCCCTTCGGCTGTGGGAAGAACATCATATCCATCTGTCATGAGCGCCAGTTTGTAACGCACCAGACCGTTCAGCTCTCTGAGGCACCAATCTGAAAATAGCAGGAAGTGATGGTGAGTCAAAAGTTACATGCAGATCTTCTGTCAAATGAGGAAAAAACACTAAAAGGTGGCTCGAATACTGTATGTAACAAGGTGGAGAAATGGTGCTGGGTCTACACCATTTCACAGGGAAAACAAAGCCAAGAAGTTCCAAAAATCATGATTGAGAGTCAAAAATAAAACTGCTGAACACTCTCCCCCTCAGTTTTGTGCTGGTGCTCATTAGAGTTGAAAAAAATGTATTTTCGACTCTAATCATAATTTTTGGAACTTCTTGGCTTTGATTTCCCCGCGGAATGGTGTGGACTCAGCACCATTTCTCCATTTTCTGTCAAATCTGTACCGCTAGCCTCAACCAGCAATGTGATCAAAATCAATATATAAAAAACCCAGGAAAAACTAAGTTCAAAATTACTTAAGACCAAAATTGGGATTGAAAATTAGGATGAATCTAGGAGATCTTCGAATCTAAAAAAGAAAGGAAGTAGAAATAGAGACCAGCCGACGCACCTGTTAACAATAAATTGTTATGCTAGTACAGGGGGATCCAAAAGTACCGCACAAGACACCCCCTTTGTAACTTTTGAACAAATTGAGATGGAGACTTGCAATTTTGTAAGTGCTTCTTGGTTGAAGGAAACGACTCTTGGAAACCCCCAAAAATTTTCAAGAGACCATCCGAAAAAGGGGCAAAAACCTCGGGGGTTACAGAGTGGTGCGAGACTTTTGGATGTTCCTGTATTTCAAAGCCAACGACTGCTCTTGCTAAAATGCTCTAGGGACACTTACAAGATTGGAGTTTTGAGGTAAGCAGAACCCCAAAATAAACCTAAAAAGAGAAGCATTCTGTTTAAATTTCAGACTTTTTGTAAAGCGTTTTTTTCATTTTATTTTTTGTTTTACTAGTTCCATCTTAATACCATTACCTGACCTTGAGGGTCAGTTGTAAGAATACTTCTGTCCGTTTTCGTTAAGAGATATTAATGATTGCACGAACCTTGGAGTCGCTTTTCTGTTTGGGCTTGAGAGAGGTCACGTGGCAGTTTGTAGTGCACAGGATTTTTTTGAGTCCGTACGTACAAGAAAGTTGAGCGAATCCAAGACATTGCCAAAGCTATATCTGGAATTGTTCGCAGTACTACCTCTGAATTTAGATGTTCTGTTAAGTGTCTGTGTAAGTTACTTTCAACAGGTTGCACACCTTTGATCAAATTTTCATAACGCTCCTGGAAAAAACGAGAAGAACAAATGAATACTTATGAACAGAAATTGCAATGAAAAGATGCCTTCATCTGTCTAATACATACTTGAAGAGCAAGACGATGCTAAATTGATTACATCTGAACATTATTCTGCTTTTAAAACAAGATATAAATCAGATCAGTACCGAGAAGTAGAGCTAAATGCCAAAAGATTCAGTTTAATTGAGCCTAAAATGCAGTTTAAAATGTACAAGAGTTGGAATTTCTTTTGCATTATTACATTATAGAGAATTTGCAGGTGTCTGAAATTTTGTAAATTTCATCTTTAAAATGATACTGCTAGTAAAACTGATTGAGTATTAGAATTAATTGTTTTTGATACAAGGGCACCCCCCCCCCCCCCCCCCNAATACATGTAAACAAAAAAGTTGTGAATTTTTACGTATAATGTATCCCCATTTTGGATCAAAGATGTATCGAAAAGGTGGCCAATTGTCAGCGCACACAGGGCTCAGAACTTGTTGCCTAGAGCATGACCCCAGCTCACTTCGTTTTATTACAACTCTAGGGGCACCTTACGCACAGACTTGACTATTAATATGATTAGATGCTTGAGAATATTCTATGATACTTACTTTTTGCGACACTTTTGTCATGATTACTGCCACCGCCTCTGAATCAAATTGTGGGCGTCCTGCGCGACCAATCATCTGCAAAACCTGGCTCTCAGAATACTCCTGATATTCACTGTTGACGTAATATTCAGTTGATTTGATTATTACTAGATGGGCAGGTATGTTTATTCCCATGGCTTAAAGAATGACAAGAAAAAATAAAAAGTTACTAAATACAGACAAAATAATTAAGGTTGAAATGGTCTTTAGGCAATATTGGAAGTTACTTGAGCATTTCAGACAAAATGACTTTATTAATAGCACTAGTGATATCAGTGGCGTGGCGTAAGTTGCGATATATCGATTGTTACGCCATTTAAACCTATGAAAAAAGATCGATTATCAGGAAGTTTGCAGCAAACATCTTAGTAATCGATTCTTTACCATGGTTTCAAATGGCGAGATATCGATAATCGATTATTCACGCCACGCCACTGAAAGATATACACTGGAACAGTGAAGAAGGAAAGAAAACAAATATATCAGGACAGAAATTAAAATAGATAGAATCCGGCCAAATATGTGACAAATTATCTGGCCATATAAAGTTTTTGAAATTATTACATCCAGCTGGATACAAGTACTGACTAGTATTTGAGCACACTACATAACAACATGTTCTTTTTTAAAAAGCTGGAAATTTCGAATTTGTTTTAAATTTCCTCCGTGAAACCCTGCACGTAAATATCCACTTTCTTTAAAATGAATAGGAAACGAGGTCCTGGACAGTTTTGATGTTTTCAATTTTTTATTTATATTTCCTTTGAACACTTTTAAAGTGACTATACATCCTTTTGTAAAGATAGTCAACATTCTTTTAAACAAACGCTGCTTTAACAAATTTCTTACATTAATAGACGTAAGAAACACTATATGGGCATTTAATTCTATTTCCAGAATTTTCATCTTGACTGCGGTCAATTTATGCTCCACAGACTGTTATTTTTGTGTAGAACGTTTTGGTCAAAAGAGTGCCATTTTCATTCAAAACAAGATCTACTCGTCATAACTGCAGGAATTTTTACACACTTAGGACCCTCCGAAGAAGCAAGTGATAGCCAATCACTCATTGGCCATTGTGCTGTGATCACAAAGGTCTCATTAATTGTCTATTCAGTATTAGTTCTTGAAGGAACCTGAGATTTGATTTTACTAATACTTCCCACTTTACAAACATGAACAACTTGACTACATCCATTTTTCCTCCTCTCTTCTTTGTGCCATGCATTTTTTTAGTAACTCAATTTCGGCTAAGCGTGTCTGATGTTTATATTTTTGGCCTGGAATCCAGTGAAAGAGATTCAAACTTTTTTCGCTCACCAAGAGTACTAGTGGTGACTAACACAGGTAAGCATCCACGACAGAATAAATCTTCAATTATACGTCGATCTTGGATTGATAAGCCGGCATGGTGGCAACCTATGCCTTTACTCAGTAAACCTGAAAACAAGCATTAAATACATCAGAGGCATCGCACTGTCAGATCACTAAGTTTCATACTCTAGAGGTTGTTCTCACAACACAATATACAGATTGTTGGACATGATCAGGTAGAAGACACATACCTACATTACTGCTGTACTAAGGAAAAATGCTGTATGAGCCTTCAGGGGTTACCAAATTTTCTCTGGGAAATCACTAATTTTCAAGAAATTTTTTGAGTATTTTTCTGCCAATTTCTCAGATAATTTTGTTTGTAATTTGATCTAAAGTGTCTGAAAATTTCAAGGAAAAATCAAAAATAAACATTTTATCAAAAGAAATTTGGCGACTCTCGAATATTCACACAGCGTTTTCCCTTAGCACGGCAGTTAGGAGTCTTCTACGACGGAATCTATACAACTCAAAGGTTTATCCGCATTAAACACAAGCTGAATGAAAGAGTGTTCTTATTTTAGGGGACTAAATCATTGAGTACACTCATGTTTGGATGATCAACTAATATTCTTTTCATTTGGGACATGGATTTAGGGCACAAAAAGTCCCACAGCACAGACCATTTCTTGTTATCCAATGTTTTCGCAACTTGGCCGAAAGCCGTTTCGCTTTATTACAGAAGAATATCTGATTTCACAGCAAAATGTTGAATTAAATGCTAATTATATTCATTACATACAGAATATACCACTTTATCGACTTGAATGGTATATTTCACAATTTTATGCACAGTCCCTGTTTCATTGTTTATATTTCTTTTACAATTACTGTTTATGAGAAGAAAAAATGGCTTAAATTGCCGTAATATGCAAAGAAGCCCCTCAGCTTGCCTTCCACTCATGTTACCTCGAAACTGCACCTTGATAAAATTTTAACAATTCAAGCATTTTTCTCATATTAAGGATAAGTGTCACAATTGCAGACGGAACTGGATGCCAAGTACCGATTGAATTGTGTTATTTTGAAAATTCAAAAGCTTCAAAAGTTTTCATAGTTTTACCATGAGAGTTCTCTATGCATTTAATGCCTCATTCACACTTCTAGACCTGCAACAGGGGGGAAATGGAAGCTTTGACACACAAATTAAACTAACCTTTCAGACTTCCTTCTCCAATTTTCTTGACTGATTCAGTAACCAAATTCTTGTGAGCTGCAGGCATCGAGATGGTAAGATCGTTTGACAACGTATTCGCTGTTTGAAGAACACCCTTTCGGGTATTGCAAAATATCTGCAAGACATAGATACAAGTTATTAAGTTATGCCTGATTTTAGTTCTGTTACAAAATAAATTATTATCACCCATATTTTATAACTAACTGTTCTATTTTCTAGACAATTACATAAAATTAGAGCTAAGTAGTAACTTTTTTCCAATGTCGATAGTCTATCCAGTTGTCATGTGATTTCAGAGGAATCTCAGATAGAACTGATAAGCTAAACTAAATATTTTAGAATATAAATTCTCTCGTGTATAACGCACACTTTTTTGTCACTTTTGATGGATCAAGAAGTCTGCTGGATACGAGAAGGTTAAAAAATTGCATTTTCCCCCCTCAATCAGGCAAATTGCGCAGTAATACTGTCAGAACACATATTAGTGACAAGTTTTGAAAGCCCAATGGGTGAGTGTTGTAAACCTGTAAGCATACTTGACTTACAGTTTTACTAGTTTTTTCTTGTATAAAACTCTATTTATTTTATGTCCTCTCTTTCTCTGTTGTGTGTTTTTTGTTTCTTTTTTAAATTGAGGACTGGAACATACCAATCCTCCTAAGAAACGAATTAATAAATGAAATGACGTTTAAGATCAAATTAAAAGGGACTGAATAAGATAGCAAACAGTGCTCTTTAAAAGTAATACTAGGACTGGGCCTTTCTGTTGCATGCATTACAAAAAAATATTCTATGTCAATGGAAAAAAGAGAAGCTGAGCAGATGCCTTACAAGAGAGGGTTTTCCTTTAGCGTACTTCATTATAAGTGCTTTCAATTTATAGTTCAAACTTATATCAAACATGTAGGGAGATTGTTTCTCTTTAACTGGGTAGCCGATAACAATTTTGGTCAATTTGACGGGACGACATTCTTCACCAATTCTAATGTTCATGATGAAAAAAAAACGACAGGAAAGAGAAATAAAAAAAACACGGGGAGTAAATAAAAGTACATATTGTAACGGAAACAGGGAAGGAGCAAAGATAAGAGTAAAGAACAAAGACAAAAGTACACAGGCAACCCAAAACGGAAATAGTAAAAGCAAACTAAGAAAACAGTGGAAACAAGGCTAAAATACTCTAACTAAATCACCATGTAACGATCTTTTGATTTTAATTTATTTTTTATTTTTGTACTCTTTTAGTGATTGATAATGGTGTCGTGAGAAACTGAAACGTCCCGTGAATAAGAATAAAATTGGAATGAGGCAAAATAAAACTGGGAAGGGTAGCATCACTAAAGTCTGAAGGACCTTAAAATGGATGAGCCAGAATATTAAAACATTCTTTTCAGTCTTCAGCTCAATTTATGTGTTCGGCTTGCAAACACTGGTCGAAACATATTGAGTTTCAAGGAAAGGATTTTAGAGGTGGAGAAATAATTATCATGGGTAAAAAAATTTGTCCATTAAAATTGAAGCCAAGTATAAGATCCCTCTGTATTGTTATTTCAATTCATTTTGACTAAGATAAAATCATGACTTGGTCAAAATAACCGTTAAAATGATTGACTTGTTGACTGAAGTTAAAATTTGTGATTTAAAAATAAAAATAAAAAAAAGTTTGAAAATTATTAGTCTTTGCACCAGAAGAAAAAAACGTAGAACATAATACTGAAAATTTCAATGAATTTTTAACCTCATGATATGTATTGGTAAATAGATACATACTGAAAGCTTTTGGCCTTTACTGCATCTGAACTAAGCCACTCTGTAATATCATCTACATTTGGAATTGTCGCAGAGACAGCAATAAACCGAATGTTGACAGAATTTTGATCTGCACTTTGAGCTAATTTCATTCGACAAACAACCGCCTCGAGCGTGGGTCCTCTCTTTTCTTCATTTAACAGATGAACCTGAAAGAAAGTAAACGAACGAATAATTAGGACTTTTAACAATTTCACAACTTTACAATTCATGAAAAAAACATAACTAATCTGAATAAAACGTGAGAAAGACTTTCATCCAACTAACACACAAGACGCAGCTCACACACCATACTTTACACATCAATATTTTCATTTCTAATAGCACTAGTAGTCCTTACTTGGAAGGATAGTTTTATCTGAGGTTGTCATCCAACTGCTGTGCTAAGGAAAAACGTTGTAGGAGCCTTGAGATGTTGCCCAACTTTCCTTTATAAAATACGCATTTTCAGAGAAACCTGTGTATACTTTTCTCCCAATTTTGCAGAGGATTATATTCGCAATTTAATCTATGGTATCAAAAATTTCAAGGAGAAATATGCATACATTTCCTCAAAAATAAATGTTTCATGGGGGAAAATTTGGTGACATCTGGATATTCATGCAGCGTTATTCCTTCACACAGCAGTAAATATGTGTGTGGGTCAAATTGGATTGGAAATTTGGAACCGAAACTCTTCAATGTCCTAAAAGTTATGAGAAGTTCGGCTCATTTTTACAGCATCTTTCTAAGTTATACAAAAATTTAGCGACTTTCTATGAGCCTTCAATGTGGCAGATTAGGATTTTAGATGGCTGTTCCTTCAATTTACAAAATAAAACTTCAAACTTTCATTCAAGTCAACTTTTTTGGGCATTTTTCCATGGCAAAAAATTAAAGAAATAAACATATGATTTGGCATTGAAATAAATATTGTATTTGATATGTTAATGGACCTCTGTATTGAACTTGACTTCTTTGTATGGCCAAATTCAGCTTTTATTACTCCAAATTTTGCACTTTTTTTATGGAGCCTGATTCTTCGGGCTTAAAAGCAGAGGCTTCTGTCCTTATTTCGCTATAAAGTCAAAATCCGCCATTTTTTAATCATAGTAGTTGCTGATAAATGAGAGCCCCGGATAGTATGTAGTCATATGGAGAACAGGGCTCAAGTGAAAATTGAGATACGCCCTTTTGTCAGAGGAGCAACAACTTATGAAAAAAGGCTTACCTCATCGATCATGAAAAGTTTCACCTTCTGGACAGGGAAATGATTCTCTTTCCATTTGCGAGTCAGCGAGTCCCATTTCTCCGGGGTCGTTAGAATCAGGTGGTATCCATCAATCGAAAAAACTTCCTCTTCTGTGTCACCAGTCAATTCCAGGCATTTTAACCCGATTTGGAAGAATTTACTTTTCCAATCATTGTACCTTTCGCTGCACAAAGCCTTTATGGGTGCCACTGAGGAACATAAATAAGCAATTGATGGTTACTTTTAGAAAAACATTTCACTTGAAAACAAATTAGGCTTAAGGTTTGATCCTTCGTGTCTAAAAATGTTGATACCCACATAGCAGCATGTGATCATGAGACAATGACGTTTCCTACCCGACTGCACCAATCACAAATAACAGCTCTATTTTTTCATCAGCAACTGCTTCAGGGAGCAAATTTAAAACGAATGCGTTTGTCGGGACAACATAGATGACATAGGTTAAAAGGCGGAGCGTGATTGGTTGCCTATGTCTTATTGCTGCTTTGCCGTGCCTATGTCGGGTTGAACTCACGACAAGCTAGCGGCACCTCTTTAGTTTCTGACAGTATGTCGTCCATTCCACCCAACAAAGCAGCGATAAGACATAGCCGACCAATCACGCTTTGCCTTTTAACCTATGTCATCTATGTCGGCCTGACAAACACAAAATTTCAACAATCAGGCTGCAGGGATGGGAACAGTCACAATACAACCATCTGTGTGTCTATTAAAGTTTGCACCTCATGTCAATCTTCAATAATTGTTAGAATTTGTTTAAGTTAATGAACATACTTATGTTTTACCTCCCCACTCTTACCATTGTGTGTAAAATGAAATAAATAGCTAAATGAATACAAAACTACTTTTGACTCAATATTTGTTCATAGCTTGGTTGACATAATATACAGAAAAGTAATGCTATAAAGTTCAGTTTTTCCGTAATAGAGTGCCCAGAAAGTAGTGTGGGAGTTCTAAACACTACAATGAACTCTGTATGATATGAAAAAAAAAAAAAGAAGTTAAAAATTCAACGTACTGTAAACAATTTTGAAACAGTTTTCACTGAAAGGCCAATGTTGTTCCAGCAGTCGCATTATTGCAAGCTCAAATATCACAGTTTTACCGGAGCCAGTTGGAGCTGCAACTACAATCGAATCATCTGAAAAATGAAATAACATATTAATTTCAGCACTAAATTTCAATTTGACAAACTCAACATACAATAAAAGAAATAAATGATAAAAACCAAGAAATTTTTTTTATGTCATAGAGGAGTATTAAATTTAGGGAAACAGGCTTATTTTAGGCAAGCTGAGAGTAAAATTCCTTAATAACTGTATAAAGTTTACTAATTTTTTTAACTTTTTTCAGCCATTTTTTTTTATATTTTGGTAAACACTGCTTTAATTTCTTTACCCACAATGAACTCTCCTCAACCAAGACTCTCGAAAGTAAAGCAGCGCTTTACCCAAATATAAACAAAATGGCTGGAAAAAATTAAAAATATTGGTATGCTTATTTTAATCTCAACTCAGACTTGATACTAGGTTTTGGTAAAATTTCTTTAGAGATTCTGCAAGCCAAATTAAAGATTATTTTTTGGTGAAAAATAGGGTATTTTTTCTACTTCTATTCCTGCGTAGCTGCAATTAAAATAAGGCTGAGCTGACAGAAATGCTCCTAAATTCATCAAAGCCAGTAAGTAATTCCTACCTAGGTATAAAGCCTGTTTTATGAAAAAAAAGACCATCTCCTGGACAATCTGCAACATTGTGATATCAATCGCTAGAGGTTTTATCAAAAAGGCTCTCTTGAATTAAGAAAACTGGACTTGCCCCTTTTTCCTCCTGTACTCCTTGCTATCTTTCAAACGATAAAAGACAAAGAATTGAACTTACCAGTCTTTGTGACCGTGTTGAATGCCAGTGACTGTATGACATTGAAATATGGGAAGGCTGAAAACCAGTTTCGGAATTGCTGTTCTGAAAAATCAAACCATACAAAATGAGAATTCTTAATTCCATCTGATCATTCTTTAAAAAGGCTACTTAATTTGATGACTGGACTCCATAATCCTTTCTTGTCTTCACAGTATATTTTAACAGAGAATTTTAAATGCGTTTCCTGTGTTGCTTTGTTTTCTTTCAAAAGAAAAAACGTACAGGGACTCTAATTAGACACATGTACCCGCCGGGTCATTGGGTAAAGTTCTGCCTTCCCCGCGTCCCGCGTGCCATGTCAGGGTGTCAAGAAATTTTCAAAAATAAAATTCCCAGACATTTCCCTGATTACACTGACAAAAATGGCCAAAAACCTGGGGAAAAATTTTAAATTCCATGACAGACGGAAAAAATAATTCCCTGACAAAAAGGAAAAATATTCTCAATTTTTCAACACGGTTGAACTGATTAGATGTGAATAAGAACTTGTTCGTATTTCAGGGTTGAAATGTGATAAATGGAGCAAAATATATGGTGCCTAAACTTATACAAGATACGATTGCCTCATATTTAAAACTTAAAAGACATCAGCGGAAATTCTAATGGAAATTTTAGTTTTTATTCAATTTTTTTGACAATTGATTAATCATCAATTTTCAACATAAAAAAAAAATCCGTGCTTTTCGATTTCTCTCTTATCAATTTTCAACATAAAAAAAATCCGTGTTTTTCCATTTCTCTGTCGTTTCTCTGACACAAAAGTCGCAGGCAAAATGAAATTCCCTGACATGCCGAATTTTTGCTATAAAAAATTGCAGAATTTTACCAGCATTGCAAGCCTTGTATGCCCTTTTACGGGGGAAGTCCTAGACTGGGTGACATATTTCACAGACAAACATAGGTACCGAAAAAAAGTAGCAACATTGTAAAGACTGAAACCTGATCATGGCATTCCCCAACAGAGATTATCAGAGCTGAAACTTCCTTTTAATTTCACTTGAAGCATTTAATAGGTGATGACAACATACTGTGACCTTTGAAAACAATTGACTGACTTTTACGTACTAGCCATTAGAATAGCAGTTTTTTTAAAAGACTCTGCGACCCCTGGAGAAAACCGGGTGCGTATGTTAGTACAAATACTTACTAATAACACTGACAGGAACTAGCTCAACGTTGGAGACTACTGGAGGTGCATCTTTCTCAGGATCGCCAACAGTGAAATAATTGCTGGCTACACTAGAGGTTCCATTGACATTTCCGGGCGAAGATGAGTCCATTTTATCGATTTTGACTTCAGCTTAAGCCAGAGTGGACACCGGAATAAGATGAGGGGTTAGGAACTCACAATACTGAAATTATATATAAACAGGAGCATCATTTTAAAAGCCTATGGTAAAGTGAGCAATAATTGGACCGAGTTAATCAGAAAGGAACCAACCCACATTTTCAAAAAAATTGAGTTAAGAATGTTTTTGAGTTCGTCTAATCGAATCTATTCTCCTGCCAAAAAACTGGAAGTCGAAAAAGAGTATAGTTTGTAGAAAGAGGGGCTAGAGTTTATTTGCCACATTGAGTCTTAAGGAAGAATAAAACTTCATACCTCTTTTTCTCAGTTTCAACTTTATGTGGAGCGGTTTCTTTCTGAGAAACTCATTCCAATTGCGGCAAGTAGTTTTACTATGTCCATTCAAACATATTTCTGCTTAACAAAACTAAGCGCCGATTTGAGTTTCTTTTGAGGATTTTAGAATGCCAGACAGTGCGTTGTCAGGGCGCCAATCGCCATGGAAAAGCATTGTGATCATAGGACGGAATAAGCTACGCAATCAGCGGCACCCACCAATCCAACCCAAATCGACGGTGTAAGTCGGCAATCACAGAACTCGTTTGCGGTGTCTGAAAATCTCCGCCTCTATGTTATTTTTTTAAAGGAGAACAAATTGACATCATTCCTTTGAAGTTTTTGCAGAATTTTCTTCACACCAAGAAGAAAAATCACGGCAGTTTTAAAAAGTTGCCGTTGAGTAGTTTCCCATTTAAAAAATAAAGTATGACAGGGAGTCTGCAACGTCGCAAACAGAGTTGTATGATTGCCGACTTACACCGTCGATATTCCCCTTATACCCTCTATGGTGCTTGCTTCCATTTGGCAGAAATAAGTACGTCCATTTAAAACTCAAGCATTTCTCCATCCATGTTTCCACTTGAAGCTGTCCGAAGCATTTTTTTGTAGAACAGCTGTTGTTACCTTTTCTATACTTAAGGTGATTCGTCAAGCTCAAGTGACGTGGTCAAACTGGCATGCAATATATCGCATCGATTAGGTCAAAAATCTCCACAGAGTTTGAATTTTTAGCAAAAAAAAGACAATAGCCCCTGCACATGAGCGTAAAGAATCATTTTAACCCAAAAATTGGCAAAATTCAGAGAATTGAAAGTAGAATAGTGTTTGGAAAAAAACCTCGCATTCGATTCAGCTATCGATTACTGTACGAAAGGTTTTTTTCCAAGCACTGTTCTGCTTTTATTTCTCTGAATTTTGCCAATTTTAGGGTTTAGAATGATTCTTTAGGCTCATGCGCGGGGGCTATCGTCCTTTCATTGGCTAAAAATTCACAGTCTGCCGAGATTTTTGACCTTATCGATGGGATATGCCAGTTCGACCACGTTACTTGAGCTTGACGAATCACCTTAACTCCCATTAGACAGGATGTTGGAGTTTTTTAGCCAACGTGCGTAAAAACTAAAGTTCAGCTTAAAGCTGATAGCTCATTACAAAGGGAAAAAGCTCACACACAAGCACAATTTTCCCTCAAAGAGAAAGTAAACTTCAAAGTAAACTTCCCCCTGAAAACCTGTTGTTGAACGTGAAAGTGTGACTTACGCAAACGAACGGCACATACCAAAAGTCAAAAGACACTGCGACGAAGAAAAACACACTTAATAGCACTTTTATTAAAGCAATTCAAAAGCACTTTAAAATTAAAAGTTCGAAATTGAATTCACGTTGTTTTGTTGTTGTTTCAAAATCAAAAATCAAATCTGAACAAACACGTGATTGGTCATCTAGCGAAAATGAGTGGGAGGGAGAGGAGAAATGACGAGGATGAGGGGAAGGGCGTCTGGAGCGCATGCACTTGATGTTGTCAGATTGCTTGTGGTTGTTTGTTTCTTGTTTGTTTCTGTTGCGATGAATTCTTCTTTGTCTAATAAGAAATTCAGATTTCAGTTAATAAATCTGTAAGAATTTTAGCAAAATTAATTATTAAATGCAAAATTTCACGAAAAACTATTGAGCCCGATTGAACCAGAGTGTTCTACTTGGCATCTCCGCCACCGACACAATCGAAAACTTACACACACATGGATGACCTACGCACACATTCACAAGCATACCGTGTTGATCAGCTGATTTACTACAAAAACAACAACAAACGCGACAAGACAACCAACCGCAGGCACATACGTCGTATCAGCTATCAGCGTCCCGTACCAATCTCCATCTCTCAGAGACTTTTCTTGAACTTTGGTTTCATTTTCATGATGATAATACTCGTTTGTAATTTTTGTAACATTTCCAGTAGCCCATTCTAACTGTCATCTCGCACATTTCGATACGTTTCAAGTAAGTCTTATTCCATTATCATACGTGCGCGATTGCTGCGCATTATCTGTGTTAGATTGTTAGCTTTCTCCAGCATTTAATGTAAACAAATTCCTGTCAGACATCTTACATTCTACTTTTTCACCAGCATCAATGTAAGTCGAATTTTGTCAATAGCCTAGTCTTTCTGATGCTTTTCTCGGTGTATTTTTCGTTATATGAGCTTCGACTTGATTAATAGTAGTTGTCAAAAGCTTCTTAATGTGTTCTGAATCCACATCTTTGACCTCAGTATCTGGGTGAAGGGAATGCCCTCAGGGACTGAAATTAGTGGGGAATTTTTACAGCTCATTAATAGGGCAATTAAGAGTATTGTTCCTTCCTAATACCTTTACACTTTTAAGTTAGGAAATTGTAAGTCCATTGCGCACCACTTTTCTGCTTTTGAATAATGTGCAAAGTATTATTTATTCACACCCTGAACAACTGGCAAAGGAACGGATAATTCGTACTCGAAGGAATGATTTTTTTTCCACAGTTACGTTTTGGTACTCAAAAGTACCTAATTGTTTAAGGCCATGTTTGAGGAGATAAATTGTGCCTTTGGTTTTAGATCCTTCAGAACACATTGAGCGTTGGTCTATCCCTAGGATCTGACGGATTGGTTACTTTTTTCGCAGTAATTTATGTAACTGACCTCGGCTTCTTTCACAGTAAATCTCTTCACATGTCTAGAGATCAATGAATAATTTGGTCGGGTTTGTTTTCTTATGCTAATCAGACGTGTGATCTATTTGCATCAATATGTACCTCTTTGAATGCATTTGCATATCAAGTAGCGTTCTATTTCTTTTGTCCATTCATGGAGCCATCTAGCTCAATGATTCTTTCAATCCAATTTCAGATGCACTGCAGTCATCTCCTGACTAATTTCATTGTCTTCTGATTTGTAGCGTAGCTATGTCCTAGTTAGATATGTGGCCTTCTAACACGACTGTTTTCCTCTGTTTCCTCAGTTTCCAGTGTCGCAATGGGGGGCTCGATCAGCACAGGAGCAAATAACGATGAACTGGTGGATAATTTGCTAGAGGTGGGCAGGATCAAGTCAGAACTCGTTGAAAGAATCAGCAGGAGTGTAGACCGAGCTTTCTATTTCTTCCCGGTAGATGTTAAACATGCTTATAAGGACTTTGCCTGGAGAAGAGGAAACACACACTTATCTGCTCCTTGCATTTACAGTGAGGTAATGGAGAATTTGGACTTGGAACCAGGTCTAAGTTTCCTCAATATTGGATCGGGCACTGGTTACCTAAGCACCATGATTGGCCTCGTTTTAGGTAAAAATCTTATTTCTTTAACTTTCATCAATTTTGATTCAGAATTATTCCAAGACTAAGGTTTTTTAATAGCAATTTGTGGATTTTATCAATGCAATGACTAATATTCTTGCCAAGGAAAAGAAATGCTCCTCCATGGACTTTCATGTAGGCAAGCATAATCATATTAATGACATCATCTTGCGTTTTTTCGTGTCGCATAAGCTTATCTTACTCTAAGCAATGAAGATCACATTTAGAGATAAATGTTACCACCCATGATAATAAGCATCAAAGTGAAAAAAATGCCATTAGATATCCTTAATTCTAAGTTGGCAGTTTTGCCAGAAATTTTTAGAGGTCTAAAGTTTGAAAGATTCCTCTGATCAGCAGGAATTTTTGGGGAAATATTCTAGGTCACAGACTTTCTAAACACTCCTCCCCGTCAACCCCCCCCCCCCTTCTGTAACGCAACCAAAACTGAATGAGGGATGTATCTGGTAATAAAGAGAATTATTCGTTTCACTTCAGACTAAGTAGGTATTTGTTTTTAAAACCTCGGTTTATGAATTTTTGCCCTATATTTTTGATGAATATCAGAATGTGCATGATAAATTGTGTTTTCCTAGTTCTCCAAACCATCATGTCAATACTTTTGAAATGCATATCTAACAAATTTTATCTTCAAAAGCCTTTCAAGGCACCATGATGTACCATCATTTGTCAATTATCATAATTTATTAATTATTCACCAGATCATCATTCATACTCAGTGCTTATTTATCCTGAAAATTTCCGTGTTCACTGCGTTTTTGAAGTTGAAATTTTTATAATATTGTTTTAGGTTCTAATGGTGTAAATCATGGAATTGAACTGCATGAAGATGTGATAAATTATGCTCATGAAAAATTGGAGCTCTTCAAAACAACATCCAACGCCCTAGATGCCTTTGATTTTTGTGAGCCAGTTTTTGTAAAAGGTAGGTCTAAAAGTTTTTAATAGCACTTGAAATACAATTTATGAACATCTGAATTTGTTGGGAAACCCTCTTATGAGAGCATCATCAATTTAGCAAGCCAGCTGATTGTCTCTTCCCGTTCATCTACTTCCTTTGTTTTGTTCAGCTCAGTCTTCATTGAGAAATGGCTTGAGATCATTGAAAACTCAGATAACCCTTTGGGTTATGCCCTAGTTAATTAAATCAAAACCTTGTAATAAAATATCCGAAAGTGTAAAGATATTCTCTGGATATTTTTAATAATGGGCAACAATATTTCCCTAAAATATGGACTGAAATTGAATCTGAGACTAGACAGTAATTTTATAGGAATACTGACATTTATTGCTGAAGTGGTACAAAAGATACATTCTTAGTCATAAAAACTGTTACTATAATCACATATTGTACAACATTTATTAAGTTTAAGTACCTCAACTCTGCCAGAAGAGCTTATATGTAAAAATTATCTAATCTGAAATAGGTAAAATATTTATAGAATATACTTAGAAATTTGTTTTGTAAATTCTAGTAAGGAGGCAAGGCATCAAAATAATATAAAATAGGTGGAAGATTGATGTTACATTCTTGTCACATTTTCAACACCGTATCATTAGAAACAATAGCTGGAAAACCAGAGGTGCAGAAAATGTAGAATTCTGGGTGTAATCAGGAAGGTCACCCAAAATTCAAGAAGGCTCTGAGGTTTTTTTCCCGCAATTTTTTTGTAAAACCTTAGGAAGTCCTGGAATTTTCAAAATGTCTGGTTAAGTTTCAGACCATGACTATTTTGTACCTTAGTAAGCAATTGCAACATGCCTCTAAAAATTTCAGTTTTTCTGCCGGCGGATACTTTCTACATGTTTGCAATTATGTTCAAACATGTTCCCTGAAAATGAGCTAAACTCAGAATTGTTGTTCTAGGAGTCCTTGCTAAGTCAGAAGAACAGGTTTCTGTGTACCCTTGAGACTTACCTTTTGGTACTTATGCTCAGTTTTAAGCACAACACTCTTGCAATGTTCTTTTCTTATTTTTGTAGGTAACATCACTTAATTGCTCCAAGTGTTACTTTCAGTGTTAAGTGTTCTAATTTTTGATTGAATTACATATTTCATTGTTGCAGGAAACAGCTTAAACCTAAAAATAACTCGTCAATATGATAGAGTCTACTGTGGAGCTGAATGCCCCAAAAAGTATCAACCATTCATCAATGATTTTATCAAGGTAAATATGACACTGAGTGTGTATGCTTTTTTCTTGCGTATGTGTAGCAGGCTAGTAGTCAAATCAGGTATTTTATCCAATGCCTAATAATTATGGTCAAATTTTGAAAGTTTAAGAAGTTTTGAATGACTTCACAAAGAACCCTCGAGTCTTCAATATTCTGAAAGTAAAAATTCTTCCAACTGCAAACTATCATTGTATTCTTCTTTTAAAATGTGCTTCATACATTTTTTATCCTTAAAGCTGATAACCCTTTCATAAAAAAATGCTGCATCTTTTGAGATGAAGGTTCATGTGAAGTGAAGAAATCATTATAGCAACCACAAAACAATGCAAATTTTTAAAAAATAATTCCTAACTATGGAGGTAAATAATTTTTTTGATCGAAATTAGTAGAAGAATCAGAATTGAACTCTGAGTGAGACTATTTGATCACTTTCCCAGGCGTTTGACAAAATGCCTGCTTTGACATTTACCTGCTACTAATGCAAGCCATTAAATAGGAATATAGTCTCAACATCATCCGTTATCATCAACTATTTGGAACTGGTGGTGTCTTAAATTGATTTTTATGAAATTTGCCGGAAAGTTGATACTTCATAAAAAAACTCCTTATTCCTAGGTAGAGATCTTTTAATTTACAGCAATGAGTGCAGTCAGGGAAAACTGGGAAATGTTAAGGAATCTTAAAAAGTCCAGGAAAGCCTAGAAATGTCAGGGAAGATGACGGAAGTGTCAGAGAAAATTGCCAAGTTACCTTTATTTACTTTTTGGAATGGGTTTGACTTTTCAAACAACAAATTTTGCTGGAAACTATTTTAAATTATGTCCTTTTAATCATCTGGCGTATCCTCATTTGTTATGGAATTTTACCAAAATGTTTCATGGAAATGTCAGGGAAGTTCATTTTTAAATTCTGTGGCAACCCTGGATTTTGTAGATTATACTTGTATCAGCCGATCCGAGCTTTTTGCTCAAGAACACAAGCTGAATACTAGTCAAGTAGACCATTAACTGTGGCAGATATTAAAGCATAGAATGCATTGAATTTATTCAGAAAGTCCAGAAGGAACAGAAAGGAATAAAAAAATTATTTAATTTTTTTTTTAAGGTTGGTGGAGTACTCGTAATGCCTATTGAAGATACTCTCATGAAGTACAAGAGAATTGATGAAACAAGATGGGTTGCCTCCTCTGTTCTACCTGTGTCTTTTGCTCCCTTGATTATTCCTGAGCCAGATGACAAAATGGAGTCTGTGTCGTTACGTAAGTTTTAATCTCTAATATTGCACCATCAAAGTTTTAGACTCTCAGTAAAAACAAGAATAGTTTCACCAAAACAAGCCAATTAGCTGCTGTTCAGCATTGGTAGGTTCAAAAGTGTTTTGTGTAAGGTGTTGTGCAGATGTGTAAAACTTCCTTGACCGAACAACCGATCCAGCCATGGTCGATCGCGATAAAAATGTGAAATCCGCCTTAAAAGGGTTTTTGAAATGTAACGGCATCTGAAAAGTGAGAAAAATATGAAGGTAGGGCTACTTTTTGTGAATGAAACTATAGAACATGTGATTCTTTTAGAGGGTGACTGCTAAGCACATAACTTTTAGTGAAGAAAACTGTGAACTGTGTGTTTTATGTGAAGAAAGTAGTGAAGCCCCCTGTCTTGTGGACAGCAATGAGAAAGCTGACTCAAGAATTGTGAAGGGAAGGATGTTGTACGTTGTCAGAAATCTGAAGGCAGCCTTTGAATTTGCCTAAAAAAATGTGAAGGCAACAAACTTTCTGCACCCTCGGTGTTGTGTAGGGTCCTAAAATTTTAACAATTATCTTGTATTTTTTCGAGTATTTTATTTCATCATCATGGTTCTACAAGATTTGAGATCTTTTATCGTGTCAAATGTACCATTTAATCTATAATTTAAATCAAAAAATTCAATGGGATGTAAAAAATATTGCATAGTTAGTCCAGATAAATATAACTATTGTTGATTTTACCACTGATCCAGTTGCAGTCAAGTGCTCGAACCCAAGAGCTTTAGGGCCATTATTTTTGCGCTCTTGGCAGAAAAATGATCCATTGTTCAAATTGATAAGAGAACTTCACCTCCCAGTAAAGTAGTTTGAAAAGTTACTACTTGATGAATAGTTTGCTTAAGTCAAAATTCAATGTTTTCAAAGGATCAGACAGTATCTGAAGTTGCTTGTCATACTCATGTAATCTGTTGATAGTTCAATCTTTTTTATTTATTCATTTATTTGTATTACTTTAACAGCCTCTGTGGAGCCTCTCTCTCTTCAAGCTTTGTGTCGAGCTGCCATTCGCAATACGCTAAGAAGCAATGCCAAGAAAGAACATCCAGAAATTGATAACATGAATCGTACTCGTCCAAAGAAGAAATCTAATCAAAAGTGGTCTCCACTGACGCGAGTCACTGCCTTGCCTATTTCTGTTTCTGATTTTGTGGGTCGTCATGAAGCAGAATTAAACTCTACCTTTGGTATGTTTATTTCTTTTTTGTGTATTTTCTCTGATCTCACTGTTCCATTTATGTTTGAGTCAAGTTAAGACAACATTACTTGAATTAATATCTAAACTGGGGCTGTTTTCACTTTGCTGTCCAGTCCTGGAAACGGAGGCAGTTACAATTATGACAAAAATATTACAATCAGAAGCTTTTATTTTCTTTAAATTTTTGAATTTAGGGAACTTTTCTACGAAAGCTGCAGGTCAAATAATTAAAATTTTTATTCACTCACGCACAACGAAATTCATTAGAGTTGTGCAGACATTTTTCAAGCGGGCGGCTCATAGATGCAACTGACTCAAAAAGCTTTTAAAGCGAGTGCATTACACAGGGTTGCCACAGTTAAGGAAAACCGAGAAATGTCAGGGAATTTATAAAGTCAGGGAAAACCAGGAAATGTCAGGGAAAATGACAATAATGACGAAAATGTCAGGGAAAATTTGTTAAATCACCTTCATTTGCTTTCTAAAATGGGTTTGAGGTTTCAAACAACAAATTTTGCCTGAAAACTATTTTCAATTATGCCTTCTTAACCATCCGTCACATCTTCAATTGTCAGAGAATTCCGCCTAAATTTCAGGGAAATCAGGGAAATGTCAGGGAATTTCATTTTCCAAATTCTGTGGTAACCTTGATTACTGTTCATTTTGTTTAAGAACACCATGCATAATCTTTAACAACATCTGATCACACTCAGTTTTTTAATTTCCACTCCTCTTTTATGAAACATGATTTATTTTTTATCTTCATTCTTATTTTCAGGCTCAGGTGATTTTGACTGGTCCGACGATTCTGATGACGCCTCTTCATCCTCATCCCTCGAGTTCCCCCTACACGGAAATCCTACGTGGAACCCTGATTCCAGCGACAACAATGAATCCTCCAATCACAGCAACATAGAAGAGAACCAGAGCCAATCAGCGGCGGAGCCAGGTAACACTAGTCCTAAGAAATCCACAAGCAAACGTGAGTCTGCTGCCTCAAGCGATGCAGAAAGCAATGATTCCGAAAGTGGTGGGCTGAAAAAACGCACAAAACGTGATTCAGCATCGAACAACCCGAGAGTCTTCACCTATCTTACCTTCCAATCTACCCCGGAGGAGTCTAGCTCGTCCAGCTTCAGTTTCACCGTGACCGCTAACGAAGAGACAGGCCCGGCACCAACTGAAAACTCACGCGAACCAACTAATAATCACGAACCTACCGGTGACGTCACAAGCTCCCATGAATCTAGTTTTTCCTCTGCTACCAGCAACGAAATGGAAGTGGATGAGCACATTTTGATTAGCCGTAGAATTGTATTGAACGATTCGATTTCTAGCTCTTCTGATTCTGAGCCGGACGATGAAGATGATACGAAAAGAACCAAAACTCAAGAAAAGAATGAGAGCGGTGCTGAAGCGGAGGGGGAAGATGCAGCTTCCAAGTCTACTCCTGCCGTAACATATTCAACGGTCATGAAAGCCAAAGTGAAAGCACTCCCATTGCCTCATGCTTTGAAGTGCTATTTGAATTACTACCGAGAATTTTAAGTTTCCCAACTGTTCTCTCAGATGAATCCTGTTTTATGGTGGTGGGTGCTCAACCACAAATACTTTATGATGAAGTTTTATGTGTGTCTCCAGTTGCTGTACTTTTTTCTTCATGCAAGATGGTTCCACTGATTAATACGCCCATTACTAATTTGGAAAGGACAGTCATGGTCTGTTAAATCTGGTTTCAAAAGTTAAATCTCAATAATAAGTAGGAAACAATGTGATCTGTTTAAATGATACTCGGTTACATCCATCCATCATAGAGGTATGGCTCTTTGAAAAACACTGTGGATGATGTCTCTTATTGCCATGGTGCATACCATGTTGCCTCTGTTTTTATTTATCAATCAGTGATTTAATAATATTTTATCAAAAGTGGGACAGAAGTGGAATAAACCATGGAATACACCAATGATGAGAGGTGTATTAATTAAAGCACTAGCCTTCCTCCCTCAGGTGTTATAAAACAAAGTTGATTTTGTGCAATTTGAGTTTAAACCATGGTGTTGTCTCTGTCCGATGGTGCTGTGAAGTTAATTTTTTTCCATTCATAAGATTTTGGGATGGACAGTAAAAATTAGAATGGGACAGCCCTAGATGGTAACCAAAGTAATTCTTGAACGTTGGTGATACCTACATAATCATTTTCTTAAATAAATGCTGCCCTTGTTCGTTTTGTCAAGATGAGAGCAAGAGAACATTCTCAGGAGACTGCAATAATTATTACTGAAGATTCTTTTTCACTTTTCCATCTTTATATTGAAGACAGAAGAAAATACACGTAATGTTGAGCTATTGCAATTTGTGTCAGTTGTTGCCATGAAAGGGTGGAAATTTTGTCACCTGCACAAAGTTTTTTTTAGGAAAACTCTTGTATCTTTAAGTGTTCAGTTTCCAAGAGCAGCTTTTTCTTCAGCAGCTTCATTCTCTTTCTGTCACTTTATCAATGAGCTTATTTGACTCCAAAGGATAACAAACCGAACCAACTTAACAGACTACCCATCTCGTAAATTACAATGCTTGTTAACTCTCCCGGCAACGTTCTTTTTAGTCTCGTTCGCGTCAATAATACTTGGTTTATTTTTTCTAATTCAAATTGAACTGTCACTGCTCTGTTTCTCTAGTATAAGAACGTACTAATTTTCTTTTTTTCTTAACTCTCTCAATTGCAATGGAAAAAAATCATGCTCCTCTTGCAGAATAACTCGTTTGCTTGTTTTCCTGTTGCTCTTCCTTTCAATTCTTTCTTTTAAACAAGGGCTAGGTAGTGTGGCTGCTTCCATCAAAAAGAGCAGCAGGCTGATAATTGAAGATGATAGACAAAGATATATAGGTATGTAACAAAAACGGGAGAAAAAATGTAGCGATATCATGGGTTGAAGCAGATAATTGCGACGGACTGAGGAGGTAAATAATAGACTAACTGACTTCAACCTACGAGAGACCTTATAGTTAGTCCATTATTTTCCACCCTTACTTCACAACAACCACCCATTTTTCCCAATAAGATTGCTCCATTTTCCCTTTGTCTTCCTTGTCTATAGCTTTGTCTATCAATTTTGATAATAGACCAACTGAAGATTTTAATTTGAGCCAATCAGAGTGACATTGAGGAGATGTATCACTCAAGAAATGAAATCTCCAATGTTATAGCTAACTTCTACGAATACAGCAGATCGGGCTAAACTTTAGGTTGTATGGCAGTATGGTCCTTACATGATTCCACCATTTTAGTAAATCATGTACATCTTGCAATAGAATCCAAGTTTCTTTGATTTTCTTATGATTTCTTGCTATCTCTGTTTGCATCACCAGGAGAGATGTCAAAACTGGCCCAAATCTTTCTCAATGAGTTTCTCTTTTAACCTTATCTCCAGTTTGTAAATTTTTGTAATTATGTGTCAGACACTAGATTTTTATTTTTGTACAGTTTAAAATTTTATACCTAGTTCCATCTATCTGACTGTTGGGTTACAAGCTAGCCTACAGTAGTTAGGTAAATAATCGCCAGCATGTTCTCAGCTCATGTGACCAGAGAACTTTTGAAACTGTGGCACGGAAGAATATGCATTTATTGTCCTCAGTTTTATTCTAATAGATCTTTTGTTTTAAGAGTTTTCTTTATTGTTTTTTGTTTCCGTTGAAGTGTTTATTTTGGGGGAGGGGGGTGCATCTGCTATGAATATGCGCATTCAACATGTGTTGACAGTCAAATATGTAGTACAGGCAATGTGTAAAATTAATAGATAGCTTAACTCAGAAAAAACACATCTAGATCTCAACGTTACAAAGTTTCAACTCCTGTTATGTGTTTTATAAGGGACATGAGCAAAAAAAAAATTTCCCAAAAATTTTGTAGAGTTTACTTTGAGCAAAGAAGAAAAGAGACACAAGTTTCCAAGAAATTAAGCTCATTGGTCTGCTGATTGAGAGATGAAGTACGGTAGGAAGAGGTATGCATTTTTCTTGTTAAGCTATCAACATATTGCCTTTTATGTAAAAAACATGTATGTTCCCTGCTCAAGGCATTGCACATTCATTGTTTTTACTTACGAGGCTTCATATTCTCTTTGATATTTCTAAAATTAAATCACCAGGGGCACGCCAACCTTATTATTTCTTTCCACCATGAAAAAGTTCATATCATGTATTTAATGTACAGTACGGTGTTCATTGGCCAGGTATTCTTGTTTTGTTGATAAGTTGTGAATATTTCTGTTGAAATTCCATTCTATTGGTGCCCCTGGTAAAATATGCAAGGACTCCAGTTCCTGAATCATTAAGTTTTTCCTTTGTTTTTAAGTTTAAGACTGTAAACAGCTCATGTGATGTTAAGTTGTAGCTTGAACTGGATGAAAATAAGTGTAATAAGAATATATAAGATAAAGCCGTGATTATTTCTCAGCATTCTAGAATTGTTCTCTTAACTTTTCATTATCATCTTATCCCAAATAAATGTCCAGAGAAATAGGGACATTAGCATTGAAAAATGTAAAATATTCAGAAAAAGGTATAATATTTCCTGCTGTGGCTTTGAACACACAGTTCACTATTCAATTGCTGTTCAACAACACTGCTAGATTAAAAGGTGAGATTTAAAAGGCAAAAATGCTCCAGTTAAACATATGAAAGAATAATTTATTTAAATTTACAGTTCAGTATTGAAAACACCACTACAAAGACGGGTAATTAAAACCAAGTACACCGATCTTACAATAGAGCTGTTGCACGCAAGAGATACAACCGAGCAAACCAATCGAAAGTGATAAACTTTCTACGGGTAAAATCGCACGAAAATCGTTTTGGACACATCATAAAAGTGCCCAATCCACTCCTTAGCGTACAATTTGTGATAGGCTGTGACAGGTTTTTCCAAATTTACCGCGTCTGCGGGTAGTTACTTTAGCACAGCGAGAGACGCAAACAAACCTGACTTAAATAAACGAATGATCTCTTGAACTGTTGAAAACTTTCCTTACATAGAATTTCGATTGATTTAAAACCTTTGTTTGAAAAACATAAAAAGAAGGAAACAAAATCTTGAAAACTATTAACATCTTCCACTAGAAAAAGTATTTGAAATTGTTTGTTTGACCAAATTAAGTTTACTCACTCCCTAAACTGTGCAGACCTAAACTGGACTGCGAAAATCTGCTTGTAGACCCAGGCAACTTAGAAAGCGAGTTACAAGCTGTTCAGATTATGCGCTGAGGAGTGGATTTTTTACTTTTTAGAAGGGATTTTCGTCTGAATTTACTTGTATAGAGCCTATTCACTTGGCGTGCAACACACGCATTAAACAAGTTATTGTATTACTTCATACTTTATTGTAGTTCTGGTTGAATTGAAAGTATAAAATGTGAAGGGATATTATGCTCTGCTCTTACAGATGCAGTTGACTAATTTAGAATATTTTGAACTAATTAATACTTTAGTGCAATATTGGTGCTACCCTACCTTTTAATCAGAACAAACAAGATATCAAGTAAATTTTCCTCACCAGCCAATCATTCTGACAGAATGATTTGCTTTTATGACTTGATTTCCCATGGGTGAGAATTCTGTGATAATAGTAAAAGCAAAACAATTTTTTGAGGGGTTGGCCAGCTAGACAAGGTATGAGTTGAAGCACCACGTAACATGTTTTATTTTCAAAATTTTTAGAGTACAACAAACCACACGGCGGAAAGCCTGGAAATCAACTCCTGAACAAGATATAGGTGTTTACAATTAACATTACTTATATGCCAAAAATACAAATGAGGTCATTTGTATGAAATTTAACTTCCATTTAATCTGTGTTCAAAACACTTGTTAATATGTCGTTCAAAAGTTGGTTCCCGAACTTCCTATTGTGTGGATTGTTTTCTGCGTAAGATTTTGAAGAGGAAACATGTGACGTTCTCTCCTGGTTCAAACCTTGTCTAGTCCCTCATTGCCATTTGCTGGAGCAATGGATTGCAAACAAATTTTCTTGGTCCTCACTTCTGAATTTTACATCATTGGGGATACCTGATTCAATGATTGATAAAAATAACGCACAATGTAATGCCTCGAGTACGATGTCAGTGCACTTCATGCGATTGAATTATTTACCAAAAAAAAAAAAAAGAAAAAAAAGGAGGAATAGAAAAACAAGGGACTTCCTGACAAGGGTTTTGAGAAAGAGTATCAAACTTATGATACATTTTTCCAACACTACTCACATTGGCTTGAAGGAATTATGAATATTCTTAAAATCTAAAAAAAAAACGAACTGAAGTAAATTTCAAAACCTTATGGCCCTTTTTTATGATTAATTAACTGGAGGGGGAACATAATCGGCATAAGCAAGATGATAAAATTCTTACAGCCGAAGCAGCCCACTCAGATGACTTGCGCCACAGTAAAAAATGAGAAATCCCACCAAAACGCTCCAATAACAAAGTTTATAAAAGTTACTGCTGGAATCTGGTTGTCAAAATGAAATTTTTTGTCGTCACATACTAAGTTCAGAATGAGTCAAGGAAACTTGAGGGTCAGTTAAAGGTAAAATTTTCACCTCAAGACAGAAGCAAAAGTGATATTTACACTGTTCAAAAGTTGTGCCTTTTGAAAACTGGTTCCTTCGGGCAGAGTGCTTGATATCCGAACAAGGCATCTCGAACGGCGTCAAGATCAGGTCGAACAGAAGCTTTGATTCCACCGGCTTGCAGCAATTTCTGCTGACGGCCATTGCTGGAAAAACAATGAAGAGAGCGATTGGAGTAAAAGACATACTTAGATTGGATATCCAATTTGGGTTGAATTTTAAAGTTGAGGTACATATTTTTCGATAAAAAGAGGTGTATTATGACTAAGGTCCTACTTAGAGAACAGAGCACGGCTTAATATTGAAACTTGAGACTCCACTTTGTTGAGTTTCTGAATAATTTACTGAGCTCCACCTCTTAAGCAGCTATCTTATGTACAGTGCGATAGTACAATCAATGGCATTCGCTGCCCATGCGCACACTGTCAACTGTACATTCGGGGACTGTACGTGAGATGGCTGCTTCATGGGAAATCCAGGGTCTCGTAATATATAATTATAAGAGCGACTCCTAAACCCTAAATAAGAGTAACTTTTAAAAATAAAAGACAAGGTCCATCACATTCTTCAAGAAGAGATCAAAATGGGAGATTCCCCGCGTGTTAGTTTACCTGAAAAAACCTTGATACAGAAACCAATCAGATTGATACTTGTTTTTAATTTCCAAATTTCCTGTGTTTACCCTGTATTTCCCTGCAGTGTTTGCAGAGGATAACTCTCTATTGAAATGCATATGTTGTATAGGTGTAACTTAACCATTCTACTGAGACTGTGGTCCCTGACAACTTAAAAAGCTGGCTTTTGCTTGTAAAAATGTTGTCGAACTTTACTACCACACAATGCTATTCTACAAAAAATTGGGATTACCGAATTTTGCTGAACTGGATACACTTTTCAAAAGTATACTTCACAGTCACTTTATGAAAATTTTTGACTGCTTCGTGTAATCAGATAAATAGTAATTCTTTGACGTCAAAACAACTGTCATGAAAAATTTTTGATCAAGTTATTTATCTAGGAAATTAGCATTTGCTATTGGCTGTGGCTGGCAATTTAAAATTGAAACAAAAATACATGCAGCTTTTGGTTTTAAACTCTTTTTCTGAGTAACTCTTTTCACGGAACCCTTTTGAATAAAACTCTTGTTCTTTTAACTTCCAGAATTAATGTCAAATTCCCTGAGTTTTCCCTCCAAATTGAATTCCCTCAATTTTCCCTGTTTTCCTGGTTATAGAAACCCTGCGAATGTCACAGATAAATAATTTAAAATAATCTTAAGAGAAAGCTTTTAGAATTGATACCTTGTTTTCAAAGGATTGACGATCATGCACTTCATTGGAAGTCCATCTAGAAGGCGGTTGTGGTAAACTTCGACTGCTTTAGCAGCTTGATCGTGCCTTTTGTAAACTACCTCAGCGGTTCCTGCTCTGACAACTCGCCAGGCTATAAGTTCTCCGACGTCTTCAAATAATTCCTAGAAACAAAATATTATCAAGTGAGAAGTGAATTTCACAATAAGAAGAGCGAAAAAAAACGGTTGAAGTATGGTAATTTTCGTTGCACAATTGTGTTGCACGTAAAATTTTGAAGAGGGAACATATTGACGGTGTAAATCGGCAATCACATAACTCGGTTATGTGATTGCCGAGACTTCCTGTCACACTTTTTAAATGGAAAACTACTCAATGGCAATTATTTACAACTGCCGTGATTTTTCTTCTCTGAGCGAAGAAAATTCTGCAAAAACTTCAAGGAATGATGTCAATTTGTTCTCCTTTAAAATAATAACATAGAGGCGGATATTTTCAGACACCGCAAACGAGATATGTGATTGCCGACTTTCACCGTTGATATATCAGAATGCTTAAGCTCATTTCTTGTCTAGTAATCCAAAAGTTTACACCAGCTGTAATATGTTTTAATTTAAGTCAAGAAAATTAAGCTTACAATAGTTCAGTAATTTTTCAGGTAGTAACTAGGAGTGCCTATATGGCAAGAGTATGGACAGATCATTTCATGGAGGGCTTAGTACCTAATAGGACTGTCAAACTTCTAACACAGAGAATGTCACTGCCAATCTTCAGATTCCAATATCAAACCAAGATGAATGTTCAGTAATGAGCGTTTTTCAGCAAAAATTAGTAAATTCATGCAAAAACTAAACCACATCCAACCTTTACAAACGACGGGTTGAAACAATTGTAATGATCAATTGTTCTACATAATTTGAATTTATAGATTGGCTGTCTATCAGGGCCCTGACTTTTTTTGCAGAGGCATCGGCGAAGGCTTGATGGATTTTCGGAGTTTCACACCTGTCCATACTCGCACTACACAGGTGTTCCAGTAGTAAACTACAGCTTGATGCTGAATGACAAAAATTTTCTGGACTAGGATAGAAAAATTTCAGAGGTACTTACTTTGATGTCAACAGATGTCACGCTAGGATGTAGATTAGAAACAATAATACGATAACCATCTTCTTCGGAGGGTGAAGGCAGGAGCTGTGGGCGCTGGTATGAACTTGGTCTGTCTAACCGGGCATGAATACTAGAGATTCGAAGATTCTCTGCTTCTTGGTCCATCCTTAGTCTGCAAATTTTAAAATGAATTAATCGAAGCAAACTTGGAAAAATTTAATCAAATGATGGGGACTAACACCCATTAACCAACGTTGAGCTTCCATCAAATAAAAAAAATATGACAAAAAAGTCAGCAGATTCAGTGCTATAATTCGTAAAACTAACCAAGAAAGAAGCTCTGAATAAGTACATCACTGTAAGCAGTTGGTGCATCACACTATACCCTTAACATCAGACCCAGCTGCAGGCTGATTATTGAAAGTTTAAAGCAGCCCGATAAGACATCGAATTGCGATATATTGCATGGTTAAGACAGGGCTATGTCTTGTCGTATCGGACTGACATAGTTTCAATAATCGGGCCGCAGGAGGGTAAGCAGAGCATTGCAGAAGGCAAAGGGATGCCCCCTGCGCAGCGTGCTTGCTTATCTGGCATGTTATATGATCCTTCAAAATGCTGCAGCTACTCTATATCAACGCAGATTGCACAATTATGTTTGCCTCTGTTCATAATTCAACTCCGTCAGTCTGTCTAGCCTAACTTAGTTGTAAGGATAGGCACTCAAAAATAGATAACTTTTCAGGAATTTAAGAGCTGCAAATTTTGTTTGGTTGATTGTAAATCACTAGAACTGGGGAAAGAAAGGAATGGAAAAAAGAGGTTAGAGGTAGAGGTAATAGGAGTGGCGTGAGACTTTTGGATCACCCTGTACGGCAAAGCAAGATGATGAAAATGCGCCAGGCAAAATTCCAGTCACTGCGACCTTATTTTGGTCACTGAAAACGGTCACCTAGTAAAGAGAGTTTTAAAATTATAAAATTCTATCTCAAATAGGAAGGTACTTGGTTACTTCTCGCTTGATTTACACACACACAAAATTGAGGAAGCAGTTAGTGAGCCACTGGTGATTTGATGCATCAAGATCAAAGACATTGAATCACGTAGACCGGGCGTTCGGCTCGGTTTAGTACTGGCGGAGCGAGGCAAGTCTCTCGGAGTCCCATGATGGGCGGGCGGGGAAGGGGAGAGAGCGTGTGTCCCAAGCTCTCGAAGAGGCAATGGAGAATTCATCCCCGCGCTTGGTTTTGCACAAATATCTCGTTTTGAGTCCATTTTTTGACAAAATTCCGAGGAAGAAGAATTATAGAACACATAATTTTACACCCGATTAGCATTGTTTCATTTTTCCAAACTAATTATAAACCGAGGGAAAAAGCCTCACAATCAGACGAAAATTCACTGGAGCCGCTACTGCGCATGCGCAGATGTGCGCAACTGGGACACACGAACTCATCGATGCGGGTTGGTGCCCACCACTCATCGCATGCGAATTTTCCAAAGTTGTCTCGCCTTCCGTAACACAGGATGCACGGTCTACGTGATTCAATGTCTTTGGTCAAGATAAAGATCCGAAAAGCACGAGAAGAGTTTCACTTTTTACCTAGTTCCGTACGGATCAGATCTTTGGGTAACTGGGGATACCTCCTGATAACCTCGCGGCCAAGATGACATTTCACTTCTCCGAGTTATAATGGCTGGGATTTGTTTCTGGAAACAAGATCAAACGATAGGTTAGAAATACTTTTTAGCCTATTCTATATCAAGTGAGCCACTAAAATTAGGACTGAAATCCACAGATAGTGGAAAAATCTTCAAATTAATATGCTTTGAGTGGTCCACTTTACACTGCACATATCATCACTCCTCTGTCTTGGCGAGTATCTCAATTTCCAAATGAGCTCTGTTCTCAGCGTAACTCAATACTTTACGGGGCTCATGTGAAAATAGAGATATACCCTCATGTCAGAAAAGCACCAATATGATAGTCTTAGCTAGTGAGAAGCCAGCCTTACTTAGCACCTCAGAAGTGACACGTTGTTATCTGCTAAATTTCGATTCTTATTTTATCATTCATCTCACTTGACCCTGATCAGTCAAACAGATAGTTTTGTAAAGAAGATTAAATGAAAAAAATGAAAACATTAATCACTACAGTAATAATAGTTCAGAAAACACAAAAAAGCCAGGGGTACACCATTTTCTCGACTGCGCAGTCGCGATCAAGGAGGGGAAGTGCCCAAAAAATTGTGAGGGCTGATATTTTATTTGTTCGATGGTTTTCAAATTTTCTTGTGTTTTATTTTTGCTGTTTTTTTATAAATTTGTTTTTCTTGATATTTAACATTTACATTTGTATTGCTATTGGGGCGCTTTCTAAACATTCAATACAATTTTGACCGGCGCATTGTGTTGACCTTTTTCGCAAAGAGCTAGTGCACTGCAGAAAATTGCGGAGGCCTTGGTGCTGTCTGCATCCCTGCGAAAATCCTTTACTGGCAGAGACCGTGGGTTATAGCAAAGGTCCTTTCCATTAGGTTGTTTTACAACCCAACAAGATAGTTGGAGTTCTTTCATTTAAATCACTTTTGTTACCAATCTGAAAGTTTTGAACAAATTCAACTTTTTTGTATCATCGATCCAGGGTTGCCATACTTTCTTCATCTTCAAATTTCCTAACTTTCCCCTAATTACTTTTTCATTTTCCTGACTCCAAAATTTTTGGATTCCCTGACAATCGAATAAAACTTGCACTCTGATTTTTTCCCGTTAAATTACTCTCACTTCTACAAAACGTTGACACATTAAATTCCCTCGCTCTTAGTGTAAATCCCCTGACTTCTCCCGCTTGTCACAAATTCCTTGACTTTCCCTGTTTTCCAAACCGCTGGCAACCCTGTCGATTCAATAAGTTTGACATGAAAAGACAACTCATTTCTCAGCTGATTTGCCTTGGTGATAGTTGATCTGAGCTGCCACTTCACTTACTAAACCAAAGTTAAATAATGGGTGATTCACCTCTGAAAGACCTGATGAAGGAAAGGAAAAGGACGAAAAGAGAAAAAAAACTTACTATCTCTTCATTAGGGGACCGGTAAATGATGGAGGAGGCAGGTTCTGCCCAGCTACTTTGTCGTGATGGTTCAGACAAGGAGTATCCGTAATCTAGATTCCGATTATCTACGGTCCTGCGCACTGGTCCAGCATACGAGGGCATGTGTCCATAATCTGAAAAAAGGAGTGGTGAGGGTTTACTCTGGGGTATTTGAGAATGTTGAATTCTTCGAGATAGATTCTTTGCTGATGGAGCTTGCTAGGAGTTATCCCGCAAAAATGGGCTTCCTGGTAGACCTATGGTCCAAACTTCAAAACTTGGATTTCATTAAGAGATTTAGGTGTTATGGTGGTCCAAGTTATGGTCAGAAGAGAGCATGCAGGGGAACAGGGGTCGAGAATTATGATTTTTAATTTGTTCTTTTTTTTTTCGCTATGATGACCGGCTAAATCTATCACTCGAAAGTTGCAACTCTCTCAGCCTACCAAAAATACAGGCCTCTTCAGAATGTCTACTAAAATAGACTGGCCAAAATTCAGTACTTTTACGGTACTTTTTTAGTATATTCCCAAGAATTTCAGTACCTCCTCATCAGAAAAATTCAGTACTTATTCAGTGCCTCCAATTGACGAAATTCGACAAATTTAAAAAATTTGAATTTCTCGCTCAAATTGCAACAAAAATGAAAAAAAATTTCAGACCTTCTTGCAAACTTTCTACACTTTTTTAGTACATCCTGACTGCCCTTTAAAAAAAAAACAGTGCTATTTCCAGACTTGTAGACGCCCTGCCTGTTGCTTATCATGGGTTCCCCATTAACAGAAAATGACATACCTTCCTCTACTAATCTAGGTTCTGGCTTGTACACTGGCTGTCTCATTCTGAGTATCTGTGATGGCCTAGCAGTTGGCTGCATTGCTTTGGTCAGCTGCGCCACAGGTTTCTTGGTTGTGAGCCGAAGCCTCCCATCAGCGCTCCGTTGAATGTTGATTCTTCCTGATCCTGTGGTGGTCTGAGATTAAAAATAAAGAATAATCATTGAGGGAACCAAAATATTAGCATAGTAATAAGAATGCTCTTAATTTTGTACGGGTTTACGGCGTTCGGGTAAAAACACAGCACAGGTTTGACAAAATAGGTAGTTTTGTTTTGAAGAGTAGATTGAGGCCTTAAGTGCAACTTGAGGGGTTGAAATCATGATTTTTGATAGCCACTAGGTAAACGCCTTGTGGAATGTCAAAAATATGAAAACTCGGATTGCTGGAAATATTCGGCCAAATGGAATTTCTACACATTTAGAGACATGTATCTGCGTTCGCTTTTTACTCGGAGAACTCATCAACTAAATTTCTAAATTAATCCTACAATTTTCCTCATCTTTGAAGAATATTCAATGACAATGCTAAGCAGGACATTTGACTTGTTTCCCATCAAAAAGATAAAATTAGGATAGAGATATTGAGACATGGCACTTGAAATCAAAGTTTTCTTAGTTTTGCCATCAGAATATATACCTATATAGAATAAACCTATTATATGCAAGATACTATAATACTATAATAAATTTGAGTCCTGGTAAAAAATGGTAGATATTCAATTTTTTTGGCTTCAATGACAAAAGGCAGGATTTCAATATTTAAATAAAAAAGAATTTAGGGCACAAATATTTCCAGTTTATCAACACTCAGTAATGATGAATGGTTTAACATTAATTATTGAAGAGTTGATGATATATAATTTAAAGTTTACAATGATAAAGCAAATTACACAGCGGGTAACAAGATTAATTTTCATAAATATTACCAAAACGTTTCGGCTGAAAACTCAGCCATCCTCAGTTGGATAAGAAGTAAAAAAAAAAAAAAAAAAAAAATTTGTAAAAATCTAAAACGTAGTACTTGGCTGCACCTTTCAAAGCGAGAACAATTAAAAAGTTATCGCTTTGAAAAGTACAGCCAAGTACTATGCTTTAGATTTTTACAATTTTTTTTTGGCGCGTATACGTAGTATACCGCCTTTGCGATCGTTTCGAACCCTGCTCGATACAATAACCGAGTCCCTTAGTTCCTTACCGAAAAGTGACTACCGCGAACTTCTGAGATTTTCCAAAGCGTGTAAAAAGTTTATTTATCCATCAATAATTATGATTTAAAGTTCTTTCTCATTCTGGGGCTCATTAGTTTATGTGCAGTGAATACCAAGAGTCTACGTTACTTGGTTTTTTCAAAAAAAGCCTAAGAATGCGACGCGCTGATTTAAA